CGGCAGAACAACAACAATGTGCTACGTGTTTTTTCCCCTCATTTTTTTTTTAATTGATGGAAATCCGTCGTAGCGACGGAAAACTTTAATCCCCGAGTAGTATTATGTACAGCATACTTCACCACAGTAATATATTTCTGATAATTTCTTTAAGCTAACCCGAATTTATATTTTGACAGGTTGCCATGAGGAACTTGTTTCTGTAGGTCTATGTAAATGATATGAAGATAGTTTTATGTCTGCGCTCAGGACAGTTCGGACATTGCAGTGAATCAGAGGTCAAAAACTACATAAATACTGTTCAGTTTCTTGCACAGACCGATCGTTTTGTGTCTTTACACATCAATGTATCGTCACTAGCCGCAGGGTTTAATTAGGTTTTGTTTGTGTATGTTTTTTTAACTCTCAAAGTCATGATTCCCATCCACCTCCATTATAAGACTGACAGACTGCAACGGTTTGAGTGAAAAATCTTCATTTGTGTTCTACTGAAGAAACAAAGTCACCTACATCTAGGATGCCCTAGGGGTAAGCAAATAAACATCACATTTTCATTTTTGGGTGAACTATCCCTTTAAAGAACCGGGCCCGTTCATTGCTGCTTCACAAAGAGCGCTGTGTAGAAAGTGTCACTGAATATATTGCTCAGCAGAATCATATCCTCAGAGCTTCAGCCAGCAGCCTTACTAAATCACTGCAGTGATGACTCAAGCATCCTTATGTAAACATTTACCATGCGGTGGAGCCTGTTACTCACGGCGTGCTGCTGGAAAACCTGATGGGACTCGTTCTAGACGGCTGTGAAGGAATACAGAGGGGAAACGCAAGGGAGTAGCTGCTTGCTTGTGGGGAAGCCAGCCGAGTCCCACCCTCAGCAACAGCGCTCTGGGAAACACACACACACGCGGGCTGTCAGACATGCACGACGCTCTGCTGAAGGCACCTGAGCTGGGGTCGGTCAGCCTGATGAGGGGAGACGGCCGGCACGGTGCTCTGCTGGTGGCGCTCATGTGCTGCATGGGTCAGTAGCTTTCCTCAGCTTCCTGCGATCGCACCGTCTGCCAGATTGCCTGCTTTTGCTGCAGTGTGCTGTGCTTTTCGATTGATCTTCATATTCTTTCCACTTCCCAGATCTTGTGTTGTAATGCTCTTAGGGGCAGAGTTTAGCTCTGTCAGTGCTGAAGGGTTCAAAGTACAGTGAGAGAATTGAATGTTTGGCTGTTCCTGTCAGGTTGAGTCGACTGCTGTGACAGGGGCTCACGTCAGCACATTCATGCTCTGCGTTGTTGTAATCAGAGGTGTTGCAAGCTGTGGTTCATATTGGGATTAAAGATTAGAAAGAAATGCCAAACAATGTGTCCTCACCACACATGATGTGACAACTACTCAGGCAGTATCTTTCATGTATGTCAAGGTTCTCTAAGGATGCATGATACTACTGTATTAGTTTGTTGTCTGATATTAGAGTTTTTTTTAAAGGGGTCCTATTGTGCTCTTTTACAATGTCTTGATTTTGAACAGGCTCTCATACTAGGTTGTTCAAAAAACACATAATGTTTCACATATTTAACATTATTACAACACCTCTCTCCCCAGTTCGTCCCATTCGTCGGTATTTGTGATATCAAAAATCCCGGAAAATAAACGTTGTAGTCCAAATGAGTCGTTCGTTGTAGTTTTTGAAAAGTAATTTCTGTTAAATAAAATATCTCCTTTTGAAGTGGACTTTGAGCTTTGTAACTTTGCAGATATTTTATGCTCAAACAGCAACATTACAGACTAACTAAAGTTGAAAAAGTGAAAAAGCATAATAGGACCCCTTTAATATATCGGAATAAACCGATTTTTGGATATATAATGGCTGATGTTTACTTAATTGTGCTTGCTCATTTTCCAGATTTTGATTATGTATCTCAAAAAACAGTAAGAATTTAATGACACTATGAAACGTAGTCTTCAGCAAAACTGAAACAAATATCCATTTTTCATACTGTACAGATAATGTCAGTTTTTTTATTTAGTTAACTATAACGAATGAATTAACTATGTTTTTGTTAATTAAAATCAAGCTGAAATAAAATAAAATATAAATATTAGCTGAAAATGTTTAACTTAACTTGGGAAATTAAAAAAATTCACCTTGGCATTTCACTGAAATAAAATAAAATTAAGTTTAAAATCACCATTAAATCAATATAGACAATTCTTATTTTTCATGGAATAGTGCAGTGTTATATATGATCTTTAATCAAAATAACTTCCCCTCCCCGTCAGTGTCATGAGAGCGGGACAATCATCGGCCCCCTCCAGCAGTCACTCACATGAATTGTTGGAATTAGCAAACAACAACCATTCATTCAATTCTTAATGAATGATTGAATGAATAAGGAATTTATACTGTACAACATTATACAGTATAGCAGTTTAATTTTGCCCATCAATTCTGATTGATGCTATTGTGTTGCATCATCTAAATACCTCAGATCATGCAGTTTGTTAGGCACCTGGGGGTGAATAAAATATTTGGCAGTGGGCACCAAATCTCAATTTTCATAGCTGTTCATTAAACATGGCATGTGTCACATCAGTATTTTTTGCACAATCTTTAGTGCTAATCTTTGCGATATCTCATGTTTCTTGCTGAGGCGAGGTGTGCTGTTCCTTTAATAAGTGATCTGACTTTGCATCAGAGGGATGATAAAACATGGCAAAAAAAAATCCATACGTCTACATTTGACGGAGAGAAACATATCTAGAGACCAGAATATAATAGAGGCTTTTGACTTAGGTCTGTTAGCAACCACCCAGAACACACTAGCAGATACATAGCAACAGACAGCTGAACGTTTGCCCAGACAAACAGCACACACATTTCTTCAGAGAGTAAACATGTAGTTTTCAGATTAGTTTGAGCTCATTCCTCTCTTTGAATTGACAGATGGTGATTCACTTCTCAGCCGGTTTTCTGCACTGTGGGGTCTCAGTTAGAGAGCAGTTACAAGACCTTTTAAATATTTATGTGCAACATCGAACAAATGGTCAAGTGATGATGGTGATGATGATGATTACTGTGTCTGATTTGAAACATCTGCATGATGTTAAGCACAAAACACTTTGCTTTTCATATGAAAATGACTGTTAATTGATGGGGTTTGAAATATACCATTATGCTGCTGTTTTATTAAAAGTCTGAATGGTCTCGCGGCTGAGCTGTGTGGGACGCAGGCACATCTGTTGTCATGGACACAGGAAAGAAAATACTGTGTTTGGGAGCGCTGTGTAATGGAAGCAAGACTTGACTGGGATCCAGTCTTTTTCTGTAAATAGCTTTCATATCCTGTCCAGAATTAGAAACATGGCATTACCACATGATGAAACCCGCCAGGCCAGACAACATTAGTATTTTTTTCATCATCTAACAAGTTTGTAGCCCTTAAAACTAAAGGCCGAATGGGTACAGACATCATGTTTTAATCTAATGCTGTTTACATAGAAGACATTTTGATGCGTTTTCTTTACAATGAACAGATGTATATACCGACAGATCACTTCATTCACAATTCTTGGGGGGAAAAAAATTGTGTACTGAAACACCAAAACCAAAATTATTTTCATTTAGCCAAAAATTGAAACCAAAAAATAAACTTTATTTAATAATCTATTAACACTCAAATAATAACTGATATGTAAATTGCACATAAGGCAGTTTTTATATCAACATTTGAATGATATAATTATGTTTGTACTCCAATTTGTTGTTGAAGTATGAACATTTAAATACAACTTTAAAAGATATAATAAAAACGACAGATTTTTTTAAATCATACATTCAATTAGGCAAACAACAGGTTAAGTAAAAATATAATGAACATGTAGTGCATGTAGTGGAAATATGGTGGTTAACAAGCTATGGACATTGAACAGTTTTGGCGGAATTATTATTTAAAGAAAACATATTACTAGATATAATGTCAATGCTAGAAATGATTTTGGAACAGTCTGAAAGCATTTCTAACATCAATCCCTCTTGTTTTTCAGATGAAAGAGACAGAGTCCAGAAAAAGACCTTTACAAAATGGATAAATCAGCACCTCTTAAAGGTAGGTCTGTTGTAGTTTTCATAGCGTTGCATGGGGTCGTGTATCAGTGCACATTAGTAAGGCGCTTGTTGGTGGTAGAAAGAGAATCCTTTCCTAATATGCTGTGATCTAAATTATGGGTATCCAAATATACAAACTATGAACTCAGAAATGGAGGGTGTTAACATATGCAGTGGTTCTGCCTGGGAGGGATCTGGCAACTCCACACACGCTTCATTAATTCTTCAGGTGTGCCAGTGTCTTCAGGGCATTTGCAGTCACCTCTGGTTTAAAGAAGCTCTTATAATATATGATAGAACACATTATCAGTTTATTAACCGTGAAGCACACATGCTGACGCGCCTGAACATTACATGAATATACTGTTTCCTGGATGAAATTAAGTGATCTCCAGGACAGTTTTAGCAGAGACCTCAGTATCAGAACTCATTTTGTTGTGAATAACAGGTTTTAATTTCAAATTTTCAAAATTAGGGCCAACTACCTTGTAAAGTTTGTGCAAATGTTTTGTTTTCAGGTTTTCCGAAGCAACACACTTATCAAAGATGGCAAGTAACAGCGTGTCCAGTAGAATCACTTCAGCTTGATTTTCTGTTTATTTACATTTATTCCAATCAGATAAATGACTTCATAAATGCTTTTGATTGTTATTACTGTGAATAAGGTAGCAAAATATTTCACCATAAAGAAAAAAGGCAAGTAACAACATGTTGGATAAATTGATATGGAGGATTATTATAGTTAACTCTGGAATGGAATGTTCTACATGACTTGAATAAAGAATTCAGAGGATATATATATATATATATAAGATTGCTATAAATTTTTACCAATATATCAAGTCAAGGCAGGTCTGTATTATTTCATGCATTATCAATATACCAAAATATGATTATAAACAGTCACAAATGAGTAGTTGAAATTATTAATAAAAAAACTGTTTTGATGGAACTGATTTGTTGTAATGAATAATATGGCAGTACAGCATTGACTAAGTCTGTTACATTAACTTTAAACACAATTTTTTATACGTTTAGTAGATAAATATTACAGTGTGGAGGTCACTTTTTCAACTTGGTGCTGACTAGCAATGCATAGTCAAGTGTAACAGACTGGACTGACCCAGAAGCCGAGTTAAACGTCTATTTTAGTCATGCAGCTGTGGGATTATGAACAAGAGGACCTGTGTGAAAGCAGGTCAGAAAGGCAGAGAGGTGACTTCAGCGGCGCGGTATTCAAGACAAAAGCAGTGTTCACACTTCTGGAGCTGCAGAGGTGAAAGGCCTTCAGATGAGATGTCTGTCATTGGCCAGCGTCTCATGGGAGCATTAATGTTTACAGAGCTACGTGTATGAGGAATAAAACGGCTTTCAACACAGCATGGGGGATAATTCATACAAAAAACATACTCTCGCAACATCAGACATCATTCCTGAGTGCTTGTTTGTAAGAGGCAATGACTGATGGTTTCCCGAGCACTAAGATGCTGAGCAATATGGTGTTTTGGCCAATAAACCCAGTGATATCAGCGTTGGTTGCCATGCAACAAAGAGGCCTGTTCGACTTCCTGGGGTGTTACGCATTCCGGGGGGAAGGGTTCATGGGTCCTCATATGGCTTGTTAACTGAGGTTACAGAGTATTTGTTATATAAAAAGAGAATATATAGTGTGTTGGATTGGTCCAGACGCTACAATGTGATACTGAATTTGGAGAACTTCAACAACATTAATCAAAGCATCTGTGCTTTTGGAGTGCAGATATGAGCTGGTTTGGCATTGGTCAAAACTGCAGATGTGTTTAAACAGGCCTTTTGCAAGGAGTACTAGTGTCTCAGTCACTGTCATACAATGGGTGGATCTGGTCCTTTGTCTTCTGAAGGATAGAAACCACAGTGATGGGAGTGTCACATCTCTGTGCTATTATAGATATTGTTGATTGCTGGATATAATTCCCCATTAAAGGATGCCCTTCAAATTGCTAAGAGAATATGACAGAATTGTGAATCTGATAAGATGCCAGGTTCTTGGCGTCTGGTGGAATGGGAGAGGATGTTGGCGTTTGTTGTTCACCACTTCTCCACCACTTCTCCGTCACTTCTCCATCGCTCAATTGTTTTTCCGTCTAATCAGTTTTTTGCTCTTTGAGGTTTTTGCATAGATTGTTACTAGACTGAAAGCTTTTTACTCAATTACTGCTATCCTCTCATCTGGATTGTCACTGTCATACAATGGGTGGATCTGGTCCTTTGTCTTCTGAAGGATAGAAACCACAGTGATGGGAGTGTCACATCTCTGTGCTATTATAGATATTGTTGATTGCTGGATATAATTCCCCATTAAAGGATGCCCTTCAAATTGCTAAGAGAATATGACAGAATTGTGAATCTGATAAGATGCCAGGTTCTTGGCGTCTGGTGGAATGGGAGAGGATGTTGGCGTTTGTTGTTCACCACTTCTCCACCACTTCTCCGTCACTTCTCCATCGCTCAATTGTTTTTCCGTCTAATCAGTTTTTTGCTCTTTGAGGTTTTTGCATGGATTGTTACTAGACTGAAAGCTTTTTACTCAATTACAATCACCTTGATTTTTCCATCGTTCAGTACTGCTACTGCGGAGTATACTTGGGCAGCTACTCAGCTGTCTTGTTGCGGTTTAGCCTCGAGCCTAGGACCGCTATCTCTACTTTCATGTGGACCATCTTCTCGCTGTGCTGAAGAGTTTTCCATCATTATGTTTGGCTAATGACTAGCTCCAGGTAAACCCTTTCTGTGACCGGCATGAAGCTCAAGTATTGTATCCCGCAGCTGCTGAATCTTAACAACTGTACCATTCCAAAGCGCATTGCAGCCATAAAGGACTTGGACTCCTGCTCCGACCATGTTACACCCATAGAACTTCCCGTCAAAAGCTTGTTTACCATCAACCTGGCCATTCTCCTTTAGCCATTCCTTCCATCTGGACCACTGTTGCACATCTGCTGCGTCATCAGAGCAATGTCGCTCTCTGTGTTATTAATACGGGAAACACCACGAGATCTCTGCACACTAAGTTGGACAGGAAACATGGAGTGGATTCTGGTGTACTACGACCTCTACAGAAATTCACTACTTCATCAATGTTCAAAATAGAACAATTTCTCAAAATACACAATCTCTCACAAATAAATCATCTTTCATAAAATATCACATTATGGACAAGGGTTTAGACTGTATGTGCTTAACAGAAACGGGGGACCAGCCAGAGGTCTACTCAGCACTAAATGAGGTCTGTCCCCCCGGCTACAGCTACCTGGAGAAAGCCCTCAGTACTGGTCGTGGTGGTGGCCTAGCGTAATATACCGACAACAATTGGAGCTGTCTCCCCTCTCTATGCCTACTCTGTCCTCATTTGAATGCCTTGCCCCATCCCCATGATAATACTCCTTATCTACTGACTCCCTAAACTAATCTCAGTGTACATCTCAGAGATGCATGTCCTTTTTATTACACTTTGCACCACCTCTGCTAACGTTATATATTGGACATTTCAATATTTACAAAGACACACCCTCCTACCATTTTGCAGCTGAGTTTCTGCAACTACTTGATTGTCTTAACCTCCAACAACAAGTTAATATCCCCACACATTCTAGGGGGCACATACTGGATTTGGTCATCTCAAATTCTGTTCCCATTAGTAATCTTCTGGTGTATGATTTGGGTGTTTCTCACCACAAGGCCATCTCAATGGAGCTGTTCTTTCGCTTTTCCCACACCAAATAAAAGTGCCAAATATGCTTTAGGGACTTGAAAAGATCAACCCCTGGTACACCTGTGAACTGCGGAAGATGAAGACAGCTGGGTGTGCCATTGAGTGGCTCCTCAAGGTCACAGGACTCACTGTTCATAGGCAAGTCTACAGAGAGCATCAGAAGGCCTATGCAAGGGCCTTGAGAGATGCAAGATCACATTTTTACTCTAATATTGTCAATAATTGCACTGGTATCTCCAAGCAACTGTTTTCTACTATTAATCACACTCTTAAACCACAATTTTTTTCTCATTCAGAAGCTACAGAGGTGAGTTGCAACACCTTTATCACTTTTTCAGTGAAAAAGTAGTTGCCATTCACTACCTCTTATCCAGCTCCTCTGCCTTACCTGCCCCAACTGTCGACCCACAGTCTGGGACTTTCCAACCTCTATGGTGTTTCTCTGACATCTCACAGTGAGAGGTTGAGGATATTATTAGAAAGATGAAATCGTCCACCTGTGCTTTGGACCCCTTTCCTACAGCTTTGGTCAAATCGAACCTCTGTGTTATAAGTCCATTGATCCCTGGAAAAATTAGTTGCTGCACGGCTTCAGGTCCATTTAAAACAAAACAACCTGTTTGAGAAATTCCAGTCTGGTTTCCGCCCCGGCCACAGCATGGAAACAGCTCTGGTCAGGGTCACAAATGACCTGCTGATGTTGACAGATGCTGGTTTCCCATCTTTTCTCATCCACCTGGACTTGACTGCAGCATTTGGCACTGTGGACCTATGTCTGGGAAATATGAAAAAAAAATAATAATAAGTGAACAAAATGCAAGTTTTGGCCATTTGCAATCCATATAAAGCACTCGCTGCAATATTTCAGTCACTAAAAACAGCGGGACATTCTAAAACACTTAATGTGAAAAATGCTTAAAGTTCCTTAATCTATTAAAACAGTGATATAAAAAGATCAAATTCAGTATACACCTTATTGATGATGCATACTTCATATAGACAAGCAGATGAGCCTATGTTCAATCAGTGCGCTAAATGGTGTTTTCTTTATAATGATTTTTTATGGGAAAACACTTAATGTGAAACTTTGTGCATTGCGTTTATATTCTGGGTTCATCTGCTTGCCTGTGCAAAGTATGCATTATCAATAAGGTTTATACTGAATTTGACTTTTTAATATCACTTAAAACATTACTACAAACCTTGTAAAAATAACTGGCGTTCGGTCAGTGGCGTTCGGTCATCTAGTACAGAGAGGCATATTCACATTTTTTTGTTTGTGCAATAAAGTGCTGTCTACAATGAGAAAGTTCCTCCCCTAATACTGCCTGCTACAGACTAGCAATAGCATGCAGCAAACGTAAAATCATGACTTTGTTCAGAATGGTTATCCAGTTATCATCTGAAATAGTTAGAGTGACAGTATGCTGTTCTAGCCATGGGTTTACTGGGCTATGACAACTAAAGACCATTGGCTTAAAAAAAAAAACCTCAATAAGTCCATCCCCAACTTCCTGTCTAATAATAAGTCAACACAGGAAGGAAAATTGTGTTTGTCAAACAATTGAATAGGGTCATTAAATAAACTCAGGGAACTCAAGAACAATACGTACAATGTACACTTCATAGGAAACCTTCATGAGACCATCAACATTCATTTGAAGATTCAGCTGTTTGTCAGACTTGTAATGAAGTGCACATGCTGTTCAAAAGAAAGCACAAAAGCACACAATGTAAGTCATCCGGAACAGTGACTCGAATTATGGAAGCTTCTGTTAAAAATAAAACACTTTGGTTAGAAATCTCCCATTTTACAAATGGTCACATTTATTGCAGAGTCTTTCATTATGTCCATATGAAATTAATCCAAAGGAAAAAATGTGTAATATTTTATTTTCTATATTTGATTTGTTTTAATCAATGATTGGCATTACAGTCACATTTATTCATTTAGAAGATTCTGTTCCCCAAAGTGACTTCTGGAGCTCTGTTGCAGTGACTGAGGTTGATTTGACTGAGAATTCCTCCAGAAGCTTTCACTGTTATGTCCGGTCACCCCCATGATGTGAGTGCTTCATTTGGGCAGCTGATTGCATCGATCTGAGAGAGAAGTGCCCCCTTTCTTTTGGTGACACCCTGTTTCTTCTCCTGCTTGTCTCCTGTCCTTCTTATTTTCTTCTTCTGTCCATCTCTCACGTGTCCATCTGTGTCTGTGTCTGTGTCTGTGTGTGTGTCTCCCTCTCGTGCTCATGTTCCCGCCGGTAAGCCAAGGGAGCGTGATTTTCTGAAGACGGTACAGTTGGTGAGTGCGGCTGACGCATGCACACTTGAGCGGCATGGACGTGACCACGATGATGATGAGGATGATGAGGATAAGGGGGTAGGTGTGGACACGTGTCCTCCTGCCCCCTCGTAACAGGAGTGTGCTGTGTGTAGTAACTGGAGTGCCAAACCCAGAGAACTCAGTGGACTGTAGGCACCTGGGGCTTTGCAGATCTTTGCAGATTCACCAGATAGTGAGGTTGAAGTGATAGGGATGGGTAAATAGCATCTGCCTCATCGCTGAATATTGCTTTCTGGGGTTGCTGTGAGTGCTCTAGAATGCCAGCTTGGTTATTTCTCAAGACACAGAAGCTTGAGCTGTGAACTAAAGTCCTGATTCAAGTTCCTTTCGCTTCAAGAGTGTGTTAAAGACCCCATGAAATCAAAGCTTTGTAGCTTTCAGTACATTTTTTAGTCCGCTAGCTTAAAATTGATGACAATGTCTCTGGCTCAGTGCCATATGTCATTTTTTTTCTTAGACTAAACAAATTCAAATGTTGTTTTAAGTGATGATATGTGCATATGTGCCTGATATATAGTTATTAAGCAATGATCATGTCAACATGATTTTAACTTTTTAAAAACAAAACTGTTTATTGAATACGTTTTAAGTCCTTAGAGAGGAAAGGAAAGGGAATTATACTTGAATAATGCAGAAAAAGTGGGCGATTATACAATTTAAATGAAAAAAAAAACAGTACAGAATTTTCAACTATTTGAATTTTTATAAGCTGTTCATACCCGGTTTGTACAAAGTTAACCAGATTGTGGTCAAATGTGCTTGATATTAAAAAAAGTTATTAAAGTGCATCAAGCCAATAATTAAAAAAAGGCTGTTTTGTATGCAAAATCCAAGACACAGTGGCAGGAGCCATGACTTGAGCCATTCATTGTCCATAACTTGTTAGTTCGCTTGAACATAAGGCATTGATTATTTTATTTGTGTCTTTGTTGTGTTGTATTCATCTGTCCTATAGAGTGCTGCAGGGATGATGTGTTTTAGTAGGCCAAAACCTGGACACAAACAAGCATTTTAGCACTTCCGGTTCCATCTGAAATAAGGTCTGTGTTTAACACAAGCTCACGATATTTTCATGTTTCGTTTTGCGACATAAAATATGTCAGTAATACCCCCTTGTGATTTGTTAAAGGGGTCATATGATGCTTTTTTAAAGATCATTATTTTGTGTATTTGGTGTAACAGAATATGTTGACATGCTTTAATGTTCAAAAAACACATTATTTTTCAAATACTGTACATTATTGTAGGTCCTCTATGCCCCGCCTCTCTCAAACGCTTCGTTTTCTACAAAGTCCCTTCTTCCGACAAGCGCAGTCTGCTCTGATTGGCCAGCTGACCCAGTGCATTGTGATTGGCCGAACACCGCAAGCACTCGTCGGAAATGTAACGCCCTTATCTCTGTGATCTCTCTCTCTCTCTCACACACACACGCGCGTGCGCGCACACGCTCACACACACACACACACACACAATGCGCAAAACTCCGCATTTGAACAGTCAATAGCAAATACTTAAACTAGTAACAAAACAGTAGCTGATTCAGAAGCGCCAGATTGTCATAGCAAAGTCAGAATGACCTCCTCTCCTAGCTTCACGAAACGGTCGTCCATAAAATGCATTGCTGTTCTGTTGTAAGTAATCTTAAAGATTCCTAAATGCATCTACTTTCGGAAGGCCAAATAAAGTGCTTTTGCTTTCACACTGAAACACACAGCGTCTCCCTGACATGGCTGCTTCAACATTAACTGCGGTTACTGAAACTACGCCTTCTTTCTTTGCGTGCACATTTGGGCGGCATTATGCAAATATTTCCACATAGTGAGGTAGATATGTGGGGGCGTGTTAGAACGAGCCGTTTTAGGGGGGCGTGGCAGAGTCTTAACTTTGATAAAGAATATCTCTTTGGTTTTGAGACTTTAGTCTTTGCAACTTCAGGGATCTTATCTATTCACAATCAGCTTGTAACACTCCAAAGAGAAAGGAAAACTTGAAATCGCATCATATGACCCCTTTAAAGCTTTTACTTGTCTTTGAAAAGGTGATTGCTAGCTAAATGGGACTACAGAGGTTGTCGCTCTCGCAAACTATTCTAAATCAAACTTTCAGTGAAAGTTTTTTTTTTTTTTAAATAAAGACTGAAAGACTTGTCAGAAGCCTAATGGTTGAATGCTTAGCACTGAAGTCATGCGATATAACCTACGTTTAGCTTTTTGTGTTAATTCTAGTTGTGTTCATTTGTGAAGGTAATCATGATTGACAAAAATCGTATTTTTGCAATTATCCAAAAGCCAAATCCTGTTGGGTTTTCTGTCAAGGGAATCAGGGTGATTCCATCTTCTGGGTTGGCCTACACAAATCTGTCATCACTGCAGCGCTCTATTGCTTGTCATTTGTTTATTTAGTCTTAATTATTTGCTGACTGTTTACTTGTCTTCAATAACAGTTTGAGGACTTCTTATTTATATTTATTAGCCTAGTATTAGTTTTTGCTATTGTACTGAAATTGGCATCTGTACCCGTCAAAACATTTCATGGGGTCCTTTTATTGCTCATCGTAAATTTACAAATTTACACATACTTGTGTTTAATGAAAAGTGCTATTCCGTGTGATAGAAACCTCTTGTTTTTGATCGATAGCACATTTCGTCATCTTTTACTATTCTGTGAACTAAACACATGGAACTCACGTCAGTCCTTTACTTCCAGTCTCACTGTGCCGTTGCACTTAAGGGCCACACAAACGGTTTGTCATCCATCATCTGCTCAATCATTCTCATTTCTCTTTAAGTGTCCCTACACTGTGCTGTACGTCACTGTAACTAAGTTTGATGAGCACCTTTGAGAAAACTCCATCTGAGCAGATGGACAATGGAGATTTTCCCTTTCTCTCCATCTGCTTTATTCCCGTTTCACTGCTTCCTGCTCCAGTCTCGGCTCACTCCGCATCTCTGACCTTGCGTTTGGCTTGTGTTTCTTCAAGGCATCACATGATGTAGCGTTAACCTGTATGAAGTTAGCAATAAACCTCGTGTACTTTAGTCAGGCTAGCTAGGCATTGATGTGCAGTAGTTCAGATGTCCAGACATGAGCGCAGCTTCATGGGTTTCTCTCCCGCAGGCGAGACGGTACGGTGAGTGTCTGGTGCCGAGAGCTCGGCCGTGTCTGATGACGCATGCACTGATGTCTTCTCTCTCTCTCTCTCTCCTGTCCTCACAGCCACGAGAGAAGGGCCGCATGCGCTTCCACAGACTCCAGAATGTACAGATCGCATTGGACTTCTTAAAACGACGGCAGGTGAGACCAGTGAGAAAAAGAATCAACAATAAGATAAAGTGATTTTATTTTTAATGCAATTCATCATGCGTTTATGATGAAATATGTTTAACACTGTTCATTTAAATTTATATAAGTTCTGCTCCACTAGTGGCTCCAAATAGCATTACAAACAATGACTGGTCCATTGGTCAAACAGATAGTCCTGCCCAGAAACTCACCCCATTGGTTGAGTCAGTGTGACTTTGTCGGGCTGCTCTAAAAACACGTCATGTTAACACCACAGAGTCAATGTATTGATAGTCTTTAGGAATTCAACCTATTACTTAGTTCATCTCTGCATGTTAAACCGGAATTGGAGCATCAAAACCTGTACATTAAAAAATTGACATTAAATCAGGTTCTGTTCTGTGTGATTTCCAAATCAACCCTCGTGAAGAAAAGAAGTGCAAGAAAAAAGTACACATTCCAGAAATACAGAATACAGAACATTTTAATAATATAATGCATTTGCAATTCAAAACAATACAGACTAGTTCCCATAGAGCTTAATTTGACTGTTATTCATCAGTTCAAATCTCATCTCATTTTTTTATTTATGTTAAATGTTATTATATTATTTGTCGATGTTTTTCTTCAATTGAATCTGTTAATTATGAAAGAAAATGGTTTAATTTGTAAACGTTATAAAGGGCGTGGGAATGATCATGTTTTGTTGATCAATTATCTGGATCAAATAAATAAGAGCAAGACAAAAATGCATGGTGGAATGAAGTATGTGACTAAATGCAAACCCACTGCCATGCTTCCTTCCAAAAAACATGATGCATTGCACTTTTACTCTACTCAATACCCTAAATCAGGGGTGGGCAAACTTGGCCTTTAGCTCCAACTCTAATCAAACTCTAATCAAACACACCTGAACCAGCTAATCATTGTCTTCAAGACTACTAGAAAGCTACAGGCAGGTGAGTTTTATCAGGGTTGGATCACATCTCTGCAGGAAAGTGGCCTGGAAGGGCCAAGTTTGCCCATCACTGCCCTAAATTAACCTCCCGTCCTCTAGTGCCCACTTGTGGTGAGACACTGACAACTTTAAATCAGTGCCATAAGCAGCACAGATTTATTGCTCTTAGAATTATGTGTATAGTCTAGAATTGCTGCAAGGATTTGTTTTGGAAAGCAAATGCATTTCTAATTGCAGCATTATAAAATACTTTGGTAACACTTTATTTCGATAGTCCACTTTAGACATTCTATTAACAGTAAGTAACTTTGCAACTACATGTCAACTAGCAGTTAGTAGAGTATTAGTAGACTGTTTGCTTAATATCTTCTAACACTTTCTTTGTCAACTTATTCTACTAACCCTAAACCTACCCTAAGTCTACTCTGAGAGTTAGTAGACATGTAGTTGCAAATGAATGAGAATTAGTTGACATGTAGTTGACATGTAGTTACAAAGTTACTTATAGTTAATAGAATGTCTAAAGTGGACTATCGAAATAAAGTGTAACCAATACTTTTTGCCATCATTCATTTTTATATAGAGTATTTTGGTTCAATTCTAGTTTATTTGTGTAGCGCTTTTTACAATATTGTCTCACAACATATTGTTTCAAAGAAAAACACAGCTTTATGTAGCATAAATACAGCTTTGTGTAGCTTTTTATAGAAACTAAACACTGCACCGGTTAAGAATTTCGAATTTATTCTTTTTAAAATACCCCAAATGCATGTAACACACATAAACCATTTACTATTGTAATCGTATATTTATTAACTTAATGTTTCATCTGTGTTAGTTAACATGGGAATTATGATAACACAATACTGATTGTGCAGGGAGACAGACTCATCAGATCGCACAATTAATGGAAATTAGCATGATATGGAAATGCATGATATATGCAGTCATGTGTCTTTATGGAATGATTGCAGAGCGCTGCATGATTGTGTCATCATATCACTCATCAAAACTGTATAATGCTTGTGTTCTCAGGTGAAGCTGGTGAACATCAGGAATGATGACATAACGGACGGAAACCCAAAACTGACATTGGGATTAATATGGACCATAATTCTGCACTTTCAGGTTAGCCAGTCAAGTCTAAGAATTTTGTAACAATTTGTATTTGTCTTTGTATTGTTTATTTATTGGCTTTTGATGCTGGATGTAGGTTTTTTTATTGCTCACAATGTGAAGTATTCCAGTTCATTCTCTGACCACAAGAGGTCAGATGTGTATGTGCAAACTCACATTACCTCAAGGGTGAACAGATATTTAATGAAAAGAGCTTATGAGACCACACAGTATTTATTTACTGCTAATAATGCGGTAGTAATGAGCCAGAACACCTTAGCCGTCGCCCATCAAAACCATGGTGCAGGAAGTTCTCAACACCCCGGCAATCACATAGTGTTCAAATTATAAATATAAAAGTCCATAAGTTAACCTCAGGTTTCAAGGCTTTTTTTCATCTTTCAGGCAAGGCATTCAAAGTTTGTCTTCATATTTCTGTTCTAGTATGATGATTGTTTAGTTGTAGGTGGAGTGCAGTGAGTTCTATCTGTCAGTCTGCAGAGCGTGTTCACTCAAATACTCAGGCCCGCTTTGGCGTTTATTCATTTTCTGTAATGTCTTCATGCAGGAACATTTCCCGGTTTTAATGAAACGCTGTGATGTGCCAGAATCTTTAATTAGGCCAATGTGATTCAGTAACTGCATTGTGAGATTGATTTATTAGGGTCATTATTTTAGCATCAACATTTCACGAGTTCACACTTATAATGAACCGAGTAAAGTTTATGCGTATTTGGCGTGCTGTCCGGGGAGAGGGCTCCGAGCTCGGTAATTACTCTCGAGCCCGGGGTCCTCCCCCTGGCCGGGGAGAGGGGTCCGAGCTCGGGATTAAGCCCGGACCCAGAATGCTCCCCCCGAGTGTTCCTCCCCGTGCTGGGGTAGGAACGGGCTGAAGGTGAGGAGTCGGGGTGGTGGAGGGATGCTAAGGACGGGAGATAATGGAGGTAAGGCTGCTTTGATTATTTATAGAGGTTCTCTCTTGAGCTGATTGGATAGATGGTGTAATTACTGATGATGAACTGGCCGTGTTAATTATCTGTGCGCGCTCCTCCCGAAACTTGTTAATAAAACATCACGTAGTAGCTGAACATGGGAAATATTTGTGTACACAAGATCTTATTCAGATTCTATATGCTTCCTAATAATGGAAAAAACTATGCTTTTCACAATGAAAGAGCTTTTATTGCTAAATATTCTGATAGTGTAATTACTGATGATGAACTGGCCGTGTTAATTATCTGTGCGCGCTCCTCCCGAAACTTGTTAATAAAACATCACGTAGTAGCTGAACATGGGAAATATTTGTGTACACAAGATCTGTCTTGAATGTTTTACTCAATTATTCAGATTCTATATGCTTCCTAATAATGGAAAAAACTATGCTTTTCACAATGAAAGAGCTTTTATTGCTAAATATTCTAAAAAAAAAAAAGTGCTGATGCTGATGAAGTCATCCTGAGCTAAAGATGAAAATTGCAGAGAATATTTTTTTTTTGCATTTTATGTCTGTGATAGGCTTTTAAAAAAACTGTCTCACAGTAGTCCTGCAGTATTTCTGCAAAATTTGTGCTTTAGCTGCCTCACGCAGAGGTCACACAGAGGTTCTGCTGCAGCTGCAGCTGCGCATTTGCAGGTCTGAGCCTGTGAAACCTTCACTGCAACAAATGTACAGTTCATAAGACGGAGGTGGAGAGGGGCCGTTCACACAGGACAAGTTCCTGCTTTCCGTCTGCGCTGCTTTTTAATTGTTGCAGTGTACACACGTGCATCAGAAGGAGGTCTTTGCCCATTATATCTCACAGCTTTTTAATGTCACATTTTCTTCACTTAAATAAAAAAAATGTGTGCAGTGCGTCTCTGTTTGGTTTCCTTCAGTTGCAAACATGAATGTGTTCAAATATTCCCTTGATTTCGGACACGCTGTCCTACCTTCACTGTAGTAGGCTAATAATATCCTAGCCTCGGCTTCATGTTTGGTTTGAGGTCATGTTATGATTGAAACATTTTAGCAGTAGCCTGTAGCAGTAGTCGACCCGGGCCTCGACCAGAAGTCAAAGCATCACCGCTCTTCTTGATTCACTCCTCCAGCAGACAGAGAGCAGGAATGCAGGAACGACAGGCTCTGACAACTTCACCGCAGCTCGATCTCGCGAACCACGCTGACCCGGCTTCCCTGACGGCCCACAATGGGCTGAAGGCTTACAGAACAACTCTAAAAATTGATATCTGGGGCATAGCTGAAGAATGCGTTAAATAATGCTTGGCTTCATGAAGCTTGCTGACAGGTAGCGTGGGGACGTGCACGAGCACCTGCCGCTGTCACTCTCACGCGAGCCGTTGGGCATGCGGCGCTAGTGGCTGTGGGCCTGTTCCCTCATGATCCGCAGTTAGAGGATACATAGAGTTGTTTTTGATGGCTCTGCCTAGACATTAGTCTCCTCAGGGATGATTTCTGAACCGTGTTTCTGATCCTCCGGTCTCTTCATTGGAAGTATCCAGTTTCCAACAAATGAAGTATTGCAATTCGCTGTGAATTTACATCTATTGTTTGCAGCTCTTCAGGCAGTGACTAATGTAATTAAAGATTTTGGAGAAAGTATTTATTCATTAATACAATATCCACAGCTGCAAACTGAATACTGTCTGTTAGAACATGCAAACAAAGACATTTGACTCTGAATCAAGCTGGCATTAGCCATTATGTTGTTTTAGTGGTCTTTTTTGCCTTATAAGCATGCTTTGAAGTTCATGAATGAAGGGTGTGTTGAGGGTGTATCCGCATCACCTCCAGCAATAATGTGCAACAATGTGATGTTTTATCTTTACTGTTTTTAAAGCGGCACTGCAAAATAGTTTTTGCTCCAAACTGATCAAGATTGCATTTGAATATTGATTTAAATTTGGAATTGTCGGGTCAGATTTGGCGGGAAATTCCAGGCAAAGTCATTCATTTGTTCATGTTTACATCAGGTCTGCACAGAAGAAGGCCTGGCTAGCATATCGTATGTTGTAGAGTAGCATGGGAATACAAATGAAGAGTGCTGCTGCATATAATTTGAACTAGTCAGCTAGCTGCCATTTAACATGGACATTTCTAAAAAGCAGCCCTTCTGGGGAATCACCCACTGTCAAAACAAACAAACTGAAAAGACTGTCAGTGGGTCTGGGCGCACCGAACGAATGCGTTTCTAAGGGATCCATACACAGGTCTCTGTGATATTATAGTGGTGAGATGTGGCAAAATGATTAGCAGATCTTGGGCCAGATTTACTAAACAGGGCAAATTAGTGTGAGAGCGCAATCCCATAAAAGCGCAGATGGAAGTGGGAAGTTCTGCAGTTGATCTACTGACAGTGTGCACATTAAAGTGCACACAGTAGAGTAGCATGGGAATACAAATGAAGAGTGCTGCTGCATATAATTTGAACTAGTCAGCTAGCTGCCATTTAACATGGACATTTCTAAAAAGCAGCCCTTCTGGGGAATCACCCACTGTCAAAACAAACAAACTGAAAAGACTGTCAGTGGGTCTGGGCGCACCGAACGAATGCGTTTCTAAGGGATCCATACACAGGTCTCTGTGATATTATAGTGGTGAGATGTGGCAAAAGGATTAGCAGATCTTGGGCCAGATTTACTAAACAGGGCAAATTAGCGTGAGAGCGCAATCCCATAAAAGCGCAGATGGAAGTGGGAAGTTCTGCAGTTGATCTACTGACAGTGTGCACATTAAAGAACACCGATGCAGTCAGATCATTTCTATAATGACCAACATGATCTACAGAGAGCAGTGCAAATTAGTGTAGGGTCGCAAACAAGCAGAGCTGATGATAATGTGTGTGCAGATAAGCTACTAACAACACAGCCGCAAAATGAATTAAGACATTTTTGGGGGGCAGTAAATAATGGTGCAAATACCAGTAAATTGACTGCCACAAACCTTAATAAATCACCTCGCATGATTCCTTTAAATACTCTCCTCGCGTAAATGTTGCGTCTGAAAGTGAAACTCCTACAAATGCATATGCAATAAGGTCAGTCGCAGAAATAACTATGTCCACGCCTTTTCATTGCTAATGTTTTGTCTTCTGTAAATCCTGACAGTAGTTTTTTAATGCCTAAAGAGGGTCTGCGCTGGAACAAGCTGTTAGTAAGTCTGGCCCCTTGTTGGGATCCCTAAAACAAGCCTTAGCAAACACTACTAATTAACGTTAAATTAATGTTTGATCAATAACTTGCTGTATAAGCTAATTATATTTTACAACTATGCCTCCAAAATGAGTTTATATAGCCAATATAAGTTATTATCTTCCATTTCTATGACCACAGGTTATGTTTGTTTTACGTGCTGGACGTGATCCTTTTGAAAGCTTTGCTCTTGTTTCGAGCCAGATTAAAGAGCAAACAGAGAGCTTTGTCGTCTGGGGCAGCAAACTTTGTCATGTTGTAGAGTCAGCCACGTTGTCCTGTTATTTTTAAAGGCCACATGACAAGCCATGACTCTCTCTCAGCCTGGGACGTCCTATCCGAATGGCTCAACTTGCTGAGCAGAGCTTTCACACACGGCACACAGAAGCCATCAGGGAACGGACGAGAGTCTGTCCCGCTCCCCTCCCTTTTCTCTCTCTCTCTCTCCAGCCTCCAACTGCTGAGGAGCTGGAGTCAGCCTGTGGAAACTCAACACCAGCAGGGATCCGAGGGTGGCTGTGTTTACACATCACATGAGGACTGTGACGTTTCCTCAGCTGTGACAGCAGTGTTAGTTTCTGTTGCGTACCGGGTGCCTCTATCTCTATAGTGTTTGTTCTGGAGGATCAGGGCAAAGGGTGAGGTTTCAAAGGTCACTGAGATTTCAGTGTATTGGCAGTGTGAGAAGAAAGGGCTGGGCTATGGAGCGAGGCTGGCGAACGTGCAATACAGGAAACTGAAGTTTGTTTGGAGTGTCTCGGTCCTCTGCCGAGTCTCAAGAGGCGTTCACATCATCCGCTCCACTCTAGATATTTGGACTACGGCTGATTTGTCTGACATCACCTCTAACTGAAACACTTGCCGGGGAAAAGATGGCTGTTATTTCCTGGGATAAGAAACTCTTGACCTTGCTGAACTTGTTTACAGCTGGCAGGAAAAAGTGAAACTTTTTTGATGGGCAGCCTTGTTAGTATGACCAAGCGCCATGGGTAATATGTGTGGAGGTGTGAGGGGCTCTAAGGAGGAGTGTTATGTTGATCCCACGAAAGCCCCAATCAGCCCTGCACAAAAGGAGCTCAGTGGACGCCGATACTTTCAAAGGAGGAAGAAGAGGAAATCCGCAGAGTTCAGTGCTACTGACTCATTGAGAAGCCATGGGGCTGAGAGCTGTAGGAATGATGACCTGGAGGATATCACATCCGGTAGGAATTCCCTCAATCGGGTTGATGCATTGAACTCGAAGCAAGACGAGGTTCCAAGGCCCAGGGAGCCCAGTATCAGCCATGGGGTCTATGTTGGAGAAGTCCCAGTTCCCCGAGGTAAAAGCGGTAGAAGACCAGATGTTCATCAGATGGATAAGGACAAAAGCAGGCCCACTTCAGAGCATAATCTACGTGGGGTCACCAAGAGCTCCAGAAGCATCGCCTCAAAGGATGGCCTTTTGGAAAAGAAACTCTTGCGGAGGCAGTTGAGGAGGGCGGCGAGTTTTGGAGCGGTGGAACATATGCTCCAGACACTGAGAGGAAAAGGCTTTCCAAGGAGCAGTGTGGATCATCAGTTGGAAAACGTGGAGGAGTTCTCCAAAATTATATGGGACACTCAAGTGCACAGGAAGCGGAGGAGGGCCCACACTTGCTCGGGAGGTTTAGTTTCCCAGGCTACGTTGGATACTGTCCAACAAGATCTTAAACATGCTTCTACTGAACAGCAGGAGGTAATATTAGCATCTGTCGGCATATGAGATGCCATTTATGGTGCAACAATACAATTTGTGTATCATTACTTAATAGGGCTGGGACAATAAATCGATGCATCGTGAATCGAGAAATTATTCTGCATCAATTCTAAGATTTTTCCGAAGTCATCGCGATTCTCTCTTGAATCGATTCTGAGCTTAGTTTTTAACAGCAGATGGCACTGCGTCCTTTAGAAATAGCTGTATTCTGCTTGCTTCCAGTTCCTTACACACACACCATTTGAACCTAAAATAATCATTCATAAAGTTCGAAAAGGTTGAAGCGAATTACAAGGATGTTCACAGTGGGCTGTGTTTACATTAATCTTGCATCATAAAAGCATAAAAGCCAATGTGCAAGTACATTTAACCACTTACATTACTCAGCCGAACGCGCAAGCGCTCTTCTTCGTGAGCATTTGTGCGGGTGACCGAGTGTGTGGTTAAAAACTAGCCTAGAGCGCCATCTGCTGTTAAAAACTAAGCTCAGAATCGATGCGAGAGAGAATCACGATGCATTCCCAAAAATATCAGAATCGATCCACGAATCACGATGCATCGATTTATTGTCCCAGCCCTATTACACATCATACACCCTTTACTCATGAGACATGCTGTGTTTACTCCATGTTGTAATTGCCATAATTACTAGATGACAACCCGAGACTTTCTAGTGGTCAGGCTGTGCAAGTCAGGGCTCTCAGAAAAGTCAGAGTTTACAAGTTGTTATTTTAAGTTCTACAAGGACGTGAATGCTTTTTCAAGGAATCTCATATTTACGGTCATTCCGGCTTGACATGAATACACGTATACAACAGCCTTGATTGCCTGAAATAGGTACTACATAGCAGAAATATTTAGGACAACTACAAACTCTTTTATCTTAAGCGACTGCATTCATTTGATCAGTTGGGAATCAGGGACCGTGACACTATTAGTGTCATGCTCTCTACTGTTTGAGACACAAGCAAATTAATTTAGTGGGTCCTTTCACTAGAAGATACTAAGGGTAATATTTGACCTCTATTTTGCCTTGTGATATAACCAGAAACAGATACTTTGTCTCATAGCAGTGACTATATTCTTTATTTTAGCTATATTGACCCATCAGCATCTAGATTCTAGAAACTAGGCATTTTATAATGAATGATTCAGAGTTTCTGTAATGTTGTTGTTCATCTTGAGAGTCATGGCAGTGGTTAGTCAGAGCTGACATGTTTTGGTGTCTTCGGTTCTTGGATTAAGAAAACACATTATACCACAACATATTAAAACCAACAGCTTAATAATCATTCGCAGCTTGCTAAGTGTACAGTACATGAATGTGCTGACATTCAAGTCAACTCAAAAGAATCTGCCGGCCAGTGTAATTATAGCTTGTCAGAAGGCAGCAGAGCACATAGACTGTGGGTGTGGAAAGACTGAGCTATTAAATCAGTAGGTGTTGGCTTAGCTTTGCTCCAGGCATTTGATTTTAGAGCTGCACATCCTTCTTAGGAGTGATAAGTCATGTGAGATCTCTAGTGGTCAGTAGACACATCTGTGCTAGTGGTCACTGTTTATTATGTTCACTGCTATAATAAAAATACATTTAATATGATTTATTGCTTATGTGGAGGCTACTATAAATAACTCTAAAGGAAGAAACAGAGTAACCAACCTGTGCTGGTAAATCACTGATCAAATGTTAACATGAATCAGCCTTTCTACGTGTACCAGCTGAGCTTCATTGCTGAAACAGCAGAAAACAGATATTCGAAAAAGGCCAAATTACAGATATTTGCTAATATTAGATTAATAAGTCAGACACTGATTCCTTTGGCTGTAATTTAACAGTATCTGTGTGTGGGGAAATGCGTTGCATAATGTAGTGCACTTTTGCGCACTTTTCTGCTTGCTCACAAGTCATCCCATTTTTATTATGGAGTGGCTATTTGCACCCAGGTGTACATGCACCTAAATTGTCTGTTTGACCTGCAGTCGGAGTGACACATCCAAAATGTGCAGTATAATAAATACAATAGTATTTATATACAATGCTATCATAATATAGACAGCATTTGTTTCTACACAGGATGCAAATAGTATATTTCTGCTACCTACACTGGGGTGAAGACAGTCTTTATATTACTGCTGTGCCGATCTCTTTTTAAAATGATGTATTTTCATAGAGGTGAGATGATTAACATAAACAGTTAATGCGTTTTCTGTGTGCACATGATATATACAGAGTTCTAGCATGAAACTCTAGATGGCGCAGTCCGATAGGTCTAACTCAATCTGACCTAATGACATCATTATCACATGGCACAGCTGATTGGTTCTCTCCTGTATCGGTAGCCAATGAGCTCGCTGCTCAACATTCAAATATATGATTAGTGCTTGCTGTAGCAGTTGCAGCTTGCTTCAGAAACCCTCCACCTTCCCCAGCTCCACCTGTATAGATCTGCTACGGGGTGATTCATGTATGCTATATGGGGTTATTTCATGTATGTTATATCTGCAGCCGCAATATTTCTTACATGCTCACAGCAGCATGTTGTGAATGTATTGACAGTAGTAAGTCTCTGTACTTGCTCTGCCGTAGCAGCAGCGTAGCAGATCTATTCCACCAAGTCCAAATACATTAACATTGTCATGTACATTACCATGCTAATCCCTCCGAGAGTTGTCATGACGGAAATGTATTTTATTCATTTTTAATTCTAAACTCTTGAAGCTTTTGCTACAATATTTACAGAACCGATTTGAATTTACATTATGGCAAAAACAATTAGATGACGTCATCTGAACTGTACATTAATTTCAAGAAAAGATGCAACTGTGCTACATAACAATTCTTTTTATATCAATTTAAAAATTGTGTTACGAAATGACCATTTCTTTACATATTTGCTGAGTATGACTAGGCCCAGATCCGTATCTATGTCATAACAGAGGTTCTTAACAAAAACATGTAATCTTTCCTGTCTGCAGATCTCGGACATCCACGTGACAGGAGAGTCCGAGGACATGACAGCCAAGGAGAGACTTCTGCTGTGGTCCAAGCAGATGACCGAAGGCTATGTAGGCGTCCGCTGTGACAACTTCACTACCTCGTGGAGGGATGGACGACTGTTCAATGCTATTATTCATAAGTACAGGTAACAGCACAGCAATGTCCATTTCCAAAAAAATATCCATCCATGTCCAAATATACATGACTGTTTGTTTCTGGTTTCATGTGTTAAAGGGCATGTAAATAATGACTGAATTTTCAGGGTTTTTTTTTTTTTGGGGGGGGGTAGAAGGGTAAATTATGTAAAGCCCTCTCATTTGGATTACTGTGTGTCTAAACACTGAGGCTCTGTTTTAAAACTTAGTGAGTTGTCTTGCTGCCTGCTGTCTTCACTGGCAGTAAAGACAACATTATATCAAAATTGACCACATTCCTTGTCTTAATGTTTATGTTCATCAGTTCACATCATTCCAAAGAAATACAAATCTTTCATAGAAAATGTAATAATTTGCTGTGCCTTTGAAAACTTTATTTTAGGTGTTGTCACCTAGCCCTCCCCTCTAATCACCTGTCATATAGGGCCACTTCATGCATTTTCTCTAATCAGATAACTATCAGATCACAAAAAGACAGGTATAAATGCCCTCTGCAATGCATTCGAGACAGATTGCAATCTGGTGCGTCTCAAACCACTTCAGGAGATTCCAGACAGAACTAGACAAGTGTAAATGCATGTGGTTTTACTGTTTACAAAATGTTAAAGAAATAAGGTGTGAGTGAGTGTTATTGCTATAACTGTATATCTGATTTGAGAAAACACATGAAGTGACAAGTGTAAATAGGCACTTTTCACAAACCAGTCGATTAGGGCCTGTTTACACCTGGTCACTTAATGCATTTAATAGGTATCTGATCGTGAAAAGACCTTGTGTAAATGTCCTCCGAAGTGCTTTCGAGATGCATTTAGAACCGATCACTCAAACGACAAAACTGGACAAGTGTAAATGCATCTGGTTGTTGAAACCACATAAGTGTTAAAATAAATAAAAAAATAAACATGTGAGAGCGTGTAATAGGCTATATGACATCTTACAGTCAGATATGACAGCGCTAATGCAACACGCATTGCCACAGATGAGAAGCTTAGTATCTCTTCAGCAAGCCAACACGCAAACTCCGCAAATGAAAATGAAAGTGAGTCGCAGACGCTCAACACACAGCCATCTTCATTAAAAGTAGTGAGACTGAATTATTTTACGAGTGCTGATGCCACGCTCTCTCCTATTGTGGTCTTTGGTTTTGAAATTGGCCGATAATGAATAAAATGCAGCGCATATCTGTTGCTTTCGTTGATGTGTATTCCGTTAAATTTGCATATAGCGCGAGAATTGAAGATCGGATTTGTATCCGTTTTGCAGAGACACATTAATGTGGCCAAATGTAAATGGAACCATTTGAACAAATCAGATCACTAAAAACACATTAAGTGACCAGGTGTAAACAGGCCCTTACAGATGGAGAAAACTAAGTCATTCTCTAATTTCTTACTGAATATCCTGTTTCACTCTGAAATAAAATGTTACATTATGGAAGTGACGTGGGTTACAGATGGACAGAGCTTTAATGTATATACACCTATATCTTTACTTCTCATCTCTGTTCTTAGAATGATCTGTTGTGCCTCATAGTCATAACCTGCGCTTTATAGTTTGAGGAAATGTCATTTTACCTAACACACGCACACGCACAGACAAATAGAGTTTTTGCCGTGACTATTCCTGTCAGTCAGGGGTTTAGTAATGGGTTAATGATGATCCTCATGAGTGAATCTCACGAACCCTGTCAAGAAAATGCCTGGGTCATATTTCACCTCAATATCAAAAGAATGAAAAACGCAACAGTTAAGATGCTTAACGGTCCTAAAATAGGCTTCATTTTCTCTAGGCAAAGTGTAATTGTTCCTTAAATGCTTTTTATTTAAATGATGTCCCTTGATTTAGTGTGTACTTTCTCTTTGACACTGTCTGAACATTGAGTCAGTTTACATAAATGAAAATGTCTGTCTCCATTAATTGAAACACTTTTTGATTAAAGCATGATCTTGGTGTGTCATACAAAACATATCTGTCACTGAAAGATATCAGACACGCAGAGATTGTGGAGTGAGATCATATTGTCACGGTTCTGTCTTAATTCAGGCCCGACCTGGTTGATATGAGCAAAGTATCGACACAAAGTAGCAGATCCAACTTAGAACAAGCGTTTGGTGTGGCCGAGCAGCTTGGTGTGGCCCGACTGCTGGACCCAGAGGGTGAGTTTCAATGCCAAACTAATGTCCTCATGCACGTTACATCATTTAGTATTATGATTATATTGTCAAAGTTTTTTGATTGCACTTATGTGTAAACTGTGTTTAATAACTATGTATCAGTTAGTTATTGTTAACATTTAACTACTTTTTTAAGCATGGATTAAATTAAATTTTTTAAGTGGTGACATTCATCCACCATTAACCTTTCATTCATTGATACTACCTCCGTCGTCTATACACTTCTTTACAATTTGGTGTTTACAATGTTTAATGTAATTAATTACATAATGTGGTGATTAATTAATAGAATTAATTGCTAATTAAATTTGGCTGCAAAAATACCCCCAAAAGATAATTTAAAGTCATTCTTGTGTTATAAGAGAAAATATCAAGTATAGATATTATAAAACGTAGCTTTAGAAAGAAATATTTTATTTGATTCAACATAACATGTATTTGTATTACATATACACCTTTAAGCTACAACGGCCTAGCATAAACTGTGGAACATAAAAGAAGAGAATTTGGGAAAAAATTCAGTATTTTTGTTCCTACAGTGAAGGTCATCGGTAACCAAATCAGATTGGTTACCAAACCGGTTTGTTACTTCTGGTTACCAACATTCTTGATTATTTTCCATAAAAGAAAGTAAATGATACAGGTTTGAAACGACATGAGAGTAAATGATGACAGAATTTTTCTTTTTGGGTGAACTATCACTTTATTTTATTTTATTTATTTTTTAATGAAATTATACTCTAAATGAAAAACTAATACTGCCAGTAGGTGGCAGTAAATGTCTTTATGAGTACCGTATTGTCACGAATATAAGACAATGTTTTTTTCTTGAAAATACATCTGAAAAAACGTGGTCGTCTTATATTCAGGGTCTAGACTTTGACATGTCAATAATACACCCACAACAATAGGTGGCGCCAAATACGCATAAAACCAGTGTGCCATCAAATACGTAATGTAATGCGTGTTGTAAAGATCGTGAGTAAAAACAAAAGAAAAAGAAAACCTTACAGCTGCATGAGTCGTGACTGTCACGTTAGCCTGATGGCACCAAGCTCCCTTTGTGATTTTAAAACGTAAGATTTGAAGACTACAGTAAGATTGAACTTCTACTGTTAATAAGATTTTGGTAGGCTACTATTAGATGGATAGCCTAAATGTCCTAATTCAGATGGGCTACCTGTTTATTTTTTGTGGGTTTTTTTTATGGTATATCAAAAAGTGTATATTTTGTAAATATACGAGTAGATGCTGGTTGGTACATTTTACCAGTTTTTACCATACTTTCAAAACAAAAATTAAAATAGGAAAAATATGCAATAAGAAAATAATTGAAGACAAAATGTGTTTTACTGAGAAAAAACAAGATTTGTTTTTTAAAAAGCCTTTTTCCAAAAGGTACATCTGAAAAAGGGGGGGTCGTCTTATATTCGGGCCAATACGGTAAGTCATTCATTCATTGAATTCCTTCAAACTGCTGAATGAAGTAAATGGCTCTCTTTATGAATGAGACATTGAATCATTGGCTCACCCGATTCGTTCAAAACATGGATTCATTCAGTAATGAATCATTGCTGTGTGGTGCTTGAATATGTACAACAGTTCTGCTGTGGTTTTATAGGCAGGGTTTAAATTGGGCCGGGGCCGTCCGGGGCTGAGCCCCAGCACATAGACTCCAGGCCTCGACATTAACGCTTCATTTAAAACATCAGTAACCAAAAATAACTATGTAAACACCAAAACGCAAGTATTATTCAGATTTTATTACATTTAAAGTAAGTGGAGAATAGTGGATATAGCTACTGTATATTATGCACCTATTGCTGAGGCGAGGCTCACGCAGCCTCTCCAGGAGAAATCAAAACGTGCAACACTAAGAAACTCAGCATCCTGAGGTAAAGATTCAAAATGGAAAGTTTTTATATTTAAAATGCAGTTAGTTAGGCAACATCACACAACGTTTTCACCATTACGACTGTTTAATAGTTCTATAAACAGTTCAATAACAAATACAATAATATTAGGTCACTTACATTTTAGGCAGAAACAGCGCATCTCACAGCAACCAGACGATTCATTACTGATTGATTCCGTGTTTTGAACGAATCGGTTGAATCAAAGTTTTATTAGCCCACGCATAAACATTTGATGAATCTGCCGTTTGAATGAATCGTTTGAATGAACGACTCAATGACTTACTCATTAAACGCTCACTACTGGCACTGGTGTTTTAATTTCGTTGAAAAGTATCATTTCCACCATAATTTCTTGTTTGTATATTCAAAAATATCACAATAGGACAAATCTCATAATAGTATTTAATTAACTGTCACCCCCCAGTTTTTTAAATAGGCATGCAGGTGCACTATCCAAACTTAAATTGTTGTAATTTATGAACACTTTGGAATACAGACATAAGGTTGGTCACTTTTTAAAGAAGAAAATGAGAAAAAGGACAACAAAAAAAGAGTGCCAAGCGTCCAGGTGACAGTTAAGGGGTTAATGTAGTTGTATTTTTCAGTGGAAATTATTTAATTTGATAACATATAGATAATCACATTATTATAATTGAATTTAAAGATCAAATGTAAGAATTTGAAATGAAAGTATTAATGAGATTAGTGGGAAAATGCCCTCTATAAAGGTACAAAAAAATGTAATTGGGTAAAATATTGAATATATAAATATTGAATAAAATGAGAATATTGCTTCAGAATAAATCATATTTGCAAAGCACACACCGAAAACAACTTCATCATTATTATGCCACCGTTTTCTCATGGAAATCAATGAGGTTGCCAACCGCTTCCAAACAATGACGCCGAAGAGTATCTTTGTTTCTTTCAGTGATGTGCGAGACTCTTGAGATGCGATTGTGTCTCAGACTGAGAATGAGCTGCTAGTTAACACAACTCTACCACATCTCTGAAGGGATTCAGCTTTTCTGGTGCAGCACAACTGGTTCTGAGCTGCAGTCTGAATGTCAGATATTTCACCCTGCAGTTTCACAGTATTTCATGGTCATTTGTAAAACAACACTGGGATCTAAGAATAGTATTTAGCGCCCAATGGCTAACACTCTCCTCAGCAGACTGAACAGTGAATTCAACACTTAATAAAACCGTAAACGAATTTTTCTTTGTTGCAAAACTGTTCAGTGTTTTATAAGTTAGCATTTGAACTAATCAAATGTTTGTCCATTCGAGCAGATGTGGATTTGTCATCTCCGGATGAGAAGTCTGTCATTACTTATGTATCAACGTTATACGACGTCTTCCCCAAAGTACCGGAGGGTATGGAGGGCATCAGTGCAAATGTAAGTACAATCACATATACGTAGTTATAATGTCACTACCCCTGTGAAAAATAAGTACTTTAACATAGTTTTATTATTACAGTATTATTACAGTAAAAACATACTTTAAAAGAATATACTTAAGTGTGAACTGAGTTTATCATAGAGTTTTTTTTATAACTTTATATATTTATTTTTTATAACTTTGTCATTTCATAATTACTGCCAAATGTACTGACAAGCATGTCATGTATTTAAATATATTTGTAAGCAAACATTTGTCATTTAAAATATATTAACTTTAAATGTTCAGTAATATTGAATAACACACAGTTATATAGTTAATAAATGTAGTACACATGTGCTTTAGTATGTTAGTCAACACATCAAGATAAGCGTACTTTAAAACACAACAACAGTTTAATAGTACATAATGCTTTAAAATGTACTTTAAAGTAAACCTCAATTTGACGTTTTTACATGTGTGCACTTTCTGAAATTGTATGACTCTTCTCTGAGGATACTCAGGCTGATAGTACATAGACATCTCATGGATGATATCAGCTACCTGACTTACTATAGTCAGGTTTTAGCTGGGTGGGATGGTGAATTTGCTTGGTCTATGCAAATAAACTTTGTCTACATTTTCACATTACGTAAGCATTCCGTGTATCTTGGAAGAGTTGGAGGCGCGTTATGCAGGAAATGAAACGAAGTTGGAAGCTCCTAAGGAATCTGTTGATTCTTTGGAATCTTTCCCAGAACATTGAGGAAGAGTATGCAGTGTGCATACTGGTTCCTGTTTAAGACACATTGACCTTCAATCCAACATGCTTGCAATTCTTGACTAAATGAACAAATGAATACAGTATGAAGGAAATACCTTGGAAAGCCAAGAAGTGACACATCCTATACATGTATCCCGTATTGGTGGAAGCATGCCTGTGTTTAAATATGTAGATCTTAAACAGAGGTTGACTGATGGTGTTCCTGAAACAGGATGTGGACATTAAATGGGTTGAATACCAGAACATGGTGAAGTACCTCAGCCAGTGGATCAAACACAATGCGACTGTTATGGCAGACAGAAATTTCCCCAGCAATCCTGTGGAACTTAAGGTGAGATGCCTCACGTTGTCATGTTACTTTTAAGAATGTATTTACATATTTTCAAAACTGGCTAGTTGATTTTTCCACGAAATGATGTAAATAATGTTTACACATTAAAAAAAACAAATCATAAACCAGACCTTATATTTATGCAAAACATAATTTTTTATTATTTGGAAATAAGAAATATGGCTCAGACAGTAGCTTGTACAATTAGTGCACATGCAGCTTTGGAAAGACATAATGGGGAGTTTTGAGGTGAACTATTCCTGCATCAATTTTACATTTTAATTTATGAAAGGGCAGATATATCTTCAGTAATAATTTGTCAGATAGCAGACATTTACAGATGTGCTTTTTCAGGGATCAGCAGCTGCTGAGACTCTGGTAGTTGCTAACGTTAAGCATTGCATAGTGTATTGGAGCCTGAGGCTCAGAGGATTTCCATGGCAAATAGATAGCGTCCGACTCATGACAACTATTAAAGCCTCTTTGAAGACTTGAAGAGCAGCTCCATCTTTCTCCTTGAGCAGAAGCATAGAGTACAGGTGTTCTGCACTCATAACTCGATGGATAGACATCTCTTTGCTTTGTTTTGTCGTAACTAACCCTTTTGAACTTTACAGGCACTTTATACACAGTATCTACAGTTTAAAGAGAATGAAATACCACCGAAAGAAAACGAAAAGGCCAAAATCAAGCATCTCTACAAAATGCTAGAGGTTTGTATCTTTCGTTTTTATGTTTTTGATCGTTCATATTTTATGTGGCACATGTGGGGATGTCTTCAACTGTGCTGTATGTTGGGATGTAGGTGTGGATAGAGTTCGGTCGCATCCAGCTCCCTCAAGGGTACCATCCTAATGACGTGGAGAAGGAATGGGGCAAGCTGATCGTTGCCATGCTGGAGAGAGAGAAGAGCCTGAGGCCTGAAGTGGACAGGTATGAGATGATTTACACACGCTATCTCTCCATCGCTATTTCTTAATGAAAGAATATGGGTGTGGATGACATGCATTCCACTGAGGAATTCACTTAGGATCTACTTGACGCTTTTGATATTTACATTTTGAATATTTTTTATTATCATATCAAACTGGCAGCAATACAAACTTAAAAATGTCCACTAAAGTACTTCTGCAAATCTCAACCAAATGTACAGTGACACATTATGTCAAAGGTTGACCATGTTGGCATGTTCCAGTTAGCTCCTGCTGGTAAAATTAGCTGTATATTCTGATGAAATAAAATTTAGTTTTTTTTCCAAGCAATATTTATAGTACCAATATTTTGTTTTATTTTACTAGGTGTTTTATCAGTGCAGGGTTCTTAAAGAGGTTCTTGTTTATGGAGCGTTCGTAAAAGAGTGAAATTAGCTTAAAAAACCTGCTATAAGCAAAGATGGCAGATTTCTAATCTGATCAGTCCTGCACCAGCCAAGCAACTGCTATTGAGATGAATGTGAATGCTAATGGTGGCTTTCTCTGTAGACCAGCTTGTTATATGCCATTCTCCTTAAAAGTCTAAACACTGTGCTGCTTTTTAAAACACTGCTCTGTTTGTTTGAGCATCGCTACCAATTCAATATAGCAGCAGATGGGGCGCAACAATCTGTTCAATATATATCTGATATCTGATAATTGGGAAATGAGGGTGTGTTGGGCTCAACTGGTGTGTCAATCATTCATAAATCCATTCTTATGTGAATTGTCAAAGAATGTATTGAAATTAATTGTTGGAGAAAAAAATTAGGAATGTTTTGTAGGCGCAATTTACACTGAAATTTGTTCTGTTTATGGTTCAGGAATTAGGGCCATTATGTTTGCAGTTTTTTTTAGTAAAAATGTATGTAGGTAATTATTTATGGATAAAATCACCCTTCTATGCATTTCAAATTTATGTCGAAGATATATTGTGCGGTCTTCGGTCACTTCTGACTGGAGCATTTTACATTTTGAATTTTTAAAAATCGTAGCTTCACCAGAATGGTACAAAACTTGGAGACTTTTATGGCACTTGGTATGTGAACACACACAAAAGGGCATGATTCGAAAAAGCTAAGTGGTCTAAAAAAAAATAGTCACACTCATGGTCTTCAGTCAAAAATGACCGACCATAGGAAATGAATGGGAAATCGAAAATACAGAATTTTTTTTTGTGTACAATCTACAAATCCCCCACAATGCAGAAAAAATTGCACAGCAATGAAGGGGTGAAACTCTAAAACATCTAGAGTGCAAAATCAACACACCAACTCACACACGCGTGGACACACACTTATGAACTGGTGTGACTGTAACACAGCAACTATGTAAAATAAAATCAATAATTCAACTACAATGCAGTAAAAAAGTGGACAGCAAGGAAGGGGTTACACTCTAAAACATCAAGAGTGTAAAACAGATACATCCACTCACACACACTCACAGACACACACATACAGAATTATACATACTCAAATTAATTGGTATGGCTATAACCATATAGCCAATCAACGTAAACTCAGCACACCTGAAACGAGGGAACAAAATCAAACAAAATGTTGAATCAAAAATAAATAACGAACCCTCACAATATCAATACTTGCTAATTCTTAAACTGTATTAAATGCAACGTTTCGGTCCATTGCCTGATGAAGGTCAGTGGACCGAAACGTTGCGTTTAATAAAGTTTAAGAATTAGCAAGTATTGATAGTGTGCGGGTTCGCTACTTATTTATAACCATATAGCCAAAATGAGATTAAAATCAGATCAGACCCAGAAGGATTAAGCTCTGATAAAGCATTCCTGTTAATTTTTGTTACATTTTTATAGAATTTTAATGTTTTGTGTAACAAACTGCTTTCTGTGTTCAGGTTTGAATGTAGTGATAATAATGCAAAAACCTACACTTCAAATCAACATTTAAAATAACAAAAAATATAAACCTTGACAAAAAGTAGTCTTTGAGAATGCCTTAATATAGATTTAAATCCACAACCTAATAAAAGTAAACAAAATATGTATAAAAACAACTAGGGAATTCACAAGCCTCTCTATAGGGTCCTATACTGTACAGGAATCTAGTTGTTACTCCATGAAATTTCAGGTTTTTATAGTTTTTTTGCTCTCACCAGGAGGTCCTATTCTGCCTTCAAAAATTGGATTTTAAAGGCCTAGTCTCTGTTTTAATCTGAAATACTGCATTAATTGAAAAATAATTTTAAAAAATGTTAAGTGTCATCAGAAGGCATCAGTTTTTTAATTATATTGCCCAGCACTCCGGTTGTGCAGCAGAGATTAGTTTTGTTTCCTGCACAGAAATGACTGTCACACCTGTGCAGTTCACTGTTGTTACTCATAATATTTAGGTGAAAACATGGTGTTGGAAATTACCTGGAAATAAATGGAAATCACTATTTATTAGCACTTTTATGTACACATGATTAAATAATAACAGCACTGCTATCAATGCCGTAAAATGGTTGAAATGACTGTTAATGAGGCAGAGGAATGTGTTGTGTGGTGTGACACCCCCCGTCTCTCTCAGCTTAACTGTCTGAACCTGTGCTGGATCATCTGTCTCACATAAAAAGGAGCGCTCAGTGTTTTACCTGGGGCTGATGCTGTTGTGGGCTGGCTTCTCTGCCATCGGTATGAGCCTATAAATAGCAGTGGCTGAAAGCAGGTGCGGTCAGAAGGGTGGTGTGTGCGGATCTGGGACTGTGCTGCTGATGGAGGGGTGGTAAACGCCATTCTCTGGGTCGGCCAAAGATAGTGTTAGTCTGTTATGATGCACAGCAACCTGGCGTACTGCAGTAGCACCTCATCAGTGAGTGACAGCACTCTGACCAGCCTGGGCTCGGCTGAAAACCTGCTCTACGGAGCACATGAGCCTCTGTCCAGCACACCGCTTTATCTCAATAGCTGCTCTGTGTATGGACCCAGGTGAGGGAGCCACACGTGCTTCAGGGAGAGCATTAGACATGCTTTGTGGTTTCCTCTGCAAAATTCAGTACGAAACGTGCCCTGATGTTTGATTGTACCTGTCTTTTGTTTTCGTAGACTTGAAATGCTACAGCAGATTGCAAACAGAGTTCAGCGAGACTGCGTAGCTGGAGAGGACAAATTAGCGTTAGCGCGGACGGCTCTGCAGTCGGTGAGTTCCTAATCTGGAATTTCCAGTAATTGTCAAATAAAATTTTGTTCTTGCTTTATTGTTTCTTGCTTTTTTGTTCTTGCTTTAAAAACAAAATTGAGTGAGGTTTACATTTAGCAGAATAAAAAAAAAAAAAATCTAAATTTTTACCTCTCAAGTAAATATACAGTATATACATGAGAAGTTAATTTGCAAAAACCAATAACTAATTTTTATTTTTTTCAGAAATCACGTTTTTTTTATTGCGCATTCCAAGTAATATCAATCAGACTGCAGTTGGGTTGTTTTGATTAAGTAATAATAACTTAAACAAATACAGGTAATTTACTAAATTAAAGTTAGTTGAAAGTATGTTTTTTTTTACATATTAAAAGTTTGTTTTATAGCAAAAGCAGATAACTCCAACAGTCGTTTTTTTGGCAAAAGCAGATAACTCCACATTTCATGTTTTAGAGTTAAAAAAAAACACTGGTTTAATCTTTGTAATCTCCTCAGATGACAATGTAGACGCCTGACAAACGTTGTTGTTGTTGTGATCATAAACTGTATGGATGAGATTACACGCAATACACGGAGCTTTTCCCGCACCGTTGTAACTGCTTTTGCAAGCTTCCGTGAAAACGTTTCAGCTAGCACGTCTTTTCTGAGTGACCGTAGCTTTGTCACCTGACCTGAATACAGAAAGCTGATTGGCTAAAATGGACTTATCGGCTTCTGTTCAAAAGCAACAAGGGCGCTTGTCGGCTTCTGCAGTAAAACGTGAACTCGCGATGCCTTGAAAGTGGACAAAACCGGCTTTTTTGACAAAACGTGTTTAGGGTTCAGATCGCGCTATATGTGGAGAATAATGCATGGCAATCAGCGCATTTTTTTTTAAAGTGGCGTTTATCGTTTTTTGCAAATTAACTCTTCATATATATATATATATAGATAGATAGATAGATAGATAGATATGATGAAGGATGTTTAGATATTATACTTAAAGGGGTCATATGATGCTGCTAAAAATTATGTTGTGTATTTGGTGTAATCAAATGTGTTTATGCGGTTTAAGGTTAAAAAACACATTATTTTCCATATACTGTACATTATTGTCTCTCCTCTATGCCCCGCCTTTCTGAAACATGTAGATTTTTACAAAGCTCATCGTTCCAAAAAAGCGAGGTGTGCTCTGATTGGCCAGCTATCCAGTGCGTTGTGATTGGCCGAATACCTCAAGCGTGTGACGGAAATGTTACGCCCCTACCATACTGTGATCATGCCATCTCCCAGCAGGACGAGACTCAGTCCAGCTGCTCTGCTCTTGCACATCCCATCATCGGTTCTCTTTTAGTAGTTCAGTCAATGTACTGTTAGGAGTAACTGAATAACTCGGGATATTGGTTTATTTCGCGTCAGAGGGAGTGTCAGGCACGTGTATAAACCGAATGACTTAAGTAATTTGTGGTTCACTAAGAAGATCCGGTTAAATAGAACGATTCTTTCGCGATCCGGACAACACTAGACGAGACAAAAACAATAAAACCCATTACAAACGAGGCATTTGTTGCATCCAGTGGGGACATAATTACTGATTATAATGACTTATACTGTCTTTTTACGCGTTGCATTGCATCGTGCCGCGTAAACATAAAACCATGTCTGCATTTGTGATCGGAGAAATGACAAACAACAAGCGCTACTCTACACTGCCCAAAACTTGCGTTTGAATCGTCAGTGGCAAATTATTTAAATATAAAAAAACATACTTACAGTCTGTGAGTCAGAAGCGCCAGACTGTCCTTGCAAAGTTGGAACTGCCCCACTTTATAGAAACAGCCTTTGTGCCACAGAGGCATTAGGCTACTGGTTCAGGAAACAGTCCTAATCCATCCTCCATAAAATGCGCAGCACATATCTGAATATTTGGTGACAGATATGTTTTGTATGACACACCAAGATCATGCTTTAATCAAAAAGTGTTTCAATTAATGGAGACAGACATTTTCATTTGTTTCATTAGTTGAACTGTTCTGGAACAGTGTTGTAAATACAACTTAACCACTGATTTCTAGTCGTGTCCTCTTTTGGAAGACCAAACAAAGTAGTTTCACTTTCACAACGAAAAACACAGCGTCTTCACGACATGGCAGCGGCGGCAACAGCAAGAATAAAAGTTACGCCTTCTTTCTTTGAGTGAACATTTGGGCGGCGTTATGCAAATCTTCCCACACAGTGATGTAGATATGTGGGGGCGTGTTAGAACGAGCCGTTTTAGGTAGGTGTGGCTGACTCTTAACTTTTATAACGAATATCTCTTTGGATTTGAGACTTTAGTCTTTGCAACTTTACAGATCTTCTTTATGCACTAAGAGCTTGTAACACTCCAAAGAGAAAGGAAAAATTGAAATCACATCAAGCAGAATAGACCCCTTTAAGCAGAAAATTAAAGCAAAAGGCAAGCAAAAAAAAAAAAAGTATATATATATATATAATTATTGGACGTTTTACAGCAGCAAAAAGTATTTTTCTTCTAGCACAGAAAATGTGAATAAAAAAGAAATATATCCTGTAGGATGCCAAACGGTTGGAATCGGGAATCCAGTTTCAGAATGAAGCAGAGACCGCTGGATACCTTCTGGAGTGTGAGAACTTATTGAGGCAGCAAGTGGTGGATATCCAGCTTTTACTGGATGGGAAATTCTACTTGGCTGATCAGCTCGTTCAAAGGTCAGAAAGTCATTCGCTGAACTTCATTATTAAAGAAAATAAATTGTTGAGGCACTCTCAAAATGAGCAATAGAAATAGTGACGCTTGCTTTACCTTCACTGGTTTTAAACCCTGAAATCTCTTTGGTCCTCAGGGTATCTAAGCTCCGTGACGACCTGTTGGCTTTGAGGACAGAGTGTTCAACCGTCTACAGCAAAGGACGCACACTGACCTCAGAACAGACCAAGATGATGATCTCTGGCATCACGCAGAGTTTGAACTCAAACTTTTCCCCAAACTTCAGTGCCGGACTGTCTCCTGCACTCACTCACGGAGGCCTGGTCACATCGGGCGGCAGCCCTGCGATGAGCCCAGCTATGACACCCAGCATGCAGCCTGCCGCAGTCCAGACTTACCTCAGCAGCAGAGGAGGAGGAGGAGGAGGAGGAGGAGGAGGAGGAGGCATGGAGCCCGGGGTTCTTCAGCAGCTCAAACACATACAGATCCGCAAGCCCATGCTCAAATCCTCATTCCTGGATCCCAACTTGACCGAGGATGAGGTTCATATGAAGTTTGTGCAGGATCTGCTTAACTGGGTTGAGGAAATGCAGGTATGTTGAAGACTTTAGATTCCTTTAGTCCTTCACACTGTATTTATGTTTTACATTTTGGACAAACGATCTTGTTTTCTACACTGTTTTAATCATTAAAAATGCAAAGCGTGATGATTTGAGTGATTATGCAAACAAATCTTTGATTCAAAGCTATTTTACAGAATTAAGGTTATTTTTAACCAAAATTTCAGAGGTTTATGCTTAAAATAAATATTGACCTATTTTCCAGTACAGTAAGAGAAATAAATGTAATTCAACATTTAATCTAAGTTTTTTTTTTTCTTTGAGCGAGGCTATCTGATGCTTTTGTCCTGATCTTTTTGTCTCTGAAAGGTTCAGCTTGATCAAGCAGAATGGGGATCTGATCTACCGAGTGTTGAATCAAACTTAGGAAATCATAAAGATTTTCACAAAGCCATCGAAGAATTCCAGTTGAGCATTAAAGAAGCCAAAATGAGTGAGGTAATATACATCATTACATATTTTGATATTTTATATAAAAAAAAAAACATCATTATAAACTCCTCAATTTAAACCCAGACTGTTTATATAGTGCTAAATACAGTCTTATTCATACAAAACTTAGAAATCCTGTGAAAAAATAAAAATAGCTGAAGGCTAAATTTAAGCTTTTATTTGCTGAAAATCAGTGAAAAATCTAAATTGAGTTTGGATGAACTATTCCTTTAAATGATATGTATTCCAACAAATAGTTGTCTTAAAAATATAAAGGCAAATGCATCTGACTTACCCGTGTGACTCCCACAGATTCAGATGACCCAGCCACTGAAGCAGAGTTACTCTGAGAAGCTGAATAAGTTAGAAAGCCAGTACAGGAGGCTGCTGGTAAAGAAACTTTGTGAAGGTCTGCTTTTAGAGCCCACATTCTGTAAGAACTGTGCGTCTCAGTTTCTTCTGCTTTTGTGTTTTCAGAAATGCTCCAGTGAGAGGCAGAAACATCTGGACAACCTGCATGATTTTGTGTCCCGCGCCACTCAGGAGCTGATCTGGCTCAATGAGAAGGAGGAAGAGGAAGTGGCTTTCGACTGGAGTGAGAGGAACAGTAACATTTCAAGGAAGAGGGATTATCATGCAGTAAGTCCATTCAGCCCACATCAAACGCATGTAGTATTCAGTCTAACAGAGCTGAGTGCTATATTGAATGTTTAGCATATTTTGATAGTTTTTTTGTGATTTTAATAGGGGGCGATTATTTATTTAAGGTATTGTTATGTATATGGCGAAACTTGATAGAAAAAAAATTGTTTTGAATTTACTGTTTTACAAGAAAGACAGGAAAAATAGTAAAGCACTTTATTATATTTTTTTATTCAGATGCCAAATTATAGTCAATAAATATAGTCTAATAAATTTGTTAAGCACTGTATGTGCTTAACACATTTATTAGACAACCTGTCATAATAAAGAGAAAACAAATATTTTAGGAGTCTGTCAAAAACTTGTTTAAAACTATTAATTAATTAGGCAAAGAACAAACTGAAACAACTAAATAGTCTTTATTCACACATAATAACCAAAAAACTTGATATTTTGTATGGCCTCCTTTGGCCTTGACTCAGCTCTAGTTGGCCATTAGATGGATTAGTTGTGATAAATACTGTTTTGCTTTATTATAGCAATATGAAAATCCACCCATACTGTAATTATTATGAATCCACAAGTGCCTCGATAGAAAACAGCTTAAACCGCACCTGCAGTTGACACATCCTCTTCTACTGGAGCGGTAAAGGCCACTTTTAGATATGGCGGCAGTGTAAACATCCATCATGATCAAGATTTTGTGTTAATCACAAGAGTTTTGCATTGCCTTCACTTGCCTTTGCATGTTAAGGTGCAGGTTTTTGGAAAGGAAGCTTGCTATCTGTGTCAGGAGTGTCTTCATGAGCCCACATCTTTCCACAGGATCTCATGAGAGAACTGGACGACAAGGAGGAGGTGATCAGGTCAGTACAGGAGAAGGCAGAGAGCCTCCTTCTGGAGAACCATCCTGCCAGATTGACCATCGAGGTACAGCCTGGAATAACAGCACTACACTAGACTCTGTTAATGACCATTTAAAAGAAATATACTCGGCATTTTCCATATGAACTTGAAAATATGTCATGAAAGGTCATGAAACTCTGATTTAAGGAATCGCGCAGCCAAACATTCTGTCATCCTTTTTTACACTCATGTTGCTCCAAACCAGTTTGACTTATTTCTCAAAAAAATTTTAGTAGAATATTCACTTTGTTCTTTCCCATACAGTGAAATGGAGTGGGGCGGTTGCTGTCAAGCTCCGAAAAGTGCCATAAAAGTATTAGGAAAGTAGTTAGGGTTAGGCAAACATATTGTACAGTACTTTCTAAGTCTTCTGAAGTCATTTGTTACTAATCTTTCCTTCTGTTCTGTGCATATTTGTGACCCTGGACCACAAAACCAGTCATAAGGGTCAATTTCTCTAAATTGAGATGTATACATCACCTGAAAGCTGAATAAATAAGCTTTCCATTGATGTATGGTTTGTTAGGATAGGGCAATATTTGGCTGAGATACAACTATTTGATAATCTGGAATCTGATGGTGCAAAAAAATCTAAATACTGAGAAAATCACCTTTAAAGTTGTCCAAATGAAGTTCTTAGCAATGATATATCAGTTTTGATATATTTACAGTAGGAAATTTACAAAATATCTTCATGGAACATGATCTTTACTTAATATCCTAAGGATTTTTGACATTAAACAAAAATCTATAATTTTGACCCACACAATGTTTTTTTGGCTATTGCTAGAAATATACCCCAGAGACTTAAGGCTGCTTTTGTGCTCCAGGGTCACATTTAAACTTGCTATCATCATGGGCCATATTAGAATATAGAGCATCAATCATATGGACTACTTTATGAGATTTCATGGTGCTTTTTTTGGAGCTTGACCATTTCCGTCCTCATTGAAAGTCATTGCTTGGAAAAGTGCAGTGTGAACATTTTGTTAAAATTCTTCTTTTTTTTTTTTTGTCCCAAGGAAGAAAGAATTGAAATAAAATAGTAAAATAAAATAGATGTTCCCTCGAACTCCATGTTTCCATTTGTGTGATACGCAGGCATACAGAGCAGCCATGCAGACTCAGTGGAGCTGGATACTGCAGCTCTGTCACTGTGTGGAGCAACATCTGAAAGAGAACGCTGTCTACTTTGACGTGAGTGACACAGCTGTTTTCAGCATGACTTGTCACGGTTTATGTCAGACCTACAGGTATGCTGTTTCTCTCCTTACAGTTTTTCAGCGATGCCAAAGAGTCATTGGATTACCTTAAGAGCCTCCAAGATGCCATCCACAGAAAGTACAGCTGCGACCGAAGCAGCAGTTTACATCGCCTCGAGGATCTAATTCAAGAGTCCATGGTTAGTTCACATCCGCACAATCAAGTCATGCAATTATTTGGGGTTGGAGCATTGGGGAACTTAAAGAATTAAGTAATCAAAATGTAATTAGAAATATTTCTCAAGATTCTCATCCATGAGTGTTTTTTGAAGTGTAGATGTATATGCATGACTGAGGCCGGACTGGTGTTTCTTCACAGGATGAGAAAGAACAGCTCCTGAAATACAGCAGCACGGTGGGTGGATTAGTGGGCCGGGCAAAGTCCGTTGTTCAGCTCAAAGCCCGCAACCCAGAGAATCCCATCAGGACCTCCTTACCCGTCAAATCCATCTGTGACTACCGCCAGATAGAGGTACGTTCACCATACTGGAACTGCGGGCTGCATATTTACAGCAGTGTTTGCCATGATGAATTCTGTGACCCCTCTCTCTTCAGATCACCATTAGCAAAGAAGATGAGTGCGTTCTAGTGAACAATTCTCACAGGGCAAAGTGGAAAGTGATCAGTCCATCTGGAAATGAGGCCATGGTGCCTTCAGTCTGCTTTAGTGTACCACCACCCAACAGGGAGGCCACTGAAATGGCAAGCAGGTGAGGACAATCTGGGAATTCATTTGAATGTTTTTTTTCCCCTCTGTACATCTGAGTGTAACAGATTATTAAAAAAGAAAAATTAAAAGGCAGGGACCAAAGGTTTAAATGATATAATACAATGCTTTATTTCTTTTTCTCTCACTCCACCAGGATCGAGCAGCTGTATCAGAATGCTCTGGCTCTGTGGCATCACTCTCACATTAACATGAAGAGCGTCGTGTCCTGGCACTATCTGATGACTGACATCCACGCCATCCGCAAAAGCACTGTTGCCTCGGTACAAATCTTCGTTTTGCGGCCCCTGAGACGAAAGATGTTTTAAAACCTTGGGAGCTTATACGATAGTATAATGTTAATTTCCCTCCCTAGATCAAGACCCTATTGCCAGGTGATCACGAGCAGGTGCTGAGCAGCCTGCAGTCCCACTTTGAGGACTTCCTGAGGGACAGCGATGAATCGGAGGTTTTCACGGTGGCTGATTGTGCCCAGCTGGAAAAGGAGGTTCTGGCGTGTAAGGAGTACTATGAGGAACTCCTCAAATCTGCAGAGAGAGGCAAGTTACTGTACACACACACACACGTCCCCAGATACAACAACGGACAGCTATGACAGTAGCCAGTGGTGGGGGTAACGCATTCAGATTACATTTTTTCAAATGACGAGTAACGTATCGGATTACTTTAGAATTTACTACAAAATATCTGAGTTACTTTTTCAAATGCAAGTTACTTTGTTTTCCCATTTATTCGCTGAGACCTCTCCTGACCCCTTGTTGAGAGAAATAAGGAGTGAGGTGCAGAGGCAGAGGCACTTCCTGCAGCCTGAGGCTTATTCATTTCATGTTTGGTGTGAAAGGGCCTTTACAGTTGCCAAAAATATAACTTTGTTATTTTTTTTTTGTTATTAAAGAACAAATAAGCAAGCCCAGCTCTGGTGACAAGATGTAACACAAAAGTAACGTAATGCATTACGTTGCGTAATTCAGTAACGCAATTAGTTACTTTTTATGGAGCAATGCATTACTTTTAAATGTTACTTTCCCCAACACTGACAATGGCCAAATCAGGCAACAGAGAATCGTTTAACTATATTCAAATGAGCAGTTACTGGTGCCACCAGACATACAGTATAGCACACATGCTTAAGAAACACGTGTTCTCCTAAGTTTAATTAAGTAGAAAGTTTATACTATAAGGAATGATGTTTTATCCATTCACAGGTCTCCTCCTCAACATGCATTTAAATTTAATCTGGAAGTTTAACTAGTGATCATTTGTAACGCACCGAATTCCATTATTTAATTACTATGTACACTTTAAATATATTTAGGTTTTTGTTCTTCAAACAAACGAGTTCACTGTCTGGCACCTGTAATGTAATAACGGAGTCCTGAAATATTGTCTGCCAGATTAATCGTCAACAAAACTGATCACAATTATATGCACATACACCAACGTTAAAGATTTATTTATATAAAGATTATGTTGTCACTAGTCACAAGAAACAGAAACAGGCAAACAAATGCACAAAAAACTACAGATTATTGTTTGGACATGGAGTCTCAATGATGTACTCATCTTGAATGTATTGCCCTCTGGTGGTCAACAGAAGAACACGAGGAGTCCATGTACAACCTCTTCATATCTGAGGTGCGTAACTTCCGCATGCGGGTGGAGGGTCATGAGGAACAGCTGATCCGGAAAATACGTACCCCGCTAGACAGAGACGACCTGCAGGAGTGTGTGCTGCGCATCACCGAACAGGAGGTTTGATCTTCCGCTTCATTTTTGTTCTCCTTTATTTTCACATAATACTTAAAAAATAAAAATAGTTAAATACTATATAAATAAATATAAAATATAATACGTTTTAGTGAGATAACCAATTTTTGGTACTAAGTTGGATCACCACTTCCCATGTAAAATCTGGACGCTGAAGCAAAATCGGTCCTTTCTCATTCATCCAGAAGAAGGAGGTAGAGCTGGATAGGTTGAAGGATGACCTAGAGTGCCTGAGAGAGAAGTGTGAGGTTTTCCTCAGGCAAGCAGCTGCCTCTCCATCCGTCCCTACACTTTCCTCTGAGCTCAACATCCTCACGCAGAGCACAAACCAGGTCTACTCCATGTGCTGCATCTACCTGGAGAAGTGAGTATTGACTTTCTCCTCAAATGTGATGTTTTTGAAAGAGTTAAGAAGGGTGTTAACGGTTGGAGACGTGACCTAGTGGTTAGTAGATGTGCTGAGGTGCTTATGTAAGCATTGTGAATTTGAATGGTACTTCCCAGTCCTATTCTCCCCTCTTCTTCACATCATCTTGTGTCTGCTCTTTGTTGTCCTTGTAAAATTTTCCCATTGGTAAACACTTCAAATTACCACTACCAGGCTAATGTAAATGTATCTTTACATTTAGTTTTTAATCTCTTGTTATGGTCAGCACTAAAATATTTAATCAGCTATATAATCTGACTTGTTTGACTCAATCATCTTCACTCAGGCTGAAGACAGTGAGTTTGGTGGTGAAGCACAGTCAGAGTGCCGAAGCTCTGGTCAAACTTTATGAAGCTAAGTTGTGCGAGGAGGATACAATCAATGCTAATATCAAATCTATCGATGGCGTCATGAGCACTCTTAAGGTAATAAAATCTCATTGTAACTTTGAAAATGTTGTCTCGATGATGGTTCAGCCATTAAACATCTTTGACTTAACACTGATGGTAATTTGTAGCAATGGAGGTCTGAAATCGATGAAAGACGTGAGGTATTCCATGACTTGGAGGACGAGCTGCAGAAGGCACGAGTGGTCAGTGAGCGAATGTTCAAAACGCACAACGAGAGAGACTTTGATTTGGATTGGCACAAGGAGAAGGCCGACCAGCTCAAAGAACGATGGCAAAACATCCACTCTCAGATTGAAAACAGGTCATTAAGTTGATTATTTCGCCCCTAGCTAATGCTGTGCTGCAGCGTTAAGTGCGTTTCTCATTTATATACCTTCATAATGTGTGATATATTGATTTTTTTATGGTGTTTAGGCTCCGAGACCTGGAAGGCATCAGCAAGTCACTTAAGTACTACAAAGACACGTATAACAGCCTGGATGAATGGAGCAAAAAAATGGAAGCCAAGCAGCTCAAGGCCCAAGAGAATCAGCCCGAGGACAGCAAGGCGTTGGCCGAGTTCCTTAACCAGCAGAAAGTATGAAAAAAAAAGTTAAATCGTATTTATTCATATCCTTTATTTGCACCAAATCCTAACATTGCCATTATTTCTAGGTTTTGGTCACAGAAATTGAACAAAAACAAAGCAAAATTGAGGAGTGCCAGAAGTATTCAGAGCAGTATGCAGTTGGAGTGAAAGTAAGACTAAATTATTGCTTTGAAATATTCTGACATGACATAAAATATAAGGCACCATGGTAGACTGAGGTATGTGAATATTGTAGTGCTGTCAATCGATTAAAAATTTTTTCAACATCCTCACGCAGAGCACAAACCAGGTCTACTCCATGTGCTGCATCTACCTGGAGAAGTGAGTATTGACTTTCTCCTCAAATGTGATGTTTTTGAAAGAGTTAAGAAGGGTGTTAACGGTTGGAGACGTGACCTAGTGGTTAGTAGATGTGCTGAGGTGCTTATGTAAGCATTGTGAATTTGAATGGTACTTCCCAGTCCTATTCTCCCCTCTTCTTCACATCATCTTGTGTCTGCTCTCTGTTGTCCTTGTAAAATTTTCCCATTGGTAAACACTTCAAATTACCACTACCAAGCTAATGTAAATGTATCTTTACATTTAGTTTTTAATCTCTTGTTATGGTCAGCACTAAAATATTTAATCAGCTGAAATCATTGCTATATAATCTGACTTGTTTGACTCAATCATCTTCACTCAGGCTGAAGACAGTGAGTTTGGTGGTGAAGCACAGTCAGAGTGCCGAAGCTCTGGTCAAACTTTATGAAGCTAAGTTGTGCGAGGAGGATACAATCAATGCTAATATCAAATCTATCGATGGCGTCATGAGCACTCTTAAGGTAATAAAATCTCATTGTAACTTTGAAAATGTTGTCTCGATGATGGTTCAGCCATTAAACATCTTTGACTTAACACTGATGGTAATTTGTAGCAATGGAGGTCTTCTGAAATTAATCGCGATTAATCCCACCTAACATTAAACTTTTTAAATATACTTTTATATTGCAATAATTTCACATTCAATCTTCAAATTAATGAACAAACAACATAAAACAGTATATTTTTTAAAATATTTGTTTAATGGCATCTTTTTTTATGACTGAAGGCCAGTATCAATGATACCGATACTTATTTCTCTATAAAATCCCCCCAATATTTAATATGAAAAAAAAAGTTAAATCGTATTTATTCATATCCTTTATTTGCACCAAATCCTAACATTGCCATTATTTCTAGGTTTTGGTCACAGAAATTGAACAAAAACAAAGCAAAATTGAGGAGTGCCAGAAGTATTCAGAGCAGTATGCAGTTGGAGTGAAAGTAAGACTAAATTATTGCTTTGAAATATTCTGACATGACATAAAATATAAGGCACCATGGTAGACTGAGGTATGTGAATATTGTAGTGCTGTCAATCGATTAAAAAAAATTACGAATTAATCGCACATTTCTCTGAAATTAATCGCGATTAATCCCACCTAACATTAAACTTTTTAAATATAGTTTTATATTGCAATCATTTCACATTCAATCTTCAAATTAATGAACAAACAACATAAAACAGTATATTTTTTAAAATATTTTTTTTATGACTGAAGGCCAGTATCAATGATACCGATACTTATTTCTCGATAAAATCCCCCCAATATTTAACCATTGACTATAGCCATTCAAACTTACAGTATAATTGAGAGCTATCAATTTTAACATTTAGTAAAATAACTTAATAAAATAACTTCTAATTTAAGTGAACTTTAAACAATCTTCACATAAACCCATTATAATAAATGTCATATTTACCTGTGCCCTTCAGCAGAAATATACAGAAATTTAAGTTATCAAACACTAAATTCTAAATTAAATATAGATGAATCATTAAAACTTTTTTCTTTGTCCTTTGATTAATAGACATCACAGCAGCTGGTTATTAGGTTGTTTTTCCTGCTGTTACTTTAAGAGCTGCCGCTGCTGAACGTGACACGGATCTGACACGCATCATATTTTCTCTCAAATATTTTTACCTTTTCTGACCCACTTCAGGTCTTAAAGGGTCTACTAAAGAGCTGACGAGTTGAATCGGGTGTGTTAGATGAGTGAGACAGTGCTGGGCTGCTCCAGGACAATTTTGAAAACCATTTCAGAGACATGTTCGTAAATGTGACTCATATAAAATATATTACATGCATGCGCAGTTTTAAGGCAGCTTTAATCGCCTTTTTGGTAACTTCATGACTTAACTGACCACGACATTGCATGCACGTACTTTATTTCGCGCTTTGATATGAAAGGATACAGGCTACAGCGCGCCGGCGCCTTTGTGTGTGCAATTGAAGAGGCACTTGACTGTGAAGTGGAGCGGGCATCTGAAACGTCTCCTGTTCTCAGTCATTCTGCGACTGAATAAATGCACTTCTTGTTAAGAGAAAAAGTGACAAGCAGCAGTTGGGAGTGGGGTGGCCAACTATTTTTAATGCGGTTAACTGAAAAAAATTAATCGCCTGCGTTAACACGCTAATTTTGACACCACTAGAATATTGTAATCATTCAGTACCATACTGTCTCATAGTACCATTATTGCACTTTGCCCATTAGTAAGACTTCATCCCCAAAGAAAACAATAAAATAGATACTAAAATAGTAAAATGGCAATTAAGTATATGGTAAAATAAAGTTATTTAACTGAATAATATTTGTTCCTCATCTTTAAGGACTATGAACTGCAGTTGATGACTTACAGAGCCATGGTTGACTCTCAGCATAAGTCTCCAGTGAAGAGAAGGAAGATGCAGAGTTCCTCTGACGTCATCCAGCAAGAGGTACGAGAGGAAACAGGGATTTTTGTCATTTTGGCATTCATTTGAGTATTTGTGAGCATTTTTTGTTTGTTTCCCTCTTCAGTTTATGGACCTTCGAACACGTTACACAGCCCTGGTTACTCTGATGACACAGTATGTGAAGTTTGCCGGTGAAACACTGAAGAGGGCGGAAGAGGATGAGGTAGGACATTTGTTGACTTATTCCTTAACGCTTTATCCAGTAGTGTTAATTAGCATTCGTATAGTAGGTGAAATGCTGTTATTGCATGCTATTTAGCAAGACTGTGCTTCCAGCCATTTTTCATTCACCAGTGACACATCAGAACAAGGACATACATAATAACAACATACACAAACACATGTTTATTAAACTTTGCTGGTGATTCCTGCAATACAAAATGTTCCTCAGTGCTTGGACATTTATTTTGATACAAAATAGCACATATGGCTGTATTTTGTATCACTGCTGGTGACCTTGTATCTTGGGAAAACATGTCCTGGAAACATGCTGAAGAGTACATGCCAATACGTGGTGGTGGTGGTGGTATTTTTTCAAGCTTTTATTGGTAAGTGGGCAAGAACCGCCTTTTCTCCTCCAGGTAGTTGACTGGAAGATGACTGTGTCTTTCATTTCAGAGGAGAAAGTCATTGGAAAATGCAGAGTACTTGAGCTGGACTGAGAGCATAGAGCTGCAGAAATCTGCAAGTGAAGAGGAGATCGCCAGGCTTAGGCATCAGGTACTGGACCTCGAGGCTTCGCTGTCTAACAGGCAACAGCAGCTGGACATCCTGGGGGCAGACCTTGAGATGCAGAAAAAGTCAATCGAGGACTTAACCTTACATAAGTCAAAAGCTGAGTATGAGGCTCAGAAATACCGTGTTGAACTAGAAGCTGTGATCAAAAGCAAGGGTTCCATGGAGCAAGAGTTGAATCGTGCTCGACAACAGGTTCAGCAGTCAGAGGCCAAACAGGCCTCGCTGGAAGAGAGCCTCCGCAACCTTAAAAAAAGCATAGAGGAGAGCACATTAGCCCGTAAGAAGCTGGAAGATCATTTACGTCGCAAGGACAGTGATGTACAGGGCCTGGAGGAGCATAGTCGCACGTTAGAGCGAGAACTTAGGGCTAAGGAAGACGCCGAGGCAGAGCTTCTTAGCCAAGTGAGAATCATGGAAATGGATCTGGCCCACCAGTCAGAAGTCAGGATGATGCCAAGTGAATCCAGGTTGGGTTTCTCCAAAGAAGGTGCACAACTGGCATCTTTTAAAACCAGTTCTTTAATAATCCATTCTGAATCTGAGGCAGAAGTCCTACAGCGCAAAATGGAGGAGCTCATTATGGGCAAGAAGCGAGCTGAGACTGAAATCAAGTCCTTGAAATCCGAATTGAACTCAATTATTGTCCACAAAACTGTGGCTGAGGAGAAAGCTCAACGTTTCAAAGAACTCTTGGATGAAGCAAACAACAGGCTTTTGAAGCTACAAGTGGAAATGGATGCAGATAGGTCCAACATGAGACAGAAATCAGAGGAGTTGAGACAAGAAACTTCTGAACTAAAGAAGTCTGTCTATGTGTATCAAGAACAAATCAAATCTCTCCAAAGAGACAAATCTGCTCTGGAGCAAAGAGTGCTATTCCAGAAGACAGAGGTCGATGGCCTAAAAGACCAGTTCAAAGTCAATCAAGGGAAACTTCTACAGTGGACCTCTTTGGAACAGGAGAGCACTCATAAGTTGAGGTGCCTGGAAGACGAGTTGTCTTCCAAACAGTCTGAGGTAGAGCAGATGACATTCAAGGTGAATGAACTTAACAGAAAAAATCAATTATTGGAAAGTGATACCCGTCATCTTAAGGTAAGTATTGAGTCAATCCAGCAGGACAAATCACATGCTGACCAAAAGATTAAAACCCTGAAAGGTGAGGCAGAGGTTTTGAAGGAGCAACTGCAGAGAGCCAAAGAAGAAATCAATCTGAAGACAAGAACAGAGAAGGAAGCTCAACTCAAAATCAAAAACCTTGAACTAGAGCTTCAGAAATGTTCCTTGCAAGTGACCCAGCTTACCAAGAAAGTAGAAGAACTCAAGAAGATTAACATGGAGACTGAACGGTCCATTAAAAATGTGAAAGCTCAACTTGATAGAGCGTCCATTGAGATTGACAGTAAGGAACAGCAAATTAATATACTCAGATCCCAGGCAGAAAGTGCAAAATCTCAGGTAAAAATTGTTGAAGAGGAACTTCTGAACAAAACACAGGTATCTCATGAGCTTCAAATCAGACTTAAAGATTACAACGAAGAAGCCAAAAAGACAGCCGAGCTGCAGCAGAAGATCAAGTCTCTAACATTGACCATCACCAACTATGAAAAAGATATTTCAAATCTCAAAGCAGAGCTGAGTTCTATAACCACTGAGAGGAATCTGGCTAATCAGAAGGTTCAGGAACATAAAGTCGAGATAAATAACCTGAACATGGCTTTAAAAAAAGCCATAGGAGAATCTCAAAGGGAGTCATCTGAAGGTAAAAAGAGCTTGTCAAAAGTTCGAGAACTTGAAAATGAGCTTTTGAAATGTAAGCAGACAATTAGTAGGATCAGTGGAAGTTCAGAGAAGGCCACAGTAAGCCTGAAACAGGACATTTCATCCCTTCAGAGGGATAAGCAAACTGCTGACCAGAAGTTACAGGTTTTAAAATGTGAATTTGATGATATTAGTTCCACTCTAAAAATAACAAAAGATGAGCTACAGCGAGTGACTGACGAAAACAGGTTAAGTCGGTCCAAACTCAAAGAACTGGAGGCAGAACTCCAAAGGAAAAGTTCTGTTATGCGAGAATTGAGCTCAAGCGCAGATAAATCTGTACTGAATTTAAAACAAGAACTAGTCACTTTTCAGAACGATAGGAATGCTGCAGAAGACAGAATCACAAGTTTAACTCTGCAGACGTCAGAGCTGAAGCAGAAGTTGAGACAAACCCAGGAAGAGCTTAAACAGAAGCAAAATCAAACAGCAGCTGCTGAGTTGAGATCACAGAAGCTTGCTGAACAACTGGACAACTGTAAAAAGATGCTTAACGATCTCAAAGGCAAACTCGACTTACAAAAGAAAGGCTATGAGACTCAACTGCAGCTAGTGCAGGCTGAAATGGTGCAAAAGCTTTCGCTGCAGGAATCACGCTTAAAGTTGGAGCATGAGAGGAAATTAAAGGAGCACTTGCATACTGTGGAAAGTGCTGAGAGAGACAACAAGCACCTGTCTCAAGAAGTGGAGAAGTTGAAAACATTCACTTCTAATGCAACAAAAGCAAAACAAGAGGCTGAAGAACACCTCTGCAACGTACGCATGCAGTTGGATGAATCTGACAGGCAGAGGGGAATACTTGACCTTGAACTTCTCAAAGCAAAATCAAAGATTTCTGAGTTAGAAATGGAAAAAATCAGAGTGAAATCCAGTATTTTTCAACTTGACAATATTCACAAAGACAGCTCAAACGACATATCAAGGTTTAAGCAAATGTTGACAGAGACTGAGCAGAAATTGGGCATCTCAGAAAGGGAAGCAAGATCTCTAAAGGAACAGATTGTTTCGTACATCAGTGAAATGAAGTCTCTACAGGAGAAGAATCTGAAGCTTGAGGTAGCAGTCAATTCTGAGAAGAAGCATCTAAAAGAACTGGAGGCACTCGGACATGCCAGTCATCAGTGTGCTAAAGATGAAGAGCTGGCAAAGCTAAAGACTGAACTTCAGCTGACTCAGAAAATTGTTGTGTCATATGAAGAAGCAAAAAGGAACATGGAGGAGGAACTCAAGAAAATGAAAATGAGCTCTGAGGTACGACTTCAAGTGTATTCACAATTTTGTAAAACTGTCATTTCCTGATGTGTTTTAACAATGTGCAGAGACCGCTATAATTAAGGGTGCTCTCACACTTGGTTCCGTTGCTTGGTCCGAACCAGAGTTCAGTTACTCCCCCTCTATTCTATGCACACCTGTTTTTTTGTAGGTCAGAACCATGGCACGCTTGCGTCATCAAGGCGGCAGCTGTTTACACTTGTTAGGTAACGGCAACACTGAACAAAGCAAAAAAATATATAGGGTTGCTTGCCTCACTTTTGTACCTTGGTCTGTTTACAATTAATGTTCTGCAAAAGTTCTAGAGAAGTCAGTTTCTGTTGGAGGCGAGCGATTTGACCAATCATAGCTCATTAGGGCTGTCAAAATGGCTGAAAAACTAAATTCAAATTTTTTACTTAAATATTATCAATATTCAAATTATATTCGAATTTAAAAGGCATAATTTCAGTTAGGGGGGAAAAAAAAGCTTTTGGCTTCTCTCCTGAGGCCACAAGAGGCCGCATCGAGCAAAATATTATGCACATTTCTTCAAAGCATAATAAAATAACACGACTGTCTTTGAAAAAAGTGCATAATGTTTAAAATAATTCATTATATATGGTTTATAAACCATGTATAATGAATAAAGTTACTTAAGCAATTAGAAACAAAACAGCATCATGCATGTATGTATAGTTTAATACAAAGGACCGAAAACCAATCAAAAAGAGTACTTTCTTCATTTAAAAACTTGAGATGCAGTGGGATGGGGAAAACCAAGCAATAAAGTCTTGAGACTTGTTTTTTAAAAGTTGAACTTACATTAATTTTACATAGCTTTCTAAACACGCGGCTCTCTTGTGCGAGACGCGAGTGCAACGGTGATAGATGTCCCTCTAGAAAATGCGATAAATATGCATTTTGTATGAACGGCTTGGTTTCGGTTTTTATGTAAACAACATCTTCCCCGCATTGATTGTTCTCTTTTTCTGCAATATTTGGAATGAACAACGTAGCAGCGCCGCATCTAGTGGGTTCAACTGGATAGGCTAACAAAAGCATTAAAATGCAATGACACATCGTCGCATTTCGTGCGCCACTGACAAGGCTGCCTGACATACACTTAAAATTCGAATGCAAAAACGTTGTGGATTTTTATTTTAAATTCGACGAATATTCGAAAAAAAATTTGACAGCCCTATAGCTCATAAATAGCGGTTAATTTCCAGAGATTGTCTTACTATAGGGAGATGAGAGGGTCTGTATTACTTACTATTGGAGAACGCGTAACGGTCAACTTGGATCACGTGTACCTTAATAACCAATCACATTACAGCCTTGACGTAATTGAATTTCAGTCATAGTTGTGTGACACTCAGTTGCCGTTTACGGATACCATAGGAATGAATGAAAAGTGCCGTAAGCTGAATCCCACCTGTCGCAAAAAGTCAGTGACTTCTCTTATAAAACAGCATTTTATTTTCAGTGTAAACTCTAAAAATAGTTCAATCCAAAAGTATTGCTTAGAGTAAAACATGTTGAAGATTAGCCGATAGACTGTCGATTCATTAAATGATAAGCTGTTTATTCAGCGTAGTGAAGACTCTCCTCCATTGACATCCATAAAAAAACAGCCTCTGGTCTCCTTTCCCACATACTGCCAAAGTGGAAGCGTTAGCATTAGCCGTTATGCTTTTTGGCTAAAGGTTGCAGGCTTGCCTTCCAGTGGCTTTGTTCATTTCTGCGTTTAAGGACAATTGCATTCAGATCAACAGCAAACTGTACTGGATTCCACATGAACCATACCATAGTCTGAAAAACAGTGTTCACATCATCCAAATGAACCAAATTCTGACAACAAGCAAACCCGAGTGTCATTTAATAGTTGACCTCTCTTTTACAGAATTTGATCATCAATTGCATATTTATTGCTGCCATGATCACTATAATTAAAATTCTGTTTACCACCTGCTTACCACAGATAGTGATAGTGCAATGTTAATTTCAGCATGCAAATAATTCTCACTTTTGTGAATAAAAGCATTAGAAGATGGGGGAGAAGGGCAGAAAGGAAACAGTAATTATTTGTTGCAGTTCTGTTGATGCAGAAATTACACACTTCACCTTATTTCTTGCCTAAATATTTATTAATATATAAATGTATAAAAGTAATGCATTTATTATATAATGAAATATATTTATTAAAAATGTACACTTATTTTGACATATTTTCATGCACTAATAGCATAAATTATCTCATGCTTGCAGATAGCTACACTGGAAAAGGAAAAAGTGCTGGAGGAGCTACGAAAAGTAAAGCAAAGCAAAGTGCAAGTGATCAATGAGAGAACGCTGGAATATGCTACCAAGGCAACAGAAAATCCAGTTTCACTCCAGAATTCAAATGCTTTTGAACTACACAAAAACCAAGTGATGGCTGGTAACAGTCAGAGTGAGATGACTGACACTATACTTGGGAAAAGCTCAGTGTCTGATAAAGGCAGGTCTGGTAAAAGTCAGACTGTTTCATTCAATATCATTGATTCTGATTCCTCCATCGATCTTGCTTCTGGCTCGCCTGTAACAAGTAAATCAAAAGTGCTAAAAATTAAATCTTCTTCCAATAAAATTCAAGGTCTCAGAGGACGGATAAGTATTAAAAAGTTGGTAAAAACTAAAATAATTACTCAGGAAATTGCACTCAAGTTGCAAACAGGCCTCATCACTATAGAGGAGATAGAAGCATCACTTGCTCAATTCATTGGTAAACCATCCTCAATTGCAGGTGTTTACATGGAGTCAAGCAAGAAAAAGCTGTCCTTCCTAGATGCTGCTGCAGGAGGATTTATATCTAAAACCTATGCCATTGAGTTTCTGGAAGCACAAGCTGCCACAGGATGCATCATTGATCCTATGACAGGTGAAACTTACTCGCCGTCAGATGCTTTTGAGAAAGATATCATTACTGGGGATCTCAAGGACAAAATAACTGAAGCTTACAAAGCAGTCAGTGGTTATACTCATGCTGGGAAGATTCTTTCAGTGTTTCAAGCTATGGAGGAGAGAATTATAGACAGGCATCGAGGTAAAGCGTTAATAGAAACGCAGATCGCTACTGGAGGGTTGATTCACCCACTGATTGGAATTAGGGTACCCATGGATTGTGCGCTAGAGCAGGGGCTTGTAAATCAAGCCACCCTTCAAAGTCTCTATGATCCAGTCAGCAACCCAAAAGATTTTCACTATGCAGAAACAGGGCAGAAGGCGTACTATAGCGAACTGCTCAGAATCTGTGTGTATGATGTCCATGGTGGAGTATATCTTCTTCCTTTTGGTGACCAGCACCTGTACACCCTCTCACCATCCAGCAAACACAGGATATCGGTCATCGACACTTCTAATGGTGCGAAAATGTCAGCCTACGAAGCATATAAGGCCAGCCACATTGACAAGAGAACTTACCTATTTCTCTCACAACAAGAGAGCGAATGGCAAGAGATAACAATCATGGACTCAAGTAGGAACCTTCTACACATCCTAACAGACCCTAAGAGTGGGCGGCAGCTTTGCATTGAAAATGCTCTTAGTCTGAAAATTCTCCAAATGGAAGAGCTCAACAGCTACCGGAGTGGTCAGCTCAGTATTTCTGAGCTTGCTGATCTTTTGATTTCCAGAAGAGTTGTCTTTAAAGTTCCAAACAGTCCCGTTGCAGGACTCTGGGATGTTTCTTTGAAGAAACGACTCCCGGTTTTCAAAGGACACCAGCAGAACCTTGTGGACCGACTCACCACGCTGAGGCTGCTAGAAGCTCAGGCTTGCACTGGAGGCATCTGTGATCCAGCATCTGGAGAAAGGGTTCTGGTTAAAGAAGCACAACATCGAGGACTCTTGGATGAAGGTTTTGCCAGACAGCTCCAGCAATGTGAGCAAGCCTATTATGGTATCATTCACCCTCAGAATGGAAAGACTTTGACTGTGGCCCAGGCGATGCAAGAGAACCTTTTCCCGAAAGATGTTGGAGTGAAGTGTCTTGAGTTTCAACTGGCGACTGGTGGGCTCATTAACCCAGAGAGCCAAGAGAGAGTCTCTTTGGAGGATGCGATACAGAATTGCTTGATCGACAAAGCAACTGCTGCACATCTTCAACATGACAATTCCCATTCGAAATTTATCACCTGCCTCAAAACCAAGCGAAAAATTTCTCTCAAGGAAGCTCTAGAAAAGAGTGTCTTTGACAGCCACACTGGGTTTGTCCTTCTTGAAGCAACAAAACCCCATAGTACTGGCAATACTTCATCCTTCCAATACTTCTGGACCTATCGGCACTTCTGATATGGTTCTGGACAGTGTCTATCTAATATCAGGCCATTTTTAGTGAATGGCAGAAAAAGTAATTGACATGTCCCTTTGTGGTGGAGCATTATCTAAAATAAAATACGTATTTTTTATCCTGAAAGATATCTAAGTCATGTTGGTGAAAATGGGAGACTTTAAATGTGGTTTTTTTTCTACTGTAAGATGTTATTTAAAAATGTCTTGTATCCTTTTTTTTCTTTTCAATGGCATTTTTTATTTATGGTCAAGCATGCTTCCATGTAAAATGACTGGGAGCTTATAGACCTGCTGATTTCATGTTATATATTGTATCCAAACATAGACATTATTTTGTTAATTATGAAAGTTTTACATTGTTTTCTAATCCACCATACAATTTTTTCCCCAATGATTTTAGAGGTCTGTTGAGGATGAGAAGAAAGAGCATGGTGATAAGGTTAACAAGTTGTTAAATTGGATGAAAACGAATCCAAACAAAGATGGAAAGGCTCAAAGTGATGGCAAACCCAGCACTGAGGGCACTAGTAAGCCCCAGGTAAACAAGTCAAACTACCTGATTGTATTTTCATTGTTTTGTTCAGCAGGTCTTCAGCTTTGGATCTTACAGGTTAATTCATCTGTAGCTGTTTTAATGTCAGCATCTTGTCAACATAGTGAGCATTTCAGGGAACTGCGTTCATCATTTCCAAACGTTGCTAATGTCAAACACATCAGAACATACACATTTCCGTTGTTATGTTTCTGAATAAAGATATTATTGTGTATCTCTTCATATTTTTGTGTTGTCACATACTTGTTACTTGCTTCTGTTATCCACCCACATTTCACAGAAAGTATTTACCCATAAAGTATCTACCCATTCATTTCAAGTAGTAATTGATATAATCACTATTTTGTTCGATCACATCTGGATCAGTCATCAGGTCACATCCTATTTTTCACTGTTACACAAGGGACAACAGTGATAATCCAGTAAACATGTATCCATAAGTACACATGTGGCTCAGTCAGATACATTTACAACGTACACGTACAGTGTGATAAACTGTACAAATTACACTGGACATTAAATCACTGCATTCTTTGGTGGTTATGAAATTCCCTGCTTCAGTGATGCTGTTATATCTCTACATTTCATCACTCATTTTGGAGTGCTGCTTGGTTGTCAGAGCCAAGTAATTTAGGTGGTAAATGTTCTGTTGACTGACCCAAAGCAGAGAACAATTTACATGCCATGTAAAATAAACTGTTTCTCAAATTAGAAAGTTGTGTTTGAATGACCATTCATCCATCTACAATGTCACATCCCTAATGAAAGACCTTCTTCCATATACTTTTCCAAACAAAAGCTTTATAACTCAATCCTGATGTTTAAATAAACATGGCAGCATGTCTCTAAAAATACATTGGGATCCAAAGGTCTGAGGCCACTTGTGGAAATGCTTGTATTTTACATTTTCTGTTCATTACAACCATATTATCAGCATAACAATTTGAGTGGAAATCATTACAGAAAAAAATGACATGAATTTAAGAATCTGTATTAAGTGTATCCCCCCTTTTTGCTTTAATATCACAAACTCCATACGTGTATGTAGAACTTGATGCTCATGTCATCCAGCATGATTTTTGTATGTTCCCAAGAGCACTTTTATTCAGTAACGTTTGTACAAAGAAGTTCACATGGTCACAAACTTGATCATTTATCTATAAATGATTACATAATAAATTAGAATATCGGGGTGGTTTAGTGGGTAGCACTGTCACCTCACAGCAAGAAGGTCCCTGGTTCAAGTCCCGGTTGAGTCAGGAGGCCTTTCTGTGTAGAGTTTGCATGTTCTCCTTGTGACTGGGTGCACTGGTTTCTCCCACAATCCAAAGACATGCAGAATAGGAGACACTGTATGGCACAAACCATCTTTTGGCATTAAAATAGTACGGTCAGGATTGACTAAAGACGCGCAGTGAAGAATTAGCTCTGAAAAGGCGTGGACACAGTTATTTAAGCGCGTGACCTTACTGAATATGCATTTGTAGGAGTTTATCTTTCAAAAAAACATGTCTGAAAGCAGACGCTAATTTGCGCTACTCTTTGTAGATTGTGTTGGTCATTATGGAAATGATCTGGCTGCATCTGTGTTCTTTAATTTATGCATTGTTAGTAAATCACCCGCAGAAATTTACACTTCCATTAGCAGTTTTTTTTTTGCAATTGCGCTCTTACGCCAATTTGCCCTGTTTAGTAAACCTGGCCCTAAATTGTCTGTTGTCCAGAATTTTCCCCCACCTGTGGCCTGAGATGCTGGGATAGTCTCCAGCATCCCAGTGACCCTACAGAGGATAAGCCATTTGGAAAATGGATGGATGTACAGATGGGAATCACAATATCTTCTTGTTTTAACTTCGTTTCTTTACTGTTTTAGTTTAAGTCTTAGACCTTTGGACCCCAATAAACATATAAGATCAAATCGTGGAATTGGTTTTCAAATGTTCAATAGTATCATGTCCCCACATTTTCTGCAAATTGTATGACTAATGGTTCAGTAAACATTTATCTGATTTCAAATGGTTAAATGGCCTACAGTAGATGTTGGATGAAGTGGTTTTCAAAATGCAGTTGAAGTTATCTTAAAGGAACACTCCACTATTTTTGAAAATAGGCTCATTTTCCAACTCCTCTAGAGTTAAACAGTTGAGTTTTACAGTTTTCAAATCCATTCAGCCGATCTCCGGGTCTGGCGGTAGCAACTTTTCATTTTCCATTGGTCTTAGTACACGATCTAACTACAGAAGAGTCAAGTTTTAAATAGGAAAAATATAGAAACTCTTTGGTCATTTTTGAGCGAGATGCTAACAGTCTAATCAGATTCAATGATATATGCTAAGCTACAGCTAAAAGTGCTACCGCCAGACCCGGAGATCGGCTGAATGGATTCGAAACGGTAAAACTCAACTGTTTAACTCTAGGGGAGTTGGAAAATGAGCCTATTTTCAAAAATAGTGGACTGATCCTTTAACCTAATTGTGATTTACTAAACACTGTTCTTGTAAAGCTTTATTGATTTCTTATGTTCTATTATAGATGTCATTGGAGGAGATGGTGACAAAGAAGGAACAAATTGGAGAAGCATTGCGAACTACCCAGCTGATGCTAACCAAACACAGTGACAAGTATGTTATGTCAATGGAAGGGAAAGAATTCACTGAGAATAGCATTGCTTATTTGCATGCACTTGTCTGTGTTGTTTTAAGCAATTTCAGATTTTTAAGAGTTTTATGCGCTTTTGCAAAAAATTTTGTGAAATGTTTTCTTTCACCAGAATGACTGAAGAAGAAAAGCAAGAAGCAAAAGAACAGCTGAAATCTCTTCATCAGGCATACAGCGAGCTCTCTCAACAGAGTGCAGATGCAGCTTCCTCAGCTGATCAGGTGAGATAAGGATATTCTGCCACTGCCAACCAAATGCTGGTTATATATGGAGGTGGTTGTGTGTGAAGTGGACACACTCTCTCCAACGGCATGACTAACCTTTGTTTTGACAGCTTAAAATATATATAGCATGATAAGACAGTTTCCAAAAGCCTCTTTAACCCTTCAATGCCACCACTGCAAAGATGGAGAACGACTCCATCAAGAATGTGTGTAACTGAGTATGCTGTAAACGTACATTGCATGTCAGCCACTCTCACTCTTTCTTCACAGCAAACTCAGAGGACATTCTTTTTGTCTCCATGGGGTTCAGCACACTGCACATAATAACATAATGCTCAGCTTGTTTTCTCTAACTCTGTTGTTCTACAAAATACTAAGATTTCTGTTCACAGATGCATGTAAGCTTATATTGTGTCCCATTCTCTTGCTGATGACTTGCTCTGAGCTAGTAAAATCCATAGACCGGGTGAGTATGTTTGATCGTATTTATAGCCAAGACGGTAATGAAAATTGATGTAGTGATCATGTTTGAACGTACATTTAGAAACATCTTGATTTCAATAACATAATGCTCAGCTTGTTTTCTCTAACTCTGTTGTTCTACAAAATACTAAGATTTCTGTTCACAGATGCATGTAAGCTTATATTGTGTCCCATTCTCTTGCTGATGACTTGCTCTGAGCTAGTAAAATCCATAGACCGGGTGAGTATGTTTGATCGTATTTATAACCAAGACGGTAATGAAAATTGATGTAGTGATCATGTTTGAACGTACATTTAGAAACATCTTGATTTCTTTAATCTCTTTCCAGGCACTACAGGTCATCCAAGGGATTCTGGATGTTGAAAGTGGAGCTGTCATGTCTGTGTGTTACTCTGTGAACAATGGCTTCATCGACCAAAACACAGGACTTGGTCTTCTAGAGGCACAGCTTATAACCACTGGACTCATTTGGCCTGAACAGCACTTGTATATGGACTTAGAGGAAGCATTCAAGAACAAACTTGTGGATGACACAATGTGCAAGCAACTGCAAGACTTGAATGAAACGAAAAAATGTCTTCGGGATCTTCAGTTTGCTTTAGAACCCTTGCCGGTTATGGCAGCTCTGGAAAATGGGGCTATATCTGAGCAAACAGCTATGAAGGTCATTGAAATCCAGCTAGCGACTGGAGGGTTAAGACTGACATACACTGGTGATATTCTACATCTGGAAGGGGCTTTTCAACTTGGCCTGATACCTCAGTCGCTCTTTATCCAGATATTGGAGAGGAAGGACACATGGAAGAACTTGATTGACCCCAACACTGCAGAAAAAGTCACACTTAGAATCAGACATAAGTGACATAGCTTCCACTCAGCCGTTGAATGCAATGCAGTTACCACAAACAGCCTTTTCTATAGCAGCAACTGCCTCAAGTCTGTGCTCGATGGTAGCAAATCCTGAATGTCATGATGCCAGTAAAGACCAGGAAAAACATTCAAAATACTCACCACTATTGTCCAGTGACACAACCAGTTATACAGAAGTGCCCTCTGAATTTCCACATACAGAGGTTGTGTGGGATGACAAAATTGAGAGAGATTATGCCATCCATCGTCTTAGGGCACAAGTGGAGGAAGGTGGGATTTTGGATGTCACCTCTGGAAAACGGTATGACCTTGCAGCTGCTCTCGATAAAGGCCTTATTGATGAAGAGACTGTCTTAGAAGTACTTGCACTGCAGCTTCAAGAGGATGGTCTGAAAGAGAACGAAAAGGCTGCTTTGTCAGTTCTGAACATTTCTGTCAGTAAAGGCTGCATCTCAAGTAAGGTAGCACTACAGATCATGGAAAAGCAGAACCTTCTTGGTGGTTTCTATGATGCAGCAGTTGGAAGAACCATTAGCGTCCGTGATGCTTTAGAGACAAATCTGATTACTGATGATCTCAGCAGAAGTGTTCTCTCTTCAGAGGCAATCAGGAAGGCCATCATTGATCCAGAGAGGAAGTGTGTGCTCAGTGTAAATGATGCCCATCAGTCTGGGATGTTGGATGATGAAGAGGCTGAGAGGATGCTACATTCACAGCAGAATGAAATTGAAGACATCATGGTGCCTGATTTAGCAAAAAGAGGACAAATAAGCTTGAGATCAGATGAAGCCACACAGGTATCTACCGACATAGCATGTGTGAGCAGTAGTCAGGATCTTCTGTTACCCACCATTTGTGGCATGCCGTCTAAAGCCATTTCAGCAAAAGACGATATGTTTGATAAAGTTTCTGAGACTAATGAAATAGGGGAGGATTGTGATGTACGATGTGGTAATTTCAAGACTATGGATTCTAAAAATGAGATAGACACAACAGATGAAAGAAAAGGAAGGTTCATTTTGGAAGGAAATGAGATAAAAAGTCCAAATAACAGCGTAGACCCTTTTGTTGTTGATGTTTCTTGTGAAACTGTAAGTCATTCACCATGTATCAGGCAGATGGCATATCTTGAGACTACGGCGAGTCAGGTTGTTAGTCCTGTGCAGAGTGACTCTAGAATATTGTGTTCATCACAAAGTGATATCTGCTCCGAAGAAAGGAAATCTGAGAGTATACTTAATCCTAAACAGGAATTCAACAGGTCCAAAGTGGAGTCTGAAGCAACAAATGCATGTTTTGACAAAGGTCTCTCTGAGAGCTTGAGCACTTCACTACCAATGGTGGAAGATGTTGGGCAAGTTAGAATACTTGCAGAAGCACAGTCAACCTCGTCTTTATGTTTTGCAAGTGCCAAGTCACCAATGGAGACTGCAACAGAGGTGGAATTAAGTACTGATGATCAGTCCATATTAGCTCATGAGAAAGTGCATGCATCATATAAAGTTGAATATGCCAATAATATAAGTGAGGACCTAGATCATGAGCATTCTGATGAGGATTCAGGTGCGTTTAGTTCAGAGAAAAGAGTACTAGAGATGGTTAAGTATGAGGACATGTCAGAAATGTTCAGAAATGCACCAAAAACAAAACCTGAGCCCAGAGTGGTCTGTACAGAAAGCAGTATTGATTGTAAGATAGAAGAGAGTGATGACATTGAAGACTCTGTGGGTTTCAAAGGATCCGAGGACACATGTCAGCTCAGTTTGATAGATTTAGCTGGATCAACAGTAAATTCCAAACAGTTGCCACTCGAAATTGTTACTAATTCTAGTCAAGTTGATTCAAGTGGAGGTAATCATAACATACAGCACCCAAGTGAGCAAGGCATATTTTGTAATCATGTAGCCCCAAAGGCCACTACAAAAGATGAGTTAGCCAGGTCATCTGAATCAGACTTTACAAGTCACAATGATAAACGAGTAAAAGATGTAGTAGAAATGCCAGAGTCATCCTCGGGTCAATCTTCAGAGGATATGTTCGCAGAATCCAATGAATTGCAGTCTGTCCGCCAAATTCCAAGTCCTTCCGTCAAAATCATGCTTGATCAGAATAGCGAACAAAGTGCAGACATCTTCAACCAGTCTCAAGCTGGAGACTGTGCTACAGTGGTTGCTGAAGGTGTACACCAGGATGACCTTCATTTATCTCACATGGCGATGGCCGAAGATGAAAGTTTACCGAAATCAATGGGAAGCAGGGATATAAAGTCTTTTTTAAATGCGTTAATCCAAATGAAGATGGATGGAGCAAGTATAGACAAGACTCAAAAACAAAAAAGCCAAGCCATCGATAGCATTATTGAAATTATTCAAACTCAATCCAGTTTGAATATATCCAACTCAAATGAGAGAGGTGGGGATCCAGATATCCTTTTGGATTTGAAAAAACATGAAGGACCAAGAGAAGCTCAGAACTGGCCATCTGATGAGAGTAATGATGAACTAAAGCAACAGACTGATCTGCTGGTGATGAGTCAGAGGATCTCCACAAGCAGAGATCAAGAAATGCTCAAGGAAGTGGATGGAAAGCTAAGCAGTTTTTTGGAGTGCACTGCCCTGAGAGATGAAAGCATGGAAGCTAAAAGCATTGCTGTTCCAACCACATATGCTGCTGCTACAGATGATGCCTTTCAGCCAACCGGCTCTATCCACCAGGTCTCCATGGCAGAGGATCCAAACATAAAACAAACAGATGGCGTCAAACCGAGAGTGAGTACTGATACTACTCTCAGCTGAGCTGTGATTTGCAAAGTAATATCAAATATGCATGCAATCTGAGATCCAGATGCATGTTTTGGATAAAGGTGTAAGTATAATGGTGTACTTCTTGCAGAGATATTCCACCCAGAATTACTTGGAATGTGTTGGGAGGCTTCAGGATCATTGCGATACTCTTGAAGATATAAGAAGTGACTTGCAGACCAAGGGTCCATTAGCAGAAGACATTGAGGGGTTGCATAGTCAATTAGAGGAAGTTCAGGTTTGTCACTTATAAAATATAATGCCTCTTTTTTTCACTTGACAGAAATTCTCTTAACCCGCAGACCCCAAATACTCCAGTTTGCCAGTGCTTTCTGTCTGCATGGTTATCTGTGCTGTAGTCTATTGCTTGTTCCTTTACTCTGTCGCTCTTCTTCACAATTCCTTCCTTTTGTTCCCCAACTACTCCCACCCACTCTGTTTCTAGTCTCTGGAAGCACAGATTGCTGCTCTTCCTGACTTGCTTACAGCAGATTTGAGTGCAGCAGAGCAACTTCTGAATTCTGCTGATGAGCTCATTCCCATGCAAATCCACCAAGATTTGGCTGCAGTCTATGTAGATTTACAGAATGCTTTCACAGATGTTTGCCACTTGTCAGCTGAGCGAAGTAATGCTATTCTACTAGCCGTTGACACAGTGAAGGTTAGTAAAGACGTATGAAAAGAAAGCAAGAGCAATAGAGAATGATGAAAATTATATTCTCACACTTGTTCAAATATGGGTTACAGATCCATTTGGAAACCTCATATCAAGAGTTGCTAAGCTGTCTTGATAAGGTCTCAGCTTGTATACAAGGCAATTATGAGATGGTGTCTAAGCTTGATATCATGGATGCTGATAACATAGAAAGAACTAAGAACAAGGTTCAGCAAAATAAGGTAAGTTGTCTTGTACGTTATTGGAAAGTATTGCTAAAGTTGCCTGAAATACAATGTTTTTATACAATTAAAAGTACGGTTTATCTACCACATCAAATTAAGTCTGGTGAGTTTTGCTTAATTGTTCCTGATTCAGGACATAGAGAAAGACTTATCAGGAACCCGGCAGCTCCTGGAAGACGCTGCTTTTGATATCCAAAACTTCATTTCTGAGCATGCTCAGTTCCTGAGTCCGACTCATAGCAGATACCTTCTAAGGGCTCTCAGCGCTACCCAGAGATCCTACAAAGAGCTCATGGACAGAGTCTTCACTCAGAGACAAACTCTAGAGGTCCAACTGGAGATCCGTGAGGAGCAGAATCAGAAGAAGGTCTGAGAGAGATGGAAGAGATCACACTGACCATTGACCTTTACAGTACCAAATCACATGAAAATGCATGAAGATATGTTTGTTGCTTTGATATGTTGTATATTTTGATATCAAGTGTTGGAAAATGGATTGCCATTTAAGAGGTAACCCAAAAGACCCCTTAAAGTATTATTTTGTTTAAGGCACAGACAATATCTTGCTACTTATGGCTGCAAAATCTGGATATGCCCATGGGTGATCACAATTTTTTTTGTTATTTTTTACCAACTTTTAGGAGTACACTAGCATGTAGTGCAAATTTTAGTCTCAAAGCTTGTATGCACTATAAGCCAACCCCCCCCCCCCCTAAATTTTCTACTTCACGGGGTCTTTATAAAGAGTTTTAATTATGTTTTAAGTCAAAATTGACTATTCATGAATGTATTATTTGTGTGTGCGTGTTTTGCTGAGTTTAATCACATGACTTTTCTATTCTATGTTCTATTTACAACACAGAAAAGCCTTGACTTGATCACTGCCACCAACTTACCTTGTTCTGTTCATGTGTGCGTTTTTCAGGCTGCCTGAACCTATTCAGCTCTTACTACCAAAGGACCAGTGTTTTATTCTATGTGAACAGTAAAGGCAGCACTAACCCACCTTTCTTTACCATTGCCAAAACCCCTTTGAATTGCTGGCATGTTTACAGCATACTCAGTCACTACTAATGGTTCAATGCTCAGTATTTTGTGTGATGCTGCTTTAGCTCTGTGGAAGAGGTTTCTTTTCTAATTGAGTCTTTATGTTATAGGCTGCTGTGGAGAAGCAGAGGGAGTTTTCAGAAAAGCTGCAGGAGCTGTTTGATGATCTGACACAGACAGAAAACCGCCTCATTGGCCACCAGCAGCAGGCTGCCAGTGCAAAGACTGTGGGAGACCTCCAGCAATACCAACAAGAGCATCAGGTACAACCTGGTAACATTTTCTACAATGCTTGTTCATAGAATACACATCTTTATAAGGTTATTGTTGGACTTTGTTAAGCATCACTAAAGTTATTACCTGTGCTGCTGCTTCATCTTCTGCTCAAGACATCGACACATAACTCATCCCACACATTTAGCAAACAACCATGAAAAATACCTCCATTTGTGCTAATTATTGAACAAAAACACTCTAAAAACACCCACAACACCCTAGCAATACTCTAGCAACTCTTAGTAAATGCATAGCCATACAACCACACAAATCAGCCTATTGATGACATAGAAATACAACTGTAGCAACACCTTAGAAACCATCTTGATTACTCAAGCAACTACCAGGCAACATGCTAACAACCAGTCAGAATACCATGGCAGCTGCATAGCAATGTTGTGACAAACATTTTCTGTTATATCCCTATATTTAAGATAATGAACTACATTATTTTCTGGAATAGTTGTTTATTTCCGTAATAATTAATAATATATGCAACTGTTGTATTTTTCATATTATTCCACATAATCGATTAGCCACTCATGTCTGCAAGTTTCAGTGATTTTACCGTGGTTTGCATGCATAGGAACACCCCTAACCCTTACCTGTGGTAAAATTACTGTAATGCATGGCCTTATGTGGCTTGTTGCAATTAATTATGTGTGTGTGTGTGTGTGTATGTTGGTCTCTCTCAGGCTCTACAGAAAGACCTGCAAGCTAATGCCAGTGCTCTCAATGAAGTCATCAGTAGCACAAAGAAGTTTCTGGAGGAGAATCGTAGCAAACTCACTCCAGAGCAAATATCAGCTCTTGAAAACAAACTGGAGGAATTGAAGAGCAAAGTGAACATGCTTAACCAGAGGGCAGAAGAGTCAAGGAAAGATCTAGAGACGGTTTTGACCAGTGCTATCAAGCAGGAGACTGAGACGGTTAGAGGGGAAAAACACTTTCACAAACACTATTCAACCAAAAGATTTCAGCAGATTGAATTTAGTCACTTTCTCTATTGCATTTTGTTTGTGATGGCTCTCAAATGTATCTTTGGATTTTCTGTGATTTTCAGTAAACCAGAGCTATTTTATGTGCAACAATACAGGTAGCAGCTGTTGAACAACTTGAAGAGAGCAAAACTAAGATTGAGGGTCTTCTAGACTGGATCTCTAACGTTGGGAAAGAGAAAGAAATGGGTGGAATACAAAAGGACCAGATGGTTAAACGGAATGGAAACATGCCTGAGAACACATCAGTGAAGAGAATAATTGGAGAGGAAGATGATCCTAATGGAAATGCATTAGATACTACAGACAACACAAGTCTGCGTACTGGTGAAAAACAAGACTGTATAAACCTGGACCTGGACCAGCAGTTTAACAGGGTTCAAGTAAGTACTTGAGTATATACATTGGTGCTTGAAAGTTTGTGAACCCTTTCGAATTTTCTATATTTCTGCATAAATATGACCCAAAACATTGATTCACAACATTTTAAATGGGTTAAGGTCTGGACTTTGACTTGGACATTCCAAAACATTAACTTTAACCATGCTTTGTTAGAACGACTTGTGTTCTTAGGGTTATTGTCTTGCTGCATGACCCACTTTCTCTTGAGATTCAGTTCATGGACAGATGTCCTGACATTTTCCTTCCGAATTTGCTGGTATAATCCAGAATTCATTCTTCCATCAATGATGGCAAGCCATCCTGGCCAAGATGCAGCAAACAGGCCTGAATCATGATACTGCCACCATTATGTTTCACAGATAGGATAAGGTTCTTATGCTGGAATGCAGTGTTTTCCTTTCTTCAATCATAACTCTTCTCATTTAAACCAAAATGTTCTATTTTTGTCTCATCCAACCACAAAACATTTCTCAGATATCTCTCTGACTTATCTACATGATCTTTAGCAAACTGCAGATGGGCAGCAATGTTCTTTTTGAACAGCAGTGACTTTCTCCTTGCAACTCTACCATGCACACCATGGTTGTTCAGTGTTCTCCCTGATGGTGGACTCATGAACATGAACATTAGCCAACGTGAGAGAGGCCTTTATTTGCTTAGAAGTTCCCCTGGGTTCCTTTGCAACCTGGCAGACTATTACACTTCTTACGTAAAATGGCATAAGACAACGATGTCATGTAATTTTCTGCATTAGGTGGGAATGAAGTTAATTTGGCCATCTTCTTGCGTCGCTTCTTTCTTTTGGAGTGAGATTTCCTCCAATATTTTGGTCTCATTTGTTTGATTGGGTTCTCTTTGTCTACGTTCAGGACTTGTGTGAAAATATGATTGGGTCAGTTTTTGGAGGTCATACTTACGCAGAAATATAGAAAATTTTAAACTTTCAAGCACCTCGGTAGCTGTAAATATCATGATTGTCATCACACTATTAGTTCAGTCAGTACCACTCTGTTTGATTAAGATTATTTTAGAGGTCCTGAACATTATTTTGGCAGCAGGCTTCACTCTGAAGGGTTCAGATTCTGATCTGTCCACGAGCAAACCTCACTGAGGTTGGAAATCCCGGAAGCCTAATGCAATTACCAGAATTTTTAATATGCAACAGATATAAAATTCCATGCAAAAGTGATACAGGTTCGTAAATGATAATGGACAAGATTAAGCAATGATTAGCTGATTTCCGTGGACAAGACGTCTTGCTAAGGCTGGCCGCACACTAGATGATTTTCAAATCTTAAATGATTTTAAAACCAATGGAGACCACAGACATGAAGACAGTTCAACCGATTTTTAGCCTTATAATCCTCTGAACGCACACACTAGATGATTCGACCAGACCACGAGACCACGCACTTGTTGATTGTAGGAACGATTTCACAGTGACACGTGCTCTCACAGACACTCGCGAGATCAAACGTGACTTGAGAAGAAAAACAAATAGAGGACAATCTACGTTGTCAGCTGGCTCTCCTGGTGCGCGTTCTGTTTCACAGTGAAAAACAAAGTATAATAAAGAATATGGGTGATGTTTTCTCTGCTTTCATGACATGTTTGTGGCTGCCAAGTATCAGTGATTTTCAGTGACAAACATGTTTGATATTTATGATTTGAGTTCGGGATGCTCCGTCTCGATCGGGAGCAGATAAATAATCGTAATGACACCACACACTATAGGATTTTTTTGGACAAAAAATTGTTTGCGACAAGCCGCGAATCAGGCCACACCCCCGATCGTTAGGGGATGCAAATCGGGCTTAAAATCGGCCTTAAAATTGTCTAGTGTGCCTGTATAAGGAGGAACTGGGGATGGAGGAGGGTAAGCGCATGTCTGTGCGACAGACTAAGGCAAGTGTGAGTATGGATGAATTTATATATCATATTTAATTGTAGTGGGAGGAGTTACAATCAGCTGCGCATCAGCTGATGCTGGCTGTCACGCCGTGGTCTGCCTGAATTACGCTTGAGCTCCATTCGTCACTCAAACTACATTTCATTCAGGACCACTCTGTTTGATTAAGATTATTGTAGAAGTCCTGAACATTATTTTGGCAGCAGGCTTCACTCTGAAGGCTTCATATTCTGAGCTGCCCACAAAAAAAACCTCACTGAGGTTTGAATGCCCCAACACAATGACGTAGTATGTTCAATTCCAAGATCAATCATGGAGCCGCAGCTCAATCAGCTGTCCTCCAACCATCAGTGGAACATTGGTCTGTGCACCTCCAACTCTCATGGACCAGTCTTTGTCAAGGCCCTACTGATTCTCTGTCCAATCTTAACTTTTGTGGATGCTCTCTTGTCTCAGCACAGCAGAGGAAGCATATTTCAATTATAATCAAGAATGCTGTTCTCTGGTAAGGCGATTGGTGAGGATACTAACATAAAACGGATGTACAACAGACAAAATTTTGAATAGTCCACGAGAGGAAAAAATTATGCTCAATTATTATCCCCCCAACAAAATAGAGTATAACGGTTAGCTTAAATGAAGATTGTTGTCTCCTTAACTGCAGGCTATTGGCAATACCCAAAAACCTGAGCAACAAGTATGTTTCCAATAATACACAAAAAGCAGCGTAGCCAAACAACGAGAACAATGATAAAACAGTATATGCTCCAATAATGACTTAGTAACAAGCACGTTGCCAATAACCTGTTAACTTTTAAGTATGAGCATAAAAGGAAAACTTAGCTTAGCTTATGAAGACACATTCAGATGAATGGAGAGTGAAGAATATCCAGATGTGATGAAGATGCTTGATCTTACTGACGTCACACTCCTTCATGTAGGGAGGGCTGATCTCGACTGAATTGTTCTGAAGCCACTTCCAAATCAAGCCGCTTTTATACTGGTCGATGCGGTCAATTGTGAGTTCAAGATCATGAACCTGAATCAAGTGAAATTCATGTGAGGAACAAATCCTTTCATCTGATTGAAAGCTGTCCTGTGTGGTCTGCCTGAACTACGCTTGAGCTCCATTCGTCACTCAAACTACATTTAAAAACAAGGGCTAAGCAATTATATTCACCATAAGATCATTTGTTTATATTGGTGCATTCATGATCTGTAGACCCATAATATTTAATTAAATGGTGACTTGTTAACAGTGTAAATGAGATTCAGGTGGTTAAAACTAATTCAGATTACTAAGCTCTCAATTCCCCATCTCCACAGGCCCACCACCAGGAGATCTTGTCTCAACAGCAGGATCTGATCATCGCCACACAATCAGCACAAGCGTTACTCGACAAACAGGCTCAAGTCCTGTCACCCGCTGAAAAAGACAAGTTACAGAGGGACATTAAAGAGCTGGAGGGTCGCTACAAGGCCTCCCTCACGCAGGCCGAGCAGCAGATGAAGCAGGTCCAGACTGTCCAGGAGGAGCTTCAGAAGTTCAAGGGGGACTGTGAGGAGTTTGAGACGTGGCTACAGCAGGCCACAGGGGAGATGGAGGAGCTCGGTGCGCCCGCTGCTGCTCTGGACACTCTGAGTAACAATCTACAGAGACAGAAGAGTTTCTCTGAGGACGTCATCTCTCATAAAGGAGACCTGCGTTTCATTACCATCTCCGGTCAGAAGGTGCTGGACGCAGCGAAGGCCTGTGATTGTAGTGAATCTGGGGGAGCTGGCGGCCTGCCAGTGGTTGAAATGTCCGGGACTTGTGCTGCAGTGAAAGAAAGGCTGGATTCTGCCGCCAGTCGCTACAAAGCCTTGCATACGCAGGTAATTTTCCTGTTTTTTGGTCTTTATGTAGAATCCGTGTCAGAATCTTCCAATCCTAGAGGTCACTGCAAAAACAAAAAGAAAGAAATAAGAAATTCAGTTTTGCTTTAAAAAATTAAACAAGAGTTTGCTGGATGGGAAATGAAGCCCTTTATGATTGCAACCAATAGATGGCAGCATTTGCCTCTAAATTCAGCAAACATTCAAACAGTATTGAGCAGGTCTGTTATGACATTATTGATCCCTTCAGTCGTTTATATAAATAATGAAAAATGAAACTAATCGTTTGAAATGATACACTGAAAAAGCATATTTCTGACGCGTTTCAGTGTAATCAGCTGGGAAATAACCTGAAAGACGTGGTGGACAAGTACAAGAAGTATGAAGATGCCAGTGGTGCTCTGGTGAAGTGGCTGAATGTCTCTGAGGAAGAGTCCAGAAGGCAGCAGTCGGAGCCCATTGCTGGAGACCCACAAACCCTACAGAGACAGCTGGAGGAGACCAAGGCATGAGCATTATATCATTATATTCAGTTCACAGAATTATGACGCAATTATAATGTAACTCTATGTGTCCAAACAGCGGAGATCTGCCAGAGATCTTTGTGCGTTCTTTGTTTCTGTTTATTTCCTGGTTAACATTTACCAAATGGCAAACAATCGATATGTTGTATACAAACAATGTAATTCTCATTCTCATTTGAATGATCACATGGAATTTTAATATTAAATATAATCAAATATAACAATGCCACTACATACATCTGAAACTCATGATAGCACAAACTCTCACTGCAAAAGAAAAAAACTTGTTTTTTGTTAGACACAAGTCAGAAAGTTACTTAATGTTGGTCAGTATATATATATATATATATATATATATATATATATGTGTGTGTGTGTGTGTGTGTGCAATTTAATTTCACCATAAAAAAGCTGAACTAGCTATGAAAGTATTATTTTCACTTTTAAAAAATGGTAGTCTGTTTAAATTAGTTTACTTACTATAAACAAAGACAGCTTTGAAAGACCTTAATGTTTATTTTGATGTTTTTACAATTCTATTTCAAATACAATTACAAATTTCACTTTTTTCAGTGTATTTATAGCCCTTAAAGCCTGCCCCAGCACAAATAACTTACAGTAGCTCAGATTTAATTTGCTTGTGGGGTATTATAGCTAGTTGCTCTTGCAAAAGTGTATACAGATGCAGACAATGCTAATCACACTTAAATAGATTACTTCTCCCATGATGCACTCTGAGCAGATTCAGCTCAGCAGCAGTCAGATCAGATACACACAGGGGAAATATATTCATGCTGCATTACTGTTCTCTAGAGATGTATAGTACAGCTATATATGTCCTTATGCTAAACAACTCAGCTTTTTTAATGTCACTGTGTCATATGGCGTATTGATATGGATATAGATCACACACCAACGATGTTGTGCTTTTAAGATAATCAGTCAGTAGGCTGCACTTCTATTAGTGAACTGTAGTAAGCATTGGTCTGTTCCAGAGTCTTCAAGGGCAAACAACGTCCCGTCAGGCTGCGGTGGATTCGCTGAGAAAAACAGCTGATGCTTTGATCAGCGCAGAGGGAGACCTGCTGTCCCATCCAGAGGAGATTCAGGAGACAGTGGGTGAGTCAAATTCAGTCTCACAAAAACATGCCTGGGTCACATTTCACACCAGAAGAATAGCACTTCTGAAAAAAAAGCCTATTTTAGGATAAAAATGTATTATAAATTAAACACAGTATAAGGCCGGTTTTACACCGCAAGCATGAGCGGCACATATTCTTTTGGCATGCATGTTAACAAATGAGTGCACTCACACCGGGAGCAGGAGCAACAAGTGAGCATCAAGCAGGAGTGAGCAGCAGTGAATTGATGCTTGATTGACACACTTTTGATGGACAAAATAAATATGATTTCCCACAAAAAGTGATAAAAATGCACAGAATGCACAGAATAAGCAAGTTTATAAATGACCAACTTCTAAAAACAAGAACACTAGTTGTCTTTGTAAAGAAATATGTAGCTTTGGAGCCGCTGCTGTGACGCTGTACAAACGCTTCCAGTGTGAATACTCTCACGAGTCTGCAGCTATGCTGACATGAAGCTGACGCGAAGCTCAAGCTTACGGTGTGAAACAGGCATAACACACACTACGATTTTGGGAAGAAAAACTTGAATAAGTTTCTGTTTGTAGATGACATCATAGAGAGATACGACAACCTGTCGAAGTCAGTGAGTGACCGCAATGAGAAGCTGCAGGTGACTCTGACGCGCTCTCTGAGTGTTCAGGACGGCCTGGATGAGATGATGTCCTGGATGGAGAAGGTGGAAGAGAGCGTGAAGGAGATGCCAAAAGTGCCGCTGGACTCCAGCTCTATTGCAGATGCTCTTAGCAAAGAGGCAGTATGTGACCTTTGACCTGTCATCCAAAGAAAGCTAATATGCAACCACATAGCATAAGCATACCAGACAAAACTGTGTAATTAAAGAGATAGTCCACCCAAAAATGAAGATACCGCCTCGTGTTGATACCCAAACCTGTTTGGAACCTGAACATAAAACGATTTTGTGAAGAGTGTTGGTAACCAAACTATTTTGGATCCCATTCAGTTCCATTGTATCCGTTTAAAAAAAGAACTTAAAGACAACCTGTATTCAAAACTGCCCCTGTTCATTAAAAAAAATATTGAACTAAATATTTCATTTGAACAAAAAAGGTTTACGTCCGTTTCTTTCAGGCTCTGGAGCAGGACATGTCCAGCAGGCAGAGCAGCATCTTGGCCATGAAGGCAAAGGTGAAGAAGTTTGTGGAGAGCGCTGAGCCGGCCGCTGCCGTACTCCTGCAGGCTAAGATGGAGGGCTTGTCCCAGCGGTTTACTGACGCCTCTGAGCAGCACAAGCAGAAGGTGGCTCAGATGGAGGAGCTCAGAGACAAGGTGGAGCAGTTTGAAAAGACATCTGAGAAGGTGCAGCAGTTTGTACTGAAGAGCTCACAGGCTCTCTCCGAGACAGACGGGCCAGGAAAGAACGTCGCTGAGCTCTCCCAGCTCGTCCAGGTATGCTGCTCACTCACTAAACGTGACTGCACTCTTCCTAAACCCAGTGAACTACATATTTTGATTGGAGTTTTATGGCTTTGGTTCATGTCAATTAGCTTTGAGGTCAAAATCTATACTGAATGCCCTATGAGTCCTCCAAAAAGCTGACAAAATTGTCCTATATTGGATATAAACACTAAGAAGTACAGACTTTCTCTTCTAAGAATACAGACTAAAGATACTGATAACTCATTTTAAAGGGGTAGTTCACCCAAAATGAAAATTCTGTCATTAATTACTCACTCTCGTGCTGTTCCAAACCCGTAAGACCTTCGTTCATCTTCGGAACACAGTTTAAGATATTTTTGATGAAATATGAGTGCTCTCTGACCCTCCCATAGACAGCAAGGTAACTACCACGTTCAAGGTGCAGAAAAGTACCAAGATGATCGACAAAGTAGTCCGTGTGTCATCAGGGGTTCAACTGTAAAGTTACTGACCCAGATCCGGGTCAGCGCCGCCACACGCTCGCGTCATGATACTGTCGTGAGCGTGCGTCCACAAGTGACAGAGTAGAGACGAAAATGTGGAATAAAGTTGTTATTTTTGTTTTCTTTGTGCAAAAAAATATTCTCGTAGCTTCGTAACTTTACAGTTGAACCACTGATGTCACGCGGGCTACTTTGTCGATCATCGTGGTACATTTCTGCACCTTGAACGTGGTAGTTACCTTGCTGTCTATGGGAGGGTCAGAGAGCACTCATATTTCATCAAAAATATCTTAAACTGTGTTCCGAAGATGAACGAAGGTCTTACGGGTTTGGAACAACATGAGGGGGAGTAATTAATGACAGAATTTTCATTTTGGGTGAACTAACCCTTTAAGGTGAATACAATTTTTCTTTTTTTTGTCCAATGTAATGTTCTAGCATGAAAATATCCATATAATACCATCTGCCAATGAATAGCAATAGCAAATCCATAAAAATCATGACTGTGAATTGTTTCATTATTAAAAAACGGGATGGACAGCGAGACAGGAACAGAGATAACCTGTCTATGTTCAGTTATCTGTTTATGTTTCGCATTTTGAAGTTTTAATCAAATCTTTATTTGTAGGACACAAATGCAGAGTTAGCCGAGCACGCAAAGGATATGGAAACGCTCCAGAAACTGACTGAGGAACTCGGCAAGCTGGGTCCAGAAGGAAGCACAGCTCTTCTTCAGAGCAAGATGCAGAACATCTCTGACAACTTTAATGCTTTGAAGGAGACAATTACTGAGAAGTAAGTGATTATTAAGTAACAGCACTTAGCATAAAAACAATACTTAGAATAAAAACACAGACTATGCCTCAAATTATGATATTGTCTTATTCCAATGTGTCCCATTATTTTTTATACTTCTCTAGGCTCTGACATATGTCCCTGTTATTTATTTAATTGGATAAAGTGACGCTAGAACTGTTATAGAATTAAAACCATGTGCTATAATGGAACAGTATTACAAGAAATGTAATGTTATTATTTATGCTTTTGCCAGATGTCAAACTATTCAATAAAACTCGATATGCATATGCAATGCGTGTGTATTGCAGAAAAGAGGAGGTTTCATCCTGCCAGAAGCAGCTGCAGGAGTTCAAAGCTGCCGCAGGGGTGTTAATGAAATGGCTGGAGGAGACAAAAGAGCAAGTGCCAGTGCTTCAGCCCAACTGCAGTGAACAGGGCCTGGGAACAGACCTGCAGAAAGTCAATGTGAGTGATGGACTTAACTTTTCACCTCTTATTGTGGGACCACAAAACCTTCAGGACAGAACGATGATGTAAATGAACAGAAAATAACTAAAAGAAGACACACATCTCACTGAGCATGGCTGACTCTTCAGTTAGAGGCACTTTTAACCATTTAAAACCTATTTGTTAATTTTTGTTGATAGAAATTTTTAATAATTGTTTTGTAAAATAATGGTAACAACAGCATTGTTTCTAGCGTTGTGACATATTTGATATAAAAAAGAAGAAAAATGGCAAAGCATTGCATTTTAGCACTGTTTGTGAAATTATAATAGAAGAACTGTTTGTGTGGGAAAGAAGCCCAAAATAGAATAATTCTAGCAAACATTCTATCACACTGATCAGCACTGGGGATCAGAATGGGTGGGGTCATGCACTAACCTCTGGTGCAGAGGGGGGTGCAAGAACGGTGGAGAAGAAAGGGGTGGGGGGGGGGGGGGGGGGGGGGAGAGTTATTAAAGACTCAAAAGAAACAAAGATTAAGAATTTTTAAATCTATTTCCATCCTTCATAGAATCCTCTTAAGGAACTGACATGTTTATTTGAAGAATCCCCTGTATAAGGAGAATATACACTCCCAGGAAGTGTTTCTCCAGCTTTCTCCAGAATCTCAGTGCTCACTATTCAAGAATGCGTGTGTCATGTTCTAGATGTCAACAGAAAATGATGAAAATGTCTAAATGTCTCTTAACTCTATATAGATTTTAAAGTTTTCAAATGACATTTTCTGGTCTTTTTGTGTTGTCTGCAGGGCTTATTGGGCGATTGGACTTCCAAAGCTCCTGCAGTCCAGGATATAAATAGCAAAGGACCTGCTCTATGTAGCCTAATCAGTGTTTTGACAACACCGGCCAAAGCCAAGATACGTCACAACTCAGGTATTGCCCAGGAATATTTTAAGATTTCACATGTCTCAATTCTACGTGATTGCTCATTAATTCCACCTAGCGTAAAAGCAAACAGAGTTTCTCTCTCTCTCTCTCTTTCTTTAGGATCAGCTGTCAATAACGGTTCTGGTCCAGGCAGCCATTCCTATCTGACAAACCAAGGTGAAAGTTCATACTAGTGATGCATTTTTTGCTGTGTCCAATAACTAATATTATGGCCAATTTAAATGTATACTATGCTGTCTATTTTTGTAAAACAATGAGCGTATACTTTATTTGCCATTAGAGTTGATGCTGGTACAGCAGAACATGTCCTACATTAACAACAATTACGAACATCTGGGGGAACTCCTGAAGGCCAGGTCCTCCGAGCTCGGTGCTTTGTTAAAGAGAGTTCAAGGTGTCCATGATCAGGCTGAGTCTTTACGTCAGTGGATGGAAGACACAAAGAAAACGGCAACATCATTGAGCAACCATCCTTCTGGGAAAGACACAGTAAAATCACAGATAGAGCAACAGAAGGTACATTAAATACATTACTGTGGATTATTTGTAGGTGGTTGCCAGGTTGTTCTGGGAGTATAATGCCATATTTCAGGCTATTCCACATAATTTCCAAAATTTTCTTAAACAATCACTGCAGAAAGTCTGAAAACAGTGCACACATTCTATGTCAGCCTTCCAATAAATTGTACATGGAAACCTTGACAGTATGTCATTGTAAGACCATTCTTTAAGCTATAAACACTGAAATAGCTGATTATTATGTCTGTCTTGCAGGTCTTTGAAGATAATATGAAACTAAAGCAAGTGCAGCTTCAGCAGCTCAGGGAGAATCTGCTCGGCTTAATCGAGGAACACCCTGATTCACCCGAGGCAGAACAGTGGAAGCACATGCTGGCACAGATAGGTATGCATGCATCACATCCAAAACCATTCATCTACTTTTATCTGCTCATCTGTGTGGATGGCCAGCTGCAAATTCACACACTTATCTTCTGCACCAACTGTAAGCTGAAGTGAAGCTCCTGTGAAAGCTCAAGCTGATAGTGGAGGAGTCTGGCCTCCTCCACACACTCTCAATCAATGCTGAGCTAAAGTGAAGCTGGGAGAGATAAAGTGATGTGTACTCTGCTCCAAACGCAGACGCAGGATGGGAGGAGGTCAGGGGCACAATGGAGATCCGGAAACAGCACCTGGAGGAGGCGTCCCGCATGCTGGAGCTCTTCCAGACGACCCAGCCGCAGCTCTCGCAGTGGCTGCAGGAGAAGGAGTTGATGATGGGCGTCCTGGGGCCTCTGTCTGTGGATCCAAACATGCTTAACACACAAAAGCAGCAAGTCCAGGTACTGGCAGTCACACTGTAAACATACATGTGAACGAGTTAATGCCATACATGATCAAATATTAGAGGTTATATGATGTTAAATGAATAGTTCACTCCAAATTTATTTAAAAAAAAATTAGTAATCTTATTTCACAATAACAGCATATTTAACATTAAGGTTGGTTTTGTTATTAAAAATAAGATGCAAATTACAAAAAATAGGACAACTATAATAAAGGAAGATATAAATGTAATAGCTTTAAATTGTTCATGTACAGTACATTGAATACCTAAATGTAAAGAACTGCGTAGACTTTATTACATTATTGTTAAAGCTACTGAAGTTCTTCGGTCAAGAGCAGTGAGGGCTTTTATTTGTCGTTTTGTTTTGCTAGGCTTATTGCGCTTTACTCTTAAACATCAAGAACATCCTGTGCTTTATTTTCTCATTCATGCATGTTTCTTTATCACGTTAACATGTCAATAACATTAAGCAGTCCTGTGTTATTTACATACTGCAATATACATGCTACAGCAAAATCTATATCTATACACACTTTATAGAATCACCACAATATATTCAATAGAGTCATCATTTTCTCATCTTCATGTTGTTCCAAATCTATGTGACTTGCTTTTGGGGAACAGAAAAGATATTTTGAAGAATGTTCTTGCTGTGCTTTTTCTGTTCTACACAACAAATGTGATCCGAGTCTGCCAAACATTAAAAAGGATAAAAAAGGACCATAAGAGTAATTCATATGACTCTCACACTAAATTTGCTGTTTTTTTTTGAAGCCATATAAGGAACACATCAAAATTAAGTTGTCTTCCTCTGAAAGTCATTTGTACAGTAGCTCTTGTTTGCACATCACGCTTGATTAGTCACCAATAGCGTTTGGCATCATTGATGTGATTTTAAGTAAAAAGTTATTCATATTTCAGTGCATCCTCGATCAAAGCAGTCTTATGTCTTGAGAAGACTTGGAATATAGTACACTGGTCACATGGGCATGTGTGCTTTTGGTCACACTTTATTTTAAGGTCCAATTCTAACTAAACCCCTAATTACTGCTTATTAATAATTCGTAAGGTAGTGGTTAAGTTTAGATATGGGGTAGGATTAGGGATGTAGAATATGGTCATGGAGAGCAAGGCATTAATATGTGCTTTATAAGTACTAGTAAACAGCCACTATGCTAATAATATGCATGCTAATAAGTAACTTGTTAATATTGAGAATCGGTCCTTAAACTAAAGTGTTACCATGCTATTTTGTTGTTTGTGGAGCTTTATAGACCTTGGTAAAATGAAATATGCTGCTTGTTTCATGTAAACACTTGTTTCATGGAAGAAAGTCAAACCAGTTTGGAATGATGACGACTTCTCCTTTGTGGCTGAAGTATCCTATTATGTTACAAAGATGGAGTGACATGCTGTACTATTTCTTATGCAACTGAAGATTAATTATCCCTTAATGCCTATTACTTAATGTCATATGTTGATTCTTTGATTAGATTCTCCTCAAGGAGTTCGACAGCCACAAGCCTCAGTATGAGAAGTTAACCGAGGCGGCCACAGCCATCGCTAGTGCGTCAGAGCAGCAGGATCCTGCCGTAGAGCAGGTTAAAGAACAGCTAGCATCTGTTTCCCAGAAGTGGCAGGCCCTGACAGGTCAGCTGTCTCAGAGACATGCCCTCATTGAGCAGGCTGTCAGTAAGACCACTCAATTCCAGGAGCTCTTGCGAAGCCTTAGTAAAAGTGCCACTTGCCTGGAGACTGAACTTAATAACCAACAGGCCCTCAGCACCCAACCTGATGAAGTCAAGAAGCAGATTGAAGCCACTAATACAATCCTGGCTCAGCTACGAGAGGAGAAGAAGAAGCTGAAGGAAGCAGAAACTGTCTGCTCTGAGCTCTCTGCCATGGTGACTGAAGAGTATCTCAGAGCAGACTTGACAAAACAGCTTGAGGGCATCACTAAACCATTTAGACAACTTGAGGACAAAGCAGGTATTGTAGTCTACTTCTATCTGCAACATCACAGAATATCCTGATTTTCTATTTGCACACGTATAACTGTGCCAAAACCTATTCAGAATTTAAATGCCCTTTATTCATAAAATCATATACATCCTTCAACCTGTGCATGTTCATTTATCAAGTATTTTGCCTAATTTGATAATCTTTACCCTTAGCTAAGTTGAATACAGTTTAGTAAGATTAAATCAATTCCACTGATCCCCCCAAAATCAGTGTGGAATATGCAAAAAGTCAGCAGAGTCCACCTGTGCTCGATTATACCTGTATATTTCCAAAATGCTGAAACCACTCCTATTCGCTTTTAAAATGTATATCCTAAAGATAGAGAACAAACACTGTGTAAACTGTTAACCACGTCAAGTGGTTACAAGTGATAAATATTATCCAACCATGACAAGATATACTTGGATTTTATTTCTGTTGCGTAGCGCTGGGTGTCCCCACAAACTCCACATTCTGTAGATCCATTGCAAACATCAGTCAAGTTCCAATTGGTTGTGCTCTTCACATAGCATTTTTGCTGTCAGTCATAGCAGAAAAATTGCTTGGCGCTTGAGATTTGCCATTTTATGCCCTGCTCGGACACAATATTACATAATTGTTGAGACTTCTTATCTAACATTCTTATATTTTACCTTGTGTCCACCAGGAAAGCGGATTGAGCAGCTCAACTCAGCCTTCGCTAGCTCCCAGCAGTTCCATCAGACATCGAAGGACTTCCAAGCCTGGCTGAATCAGACTCTGCAGGAGGAGTGTAAGCCACATCCCATCTCTGCTAATGCGGAGAAGTTAAAACAGAGTCTCAAGGAGAACAGTACTGCTCAAAAGGCCATTAGTGAGCATGACGAACCTTATAACACCATCATTAAAGAGGGAGAAGCTCTGCTCCAGAGCACGGAGGGGGCAGAAAAGGTGGCCCTTCAGGGACAGCTCTCTGCTCTAAAGTCCAGCTGGGACGATGTGAAGAAAGGTAATGCTGAGCAAGCAGAAAAACTTCAAGGGGCCTTGGAGAGGACACTGAAGTACAAAGAACACTATGAGAAACTGAGCTCATGGTTGCAAGAGGTTGAAGACAGGGAGAAGTATGTGAAGCTCAGCGCGAACTCGGTGGAGATCGAGGGCTCCCTCTCGCAGTTGAAGGCCATCCAGAAAGACGTTGAGAAGCATAGAGGGCAAGTTGTGATGATGAACGCAGCTGCAGACAGCCTTCTGGAGGTAGTCACTTCAGATGACGATTTGGTTAGGGAGGAGAAGGCAGCCATTGGTAAAAAAGTGGATAAGCTGACAGAAGATTTAACGCTCAAAAAAGAATCGTTAGAAAACATCTCACAGAAGCTAAAAGAGTTCAACGACTTACAGAAGGAAGCCAAAGGGCAGCTGGAGGCTGCCAGGAAACAGCTGGATTCTCATTCGGCTTTGGGTGTCCAGGCCTACAGCAACAAGAACCTGACCAACATGAACGCTCAGCAGAACAGCTTAGAGGGTGTCCACAACCAGATTGAGCATCTCAAAAATGTTGCAAAAAGTCTTGTGGTAGATGCCTCTGAGGTGGAAGGTGTGACAGACCTTCTTCTTCAGGCAGACAGCTTGGAAAAAGACCACATGTCAATTACCAAAAAGGTAGAGGATGCTTGCTCCACCTTGGAGGACAAACTCCAGGGCATTGGACAATTCCAGAACAGTATTCGTGAAATGTTTGCAAACTTTACAGACCTGGACGATGAGTTTGATGGGATGGCTCCTGTAGGCAGGGATCTTGACACCTTAGGGGATCAGCAAAGCACTATCAAAGAATTTATTGCTAGACTTCAGGATCTGATGACCAACACAGCCAATGGCAGAGACAGTTGCAAGAAGATGCTGGAGTCAGAGGCCTCACCAGATCTCCTGGGTCTGAAGAGAGACTTGGAAACCCTGGGCAAGCAGTGTGGAAAGCTGATGGACCGAGCCACGGGTAGAAGAGAACAGGTTGAGGAGACCCTCAGTCATCTGGAGGAGTTCTACGGCAAGGCGCAGGAGTTTACCCACAGACTGAGCAGTGCCGAAAAACAAGAGGAGTCCCAAGGGTCTGTTGGATTGGAAACAGAAGTCATTAACCAACAACTGGAGTCCTTCAAGGTAAAATTACGATTCATTACATGTCTCACCTTGTTCTGTTCCCCTTCTAGAAGATCCATAGCAGTCACTGGCATTTTAAAGGATTGATAGACTGCGAGTAAGAACTGTGCAAGTTGTCCTTCTCATGTTTAATGAAAAAAAGTATTGAGAGAACATTACTGTAAATGAACATGTTTTTTATTCCCAGATGACATCATCCTCAAAAGGCTTCACTAAAAATAGTAACACTACAGTTAGTGAATATGAAGTAGTCTCACACATTAAAGGTCACGAAATAAATGCTAGCTTTGCATTTTAATATGAACAAGATCTGTTTCTACAGTGGCCCCCAAATTTATTTGGACAGGTGAAGTGTGTAATTTATGCACCACTAGTTGCACCAAAAAGAGTTTCAAAAATATTATTATTATTTTATTTCTTTTGTAAGGGACAATGCATGTTAATGAACATTTGTATAAAATACAGAATGTAAACATTGCTAATTTACATCCGCAAAAATAGTCAAAAATATTGACTGTCTTCAAACTATTTTTAGTTACTCCCCCAGTGGTCCATTGTTCAGACAAACATACGCCATTGGTTGATCCAGTGTTGTTACTGTATGTTGGGCCTAGTTAGGTCACTCAACCAACCAGACTGTAGTTACATACGGTGCCACTAGTAGCACAGAAATTACACTTCAAAAAATATGAAATGTATTGTATGTAAGTTATTACATTTAAAAAAGGGGGCAACTGTTTATTGAAATATCAGCAGAGTTTTACAGGAGGATCTTGCTCATGAGTTATGTTGGTTTTGATCTGTTAGCCACGTGTTAGACCTTTCTGTAGACAGTTCAGTATGTCCATGAGCATCTGGCGCTATCAAAAGTGCTTCAGCTGATGGGGCATTGTTGCAGTGTGCGGTGAGCCAGCTGGGGGCCAGTGGGGTGCCGTGTATGATAGCGGCCCAGTGAAAGGTAATGGGGTCTGACTTCTGCTCCTTGCCCTGTTAGCTAATACTAGAGCTGGCCTCTCCATTCAACTGCGAACAATAGGCTTTTTAAGCTCTCTTTTTTTTAGCTGCAAGCTAATTCATTTTTTTTCTGAATTTAGTTACGCTATAGGTAAAGTGCAAAATATTAGAAAACTGATTATTCTATATAAACAAATCTGTTCAGCCTTTTTATGTTAGAGCATTTAATTTAGTTTTAGTTGCATTTAATGCATATTTATGATGTTTCTATCAAAGCCTTTAAATGAACGTTCTGGGTTTAGTAAAATATAACTTTTTTGTTAGCGTCACATTACCACAGTAAATCATTGGCTGTTAATTATCACAGAAAATCATTTATTATTGCACAACAATTTCTGTTTATCTCACTATAGTGATTTTTGTTTGTTTTTACAAACTGAGGGGTGAATTGTAATGATCTTTTGTGCCACAGAGGCAAATGATAGAGCTTAACTTGTAATATTTTTAGAGAAGTTGACGTAATCTCTCAAAAATTACATCTTTGTCTTGGTCAGTTTGGATTCTTGGACCTTTCTTTACTCCATATTTCAAGTGGTACATCATTTGGAAAAGTATGCTGTTGCAGGAATTTCTGGGTTGTTCAGATGGTTGTTCAAAAATGTAGCTTATTCCCTCAAATACCGGAGCAAAATGTTCTTTCTTTTCTTTTGTTATGGCAACGCAGTGTGTTACTTATCATAAACAGAAGACTTGAAGTAGATTTCTCTGTTCTTGTTATAGTCTTAATTACTACTAAAGCGAAATCAAAGGAAATATTAGGATGGATAATATTGGTATATTATTACAAACCTGCTGAACCCAACATTGTGATATTTACAATATCAGTCCTGGTTAAAACCATTATCAAGACTTAAACTACGATAAAACATCGTCCAGAAAGCCTTTAAAAGCTTGAAGCTAAAAGAAGCTTAACCTATATTTGGACATGCATATGAATCAAACATGGACATCCGTGTGCTATGATAAAGCATCAGCTGCCGCTGTTCGGTCGATCATTTGGCCCCTTGTTGTTCGGTCTCCCCCATTCTTTTCGTTCTTTTCAATGGCTGGATGGGTGATCACGACTACATCAGCTGCTGCTGGAAAATCAGCTTTGTTCTCACTGATACGGCCATTAAACTCAGCAAAATGAACCAGATCATGAAACACAAAGGCAGGCATAGATTTCTCTTGCCTTTATTTTGTCTGGTCTGGTTCTGTCATTTAAGAATATAAATGCATGAAGTTGCTTGTTTAACCTTATTTTTTGTTTCTTCAATTCAGTGGATTCATTTGTGCAAAAACCTAATATGTAAGGACCTAAGCCATATGTCGGAAATCAACCCACAACACATTAACTTGCAGGACATGTTTGGAAATTGAAGAGTTGTTAGTCTTCTTAGTCTTTCTTCTACTTAGACATGACATTAATGTCTCCTGCGAACCTGTGGGAATTTCTAGCTCTTGAATCATAGCTGTTCGTAATTCCATAGGTGATGATAGGAAAGGCGTCTTTGTGAAGCCCCCAGTGTTGAGCTGACTCATCAGCCTGACTCACCCTACAAACGCCCGAGAGGCAACCTGAAACCCTCCACCAGCACAGCACTAGAACTTATGCACATTGCTGCATTATGATGAAGTTGTTATTTCATTGCGATCATGTTGCACGGGATGTTGACAAAGAGAGAGAGATAACGTTTTTGGCCCAAAGGATCTCAGCCCTCGAGTGCTTGAGGAATATATTCAGAGATGGGTTTTTTTTCAACGAAATCTTTGTTCTCTTCTAAATAATAGTTCTGCGTTTCAGTGCCTGTGGGTATTGTTCGTGTGAATGGTGAGAGATTTTGTTGACAGTTTTTTTTTTTCCGGATGGGGAAACATCCCTGCCCTGTTTCTGTGCACAAACAGCAATTGTTTCCCATCATGTCTGGTTTTAAATTAAAGGTTTTTTGCATTTAACATCAGGTCCGATAATTTGTTCATCCACATTTAAAAGGCTGGCTTGCAAGTTTTTGTCACGTGCAAATGGTTGGTCAAAACTTCAAGGACCACAAACTCCTGTGTAAATTGTTTGTAAAATCATTCTTACGTAAAGTGTCACATTTTACATAGGAAAGCATTCATAAACAAATTACACAGAAATTCTGGTTGTTTTATAAATGAGGCCCCAAAATCAAGCAGCTGTAAAGCACAGCAAATGGTCAGGTTCATCCAAATAAATGGCGTCATAGAAAGATAAATCCCTTTTATTTGCTTCATGAGACGTCTATGTGGCGTCAACAGCAGTAAACACATCTCAGAGACATTAGAGACTTGGAACTTGAATCCCACACGTCTTTAACCTCTTCACCTCTGCCAGCTTCACGAGTTGCTCTTTTTGCTGACAGTGATTCCCAGACACCTACGTGCTGTTCACTACTCCCTACACACTCAGCAGCAATGCTGAAATGTCACCAAAGACAACACATGAATCACCTAGATTAGGGGTTTTACATATGATAATGTTACGTAAATACGTCATGATAAATATATCAATTACCATACTTCATATAATTAATGTAATTAAAAAAGTAATTGCAATGTAATTATTTTATTTTGTATTAATGCATTTTAAATGTATATAAAATGAATATTTAATATAAATTGTTTAATTTGCCATATTTCAAACGCTAAATTCAGTGTTATATTTGCAATATTTCATGCTAACTGCAGTGTCCATGGACATGATAATAGCATTGTAATGGACTCAAAATATAGTTTTTACTTGTGCACTATTTCCAACTTCAACTAAAACCTGAGCTGGCGCTCAATGACTAACAAAGATTTGTGTTCCCTATGTAGGGCCCAACAAAAATGAGCATATATACTGTGAGATTTGTATCCAGGGATTATATGACAAGTAAAGTTGACAAGTACCAGAAACAAAACGGCATTCTTTATTCAGTCTACCCTTCAATCCTTTGCTTCTCCCACCTTGTCCATGCACTTGCTATGAAAAAAGACCTGTCATGCACTTGGCACATGTTACGGTGTTTCATTACCCCCATCTAGTTCCTCCCTCAGCATTCCGCTGTAATTATAAGACACTACAGGCTCTTCCGTGGCTCCAAAACACCAGGCAGAGAGGAGGAGAAACAAGGGACGGAGAGGGCAAGAGAGCGGAAAGCATATCTATTTCTGCCTTGTGTGATGTCATCTGAGAGACTGCCGGTCACTTTTGTAGCTTTGCTTTTTTTTCTCACTCTCTCTGCCCTCCCCTGACAAGAGGAGGAGAGCTGCTGTCAGAGCAGAAGCACACTAAGAAGTTAAGTCAAATGGGACACGGAGACAGAAGGGGAGAATTAAAAGAGGGTCAAGAGTCTACCAATCAGCATGAGCCGGCCACCGCACAAATGGAGCTGTGGCAGATGTTGCCTGAATAATGTGAGGGGGGCGGGGCCTTGAGCCCTGTGCCAGGAGGGTGTCTGTCATTGCCGGTTGGACCACAAGAGAAGCAGGAGCGGCGTTTTGTTTCTCATGGAGCTTATGGCTGTGTTTTCCCAGATTTGAGGATTTTTGTCGGGATATGCCAGCATTATGCATACGGGATGCCTCTGTGTGGATAACTGTACAGGAGTTCTCTGGAAATTCTACAATTCCAAGCACTGGATGATGACTGTGATGGAGTTATAAAGAACTAAGGAAACAAGCAACAATGACAAGTTGTGACAATGGGGAGAAATGCAAACCAGCAGGATTGTCATTTTGGAAAAGGATGTATAAGAGGAAGAAGTGATGTGTATTAGAAATAACAAAAAAAATTATTTTTCATTAACTTTATTTTCACCATCTTTATAAAATAATTGTTATATGTAATTTTTGGTTTAAAATTGTATATTCATACACATATTCATAAAAAAGTCTGTATTTATTTTCTCACGTTTTTTGGGGGGTAAAGTGTTGCAAAATTAAAGACTCCCTTTGGGCTTTTTTAAAGTTTCTTTGATGGTTTCATGTCTGTTAGGGAGTGTTGCACTGAAAAGCTTTACCTCATTGTTATAAGTCATAATGGGCAAACCTCTGAGTAGACCAGATTGTCTGCGGCAGAACCCTTCTTGTGTGGGCAAAGGAGAGGAGGAGGACCTCAACATCGATGACTGTTACGTTCCCCAGAGGTCCATTTATGACACAGTGCGTCTGAATGAGCAAATCGACTCGGGCTCTAAGGGCAGCCTGACCTCAAGGCACTTAGTCGGCACTTTACCATATAGCCATCGCAACCTGGACATAAGCGCACTCTGTGGGAACGGCGTCTTGGCCTCCTCTAGTGCCTTTGAGCTCCGCAGCAGGGAGGCGGTGCGTTTTGACGAGCGGGTCGTGTTCGATGGCTTGAAGCTTAATGGAGATATTATCCGGGGTGCAGACACCATGCTGTGCAAGCCACGGCCAGTGGGCGAGAAAAAGGAGCCGGCACAGCATCGCCGTTCCTGGCGGACCTTCGCCCCCGCAAACCTCTGCGAGTATGGCAGCTGCAGCGGAACGCTGTGTAATGACGGATTGGGTCGAGTGGGAAGAGGAAGCAGCATGACGAACTCTCTTACCTCAGAAGGCGACTCGGGTCTGTGTAGTCCCACTGTGGAAAGAGAACAACGAAACCCACGAGCCCAGAGGCGACCCGGGCCTGGCACAAGAAGCCTTTCTTCTGCTGAGGGGGTGCACGTATCTGGGGACCTGAAGCCAGGGTGTTCCCTCAGCTTTGGTCAGGAAGAGTTCCCCTTCTCCCCAATGAAAGACAGATTACCCACTCCGCTGTATTGCACAGACACATCAACGCTTGGAAGCCAACAACGTAACAATACATACAACTCAGACCTCAGTGTGGGTCAGCACACTGTTTCTAATAGCAATTGTTCAGCTATAAATGTCAGGACGCTGGCAGAGTCAAGTAGTAAAACACACAACTCCACAACATTCTCAGGATATGAGGAATTACCCACAGCTGAACTTCCTGAAGACACTTGTTCGCAGGGTGACTGTGAGCTGCTCAGTGTTGTGGTGACAGAACCTCTTTCACATTGCCAGCAGAATCTAGAACAACATGTAACCAAGGACGAAAAGCGCTATGAATGCGAGCAAAGAGTTACAGGGTCAGCACACTGTTTCTAATAGCAATTGTTCAGCTATAAATGTCAGGACGCTGGCAGAGTCAAGTAGTAAAACACACAACTCCACAACATTCTCAGGATATGAGGAATTACCCACAGCTGAACTTCCTGAAGACACTTGTTCGCAGGGTGACTGTGAGCTGCTCAGTGTTGTGGTGACAGAACCTCTTTCACATTGCCAGCAGAGTCTAGAACAACATGTAACCAAGGACGAAAAGCGCTATGAATGCGAGCAAAGAGTTACGGACTCCAAAATGGCAGACTTGGAGGATTTCTTGTTGTTAGTTGAAAGGGAGGCATGTTTCTCCAATGGAGTAAAACACGTGGACGATGAAGACATAGAGAGTCTATTAACATCCATAGCCGAATGTTCGCAGGTGGAACTTGTGGCCTTGCCTTCCACCCAGGTACCTCAAAATAGTCGGTGAATGTTGATCGTTTGATTAGTGTTTCCTGGGAGGCTGGCTAGTGCCGTTCGGCCTTTATCAGATTAGGAGAAGCTGAATTAGGTTTATCATGATTGTGCACAGCTGGCTGTAACCGAGTCGCAGCCTCTCACAACAACCAGTTGCCTGGCGTTAAAGTGCACATAGTACCCATTTCAGTGGAAGAGCCTAACCTTATAAGGCTGCTGGCTGCAATATATCTAGTTACCCTGCTGAAAAGACCAACCTAGCTGGCCTCTAGCATATGTTTTGGATGTTGGTCCCCAGTATGGGATTGTAGTAATAGCTACTGTATGTTGTACACATTTATTTTGTAGCTTGGTCTTCTTACTAGTCTTTTTTGTTTCATTGTTTTTATCTGCTAATGAATTTTAAGAGAAACATCTAAGACTAATTTGATTCTTAACTGAGAACTCCGTGTAGTGATCTTAGCTTTGAAAGAGTGACCTCAGGAGATTGGAGTTTATTTAATGATTGCTTGAATATTATGAAGATTGAATTGCTTACATTTTCTATGGGTTTTCAGTGTTCTTCTGTATTTATCACTTACAGGTTTTCCAAAAGGACGCCATTGAGTCGCTGCAGAGCCAATTGCAGGAGTTGAACACTCTGGGCCAGGCACTGATCCAAAATGCCGCCAAAGGCACCAGCACCAAAAAACTTGATCACGATCTAGAGGAGGTCAACACCAGATGGAACACCCTCAACAAAAAAGTAAGACCCAATCTTCATCTAGTTTCAAAAACTGTCTACATTTCAGTTAAAGAGGTGCAATATCATGGATGAATCGCTTGATTTCTTTGTGCACTGCACTGGAATGCTCATAATCTTTTGATAACAATCATAATGTTTGCCAGTGTTGGTGAGTAACTAACAAGTAGTGATACCTTCTCAGTAGTTTAAGAATAGTCTGTAAAATTGTGTAGCTAGGTTTTATAACAAGAAGCGGTGTAGTGTGAGATGCTACAACAATTTCAAGCATGTCAAGCTCTAGTTTTAAGGTAGTTTCCTTAAAACTGCCGTACGTGTGATCTCCTCAGGTTGCGGAGCGATCTGCACAGCTTCATGAAGCCCTGCTGCACTGTGGCAGGTTCCAGGATGCACTGGAGTCCCTTCTCAGCTGGCTCACGGACACAGAGGAGCTGGTGGCCAATCAGAAGCCTCCATCAGCAGAATTCAAAGTGGTGAAAGCACAGATACAAGAGCAGAAGGTATGATGTCCGAAATGCTTAGACTTTATCTCAGTGAGAATTAGTTCACTGATTGTGAAATCTGTCTTTTGGTTTTACTCATCACTGTATTCTTTCTGCTGGCTCTGTCTAGCTCCTGCAGAGACTGCTGGATGACCGGAGAGCTACGGTGGAGCTGATTAAGATGGAGGGACGAAAGGTGACCGACTTAGCTGATACTGTTGATAAGGAGAAGATTGCGAGAGAGATTGAATGCCTAGGGCAAAGGTGGGACGCCCTACTTAAGAAAGCTGAGAACAGGTAAAACTATTAACACAAATCTATTTTGGAAATTTATTTATTTTATTTATTTAGTCATTTAGCAGACGCTTTTATCCAAAGCGACTTACAAATGAGGACAACAGAAGAAATCAATTGTAGTATTAAAACAACTAAAAACAGATCCAAACCTAAAAGCTAAAACTTTATAAATAGTACTTATACACATTTTAAAAATAAAGAAATTAAATAAAAATCACAAATGCATACAACAAAATTTCAAAACTTAACATTTAAATGAAAAACAAAAATAAAGCTAAAAACAATTCTAAATATGAAAGAACAAAAGGTATAAGAGTATAATAATGATTTTAACATAACACTAAGCCAAACACCAAACAAACAACTACATATATGTGTATGTACAACCATACACACACATATATATATATATATACACATTTATAAATTCAATATATATATATATATTATTTAATTTCCATTTAGTTTGTTGAAGTATTAAAATAACTCAAATTAAATGAAACTAAAACTTAATAAAAGACATATACAGACATAATAAATTCAGACATAATTTAACTAAAATTTAAATAAATAACAAATACAAATAATACAAATCAAACGACAGTAGTTTATCAGTAATCCTAACAAATAACACTTACATGCTAAAAAACAACATCTTACACATAGTAAGAAATGGTTATAAAAACTGAAACAGAAGCGAAACAAGTAATAGGAAATGGAGTGTCCATTGTTGCCAAGTCAAATAGGAATAGACTATTATCACGCTTTGAGTGTAAAGCCCTCCCAAATAATTATTTGGTGGACCAATCCTAGGTTACACCTCTACATAAATATCGGTTCTTATTTTTCGACTCTGCTCATAAGATATAATTTGTTTTTTCATGGGTAAAGGACTTTGTTTTATGTCGGTACAGTGTAATCAAACCCAGTCATGTCCAGCCATAAAACTAACTGCAATGTTTTTGGCAGACAAAAGCAGTTGGAGAACATTTTGGTGGTGGCACAGCAATTCCATGAGACCCTTGTGCCTTTGACGGAGTGGCTGACAGCTACCGAGAAAAGACTAGCCAACTCAGAGCCCATCGGCACCCAGACGTCCAAGATAGAGGAGCAAATTTCTCAGCATAAGGTGCAGAACCGTCTGTAGCGACAGCGTAGTCCCATGACCATGTTTAGTTTGTTTGCCATTGTGTTTTACTTTTTTTATCCATTGCCCATTTGCCCTGCATTTCTGTTGTTCTTGTGTTCTCATTCGACCCATTCTTTTTCTGTTATGGTTTCCGCACCCTGGTTATGTGAATTCCATGGTAATCAGGCTTTAGAGGAGGAGGTTTTGGGCCGTGGTAAGATCTCGTACCAGGCCATGAGTCTGGGCCAGTCTCTACGGGCGGTCAGCTGTGCGGATGACAAGGAGCTGGTGCAGGCAAAGCTTGACAACACGCACAGCAGCTACATCGAGCTGCAGGAGCATTGCCGCCAGAAGGCTGAGTTATTGTGGCAGGCCCTGGCTAATGCGCAGCTCTTTGGGGAGGACGAAGTGGCCCTAATGACCTGGCTTGATGAGGTGCACGGCAAACTGAGCGAAGTCTCGATCCAAGACTACACGACGGCCATGCTCTCAAAACAGCATGCTGAGCAGCTGGTACTTTACAAGCTCCTCCTCTTAAGGCTTCCTTCCCCTGTTTTCATTTAATTTCTGTCTTCAGTGGTGTGGTATGATTTTGTATCACTCTGTCAGAAGATGCTGGTGACTGATGTATGTTTCAATGTCCAGGCTCTTCGTGAAGACATTGAGTTGAGGAAACAAAATATTGAACAGGCCGTCCTAAATGGGTTAGAACTGCTGAAACAGACCACAGGTGAAATTTAAAAAAAAAATTGAAATTCAAATATGTAAAAAATGCAATAACAATTATTTTAAGATTTATTTTATATTTGCATGACCTGAGTCAATGTTTAGAAGGTTTCCTGATAGATGTTTTCTATGCTCTGAAACTATGTGAATGTCTGTATCATGTGTGCACACTTTCATTCAGGCGATGAGGTTGTCGTCATCCAAGGTAAACTAGATGGAATAAAGACGAGGTATTCAGAAATCAACACAATGAGCAAAAATGTTTCAAAGACTCTGGACAAAGCCCTGTCTCTTGCCACAAAGCTGCAAAACACTCATGAAGAGCTGAACTCCTGGTTGGAGAAGGTAGAGTCTGAGCTGGCCACGTTTACAGCTCAAGAGCCAGTCGGAGAGCAGCTCACTCACTTACAAGAGAGGCAGAAAGTAAGTGTCAGTACTGCAGCTGCAATTTAACCCATAGGTAAAAAATTTATCAACTGAGATTTCACGTGTTTCTGCTAGACATCTAAAATGCCAAACAAACTGAGTCTTTTAAGTCTCCCTTTCATATGTGTACTTCTCAGTTTCAGAAGACTCAATAAAGTCTCAAACTGTGCTTAGATTCGCCAGACCAAATTATTTGGACTATGAAATCCAAATTTATAGCTCTATAAAAATACATTTTAGGAGAAAGAGATAAGGCAAAGCTGATTTTAAAATCCAATGTAACTCCAATTAAGTGGTTGCAAAGTCTCTTTTTAATGCAGTATGTATGTAAATTGTAAAATTTTAAATGTTTTCAAAAATACAGTTAGAATAATAAGACACAATAGGGATGTTTCCAATCAAATGAAATCAGTATCGACAAAGTTTATCTTTGCACTGCAGAGGTGGCACAGAAGCTGCATCTGAAGTGGCATTTAGATGTGTTCACGCAGACTGTTTAATGCAGCTCAGAGATGCCATGAATGCATTTACACTGCAGTTACAATTGCATAAATAATGTTATGAGATTAATGTTTTAAAAATAAAATATATTGAGTAATTGGTGGCAAGTCACTGTCTTAATGAGTGAGTCATTGATTGATTGATTCTACCAGTTTGTTTAAAACAGCTGATTCGTTCAAGAACGAAGCAAGTGACCGTCTTTATGAGTGGGTCATTAATCCTTTAACTCACCTGATTTGTTCAAATACACTGAATCATTCAGGAACAAAACACCACTGTGTTGATCAGAGACACAACAGTTCTGCTGGACTCTGTTTGGAATTATTTTTTATTGATGGAATAGATCAAAACAGTTGATATTGAGAATATTGTGTCTAAAATGTATGGTTGTGTGACAAATGAGCATCCGGCCCAAGGCTGCGCTGATAGCCAGACATGATTTTCGAAAACTGGGCTTGTCAGATCTAAAACCGGACAGATGGCGATATAACATTGATGTTTTAATGCTGAATAAGTAATCCAGATTAATTGAGGAAAATAAGACACTGGCTAAAAAATTAACTTGTTTACACTGTATTTTTAGGTGTCATTGTTACAGCGTAATTACACAAATACATACTGAGTAATATTAATTAACAACACATTACTAAAGGGTTTGGATTTGGCTGAGAAGTAGTCGCTTGTTATTATGCAAAATTGACTCTTATTACTGTAGTGGTCACACTTTATTTTAATAATTGAGGAAAATAAGACACTGGCTAAAAAATTAACTTGTTTACACTGTATTTTTAGGTGTCATTGTTACAGCGTAATTACACAAATACATACTGAGTAATATTAATTAACAACACGTTACTAAAGGGTTGGGATTTGGCTGAGAAGTAGTCGCTTGTTATTATGCAAAATTGACTCTTATTACTGTAGTGGTCACACTTTATTTTAACGTCCAATTCTCGCTATTAACAAACTATTAACTGACATTTGCCTCAATAAACTCCTAATTTGTTGCTTATTAATAGTTAGTAGGAAATTTGTTAAGTTTAGGTATTGGGTAGGATTAGGGATGTAGAATATGGTCATGTGGTATAAATGCTTTATAAGTATTAATAAACAGCCAATATGTTAATAAAAGGCATGCTAAGAAGCAACTAGTTAATAGTGAGAATTGGTCCCTATACTAAAGTGTTACCACTCAGTACATGTAACTTGTAACAAGGACGCTGCAAAATAGCTTACGACCAAAAACTCTTCACAAATATTTAATTAAAAAACAAAAACAGAAGAAACATCAGTATTTAAAGAATAATATATAAAAAGCAAAGTGTTTATGATTTCAATATTAAAATATTGTCAGAGTTGGTGGATGTATCAGTTTATCACTACCTCTCTATTTGGCACATCCAGACACTGATGAAGGAGGTTAAGGATCAGAAGCCACTGGTTGATTCTCTTAATGAAGTGAGCAGCGCTCTGCTGGAACTCATACCATGGCGAGCAAGAGAAGGCTTGGACAGGATGGTCACAGATGACAACGAGCGCTACAGAACAGCTAGCGATGCCATTACACAGCATGTAGACCAGACCGGAGCTGCCATCTTAAAATCCCAGCAGGTACGGTGGTTCTCAGCTGCTTGGGAAAATAACACCACTCTTCTGTTAGGAAGATTCCCAATCAAGTTTGTTGAAGCACACAATGAAGTGCCTGTGATTGCTGCCAAGGGTGATTGGCCTCATTGTGGTGCTAATTCTTAGCTATTCTTAACTTAATTTATCCTCTTGAGCCACCTTGATGGTATTTACATAATAAACTAATGGAGTGTGTGACCCAGATTGATTACATTTGCATCACATTAGTCTGTTAGCGCTTTGAGAAGACTTGATGAGTTCATGTATTCGAGTTTGTAAAATAATATATAATATATTTTAAATATAATTGAATGTCAATTAAATCTAGAAGTGTATGGAAATGTGACATGGACAGTCACATATCAGTCACATATGAATGCTTTTTCTCTGATGTGCAGTTTGAGCAGGCTGCCACCACTGAGCTTGAGTGGCTGACGGAGGCAGAGAGGAAGTTGTCATGCCTTGGGGACGTCAGGCTTGAGCCGGAGCAGACCACAGCTCAGTTACAGGCTCAGAAGGTCAGTCGTGTGTTCATGTGGTCGTCTCTAACCTGCGCTGTCACAGAAACATACTATATGTACTATATGCTATAAAGCTCACATTGTCTAAAGCACGCTTTCTCCTCCAGAGCTTCTCCATGGACATTATGAGACACAAAGATGCTGTGGATGCCATTGTGAAGACCAGCGAGGTCATTATGAACAGCAAAGCTGAGGCAGAGAAGCAAGCACTGAGGGTAAATAAAGGAAAATATATAAAGAAATGTAACCTAAGCTGTGTACAGTAGAGGCTCAGGACTAAAATCACTGTGGTGTCATACAGATGAAGCTCCAGACACTGTCAGAGAAATACAATGTGGTTAGTCAGCTGAATTCGGAGCGCTGTCTGCAGCTGGAGAGAGCTCATTCTCTGGCCTCCCAGTTCTGGGAAACATACGATGAACTCTGGCCATGGCTGCAGGAGACCAGGACTACCTTCACTCAGCTGTCCCAGCCGGCTATTGAGTACGAAGCCCTTCGACAGCAACAAGAGGAGCTGAGGGTAAGACATACACTTGCTGTAACAGCTATTAAAACTCTTTTAGCTGATGGACACTACTCATCATCTGTCTGAAATAAAATCATTTTATTTATATATATATGAACTAAATGCTATAAATTGTATTTGTTTTTAGCATTGCACTTACAGCTGATGGGTTCATGTTCGTGAACATTAGCTACGTTTATATGCACTCAAATAATCTGTTTAAAATCAGATTGATGGCTCAATCCAATTGAAAAGTCTTCATATAAGCACCTCAATCAATCCAAATGACTTTCGATCCGATTGACGTGGGGTGTTGACCTGAAATAATCAGATGAACAGTAAATGTAAACAGTTGAATATTGTGAACTATTTTCTCAATCGGATTCAACCACACATAAGCAGTGCTGTAATGCATACATTCTTTGTACGTGTGAGGTGACGAGGTGATTCTTCCAGTGTAGACAAATTGTAAGAAGTTGTAGACATATGGACGCTTATTTGTCATCTACTGTATATATTGTGTAGTTGCTGGTATTTTATTAAAGCAATATGTTGTTTGAGACTGTGATGTTTACTGTTTTGACTTGTGCTTAACTGTTGCAAAATCACGGTAATGCAGCGCCTCGAATGGCTTAGTGCTTCGTTAGACTGGCGAAGAGGATAAAGACAGATGCTATTTGAGATCTGCGTGATATGATTGTATTTGACCTTAACAGATTTTCTCTTCAGATGATAATGTTATGAACAATCCACTGCTTTTTATTTTGATGATGGTAAACTTTCCGTCTTCAGCAAATGAGGGAGCTGATAGCAGAGCACAAGCCACACATCGACAAGATGAATAAAACTGGACCTCAGCTTGTGGAGTTGAGTCCCACTGAAGGGCTGCCAATCAGAGAGAAATACGAGACCTCAGAAAAACTGTACAGCCAGCTGAAAGTCGACGTCAAGCACAGAGCAGCTGCCCTGGATGAGGCCATCTCCAAATCCACTCAGGTACATTTCAGTATTTAATGAGTGATATTCTGCCCTTTTGTAGTATTAGTTAAAGGGATAGTTCACCACAGTTGCTGGTAGCCATTGACTTCTACTGTATTTTTCCCTACTAATATATTTTTTATATTCCACACAAGAAAGAAACTAATACAGCTTGAGAATGAGTAAACAGTGACAGAAATAACATTTGTGGGTGAACTATCCCTTGAATGTTCCTTTCTCTCACAATTAGAAAAGGAAGCAAGCTGTTGCTACCGTACCATTCATGCTTAAGTATGCGACATTTCTGCTTGTCAATGATCTCCGTAGTTCCATGATAAGATAGACCCCATGCTGGAGTCTCTGGAGCGCATCGCCGAACGCCTGCGCCAGCCTCCATCCATCTCTGTCGAGGTGGAGAAGATCCGAGAGCAGATATCGGAGAACAAAGCGGTGAATGTAGACCTGGAGAAACTTCAGCCGTCCTATGAGACCCTCATGCAGCGAGGAGAGGAGATGATCGCTCGCTCCGAAGGAGCAGACAAGGACCTTTCGGCCAAAGGTAACTATGCTGTTGTCACCTCGGCGTATGGGGCTTGTGTGACTACTCGGTTTTAAAGCAGTGTGATCAAATGCATTCTTCTGTTTTGATTGAAGCTGTTCAAGATAAGCTGGACCAGATGGTGTTTCTATGGAATGACATCCAAGCTCTTCTGGAGGAAAGAGAGGCCAAGCTCCTGGATGTCATGGACTTAGCTGAGAAGTTCTGGTGTGATCACTGCGCTCTCATCGTCACCATCAAAGACACGCATGATCTGCTGAAAGAGCTGGAGGAGCCTGGAGTCGATCCTTCAGTGGTCAAGCAACAGCAAGAGTCTGTGGAGGTCTGGAGGCTTCGGAGCAGGCTGTTTGATATTCATTCGGCTTTGTGCAACATCTTCATAGTTGTTGGTTTGCTTTACAGGGCTTTAGAGAAGAGATCGACGGGCTGCAGGAGGAACTGAATGTGGTCCAGAATCTGGGGGCAGAGTTTATGACAGCGTGCGGAGAACCTGATAAACCAGTGATCAAGAAAAGTATAGATGAGGTAATGATGTCATAGGAGAATAAATGCACCCTTAGAAGAAAAAAAAATGTAATCATAGTTGATGTCAAAATACCGTTCTAGTTGAAATTGTAGTAACTATGTGTATTTGTTTTTACCATGGCACAGTCTTTTAAAAATAAATACCATTTTAACTTTTAAGTCTATCCAGTATTAAATGTATTAGCAGGATTTAAAAAAAATAATAATACAATTACAGTGAACAAATATTAGCCACTCTGTGTGTAACAGAAGTGCTGGATGAGTCAGAGTTGGCGTCACACTGTATAATGTCTGACCACATCTCGTTCGTCCCACAGGTGAACTCAGCTTGGGAAATCCTGAATAAGGCATGGAAAGAGAGAGTAGAGACTCTAGAGGAAGCCATGCAAGCTGCAGTGCAGTTCCAGGACAGTCTCCAGGTAAATATGACACACACAGACCACTCCCCTCCTGATGACTCTGAACACAGATCTAACTGGTCATTCGCTCATGGGAAACTTCAGGAGCTAATTTGTAGTCAGCACAGTCTGACCTCCTGTCATGCTGAATGTGCTCATGAAGGAAAAACCAAAATTAAACGAATGATTCATGTGACGTGATTCAACCCAAGCGGGCACCAAGAGGGTGCACAGAGACTTTGAAAGAGAAAGCAAAATAGCTTTTTGTCATTTTCATAGTGTATCCAGATCAAGAACGTGCCCTAATTTAATCATGCTAAGCAAATGATTCACGCTGGTTGCTGAATAATTCAAGATTTACAGTATTTCTCAGTTATTCTCAGAAAGTCTCTTATAAGGGATCATTGTGAATCTTAACCAGTTGTACTTGTTTTCCCCAAACTCCAGATATGAATAAAATTAGTTTAGGTGTGGCTTAGTTTTGTTCATTTTCACTGTCACCTGAGCCACATTTGTATCGGGGCTATACGTGAAACTTGACTCGATGCTAGGTGCGGATGTTGTGCAGCCTGTGACAATAGTTTCCTCCTCCTCGACAGAGCATGTTTGACTCAGTGGATATTATGGAAGGCAAACTGGATTTGATGTCACCCGTGGGCACGGACCTGGAGACTGTGAAACAGCAGATCGAGGAGCTGAAGGTATTGATTTACTGCTTGCTTGTGGGAGATTTTCTCATAACCATGACGCGTTGCTTTTTGTCAAAGTCATAGTAGATCCAGATCAAAGTTGAAAGCTATTTATCTCCAGCCTCTTTCATTTTTGATTGTTTCGTGAGTACAATTGAGCTGACAGACCACACAGCAGCTGTGTTTACACAGAGCCATTCATTTGCTTCGTTTTACACAGTTGGTTTGAGCCTGCACAACTGTAAATGTTTTAACCATTGGCTTGTAGGTGAATTAACATGCTTTTATCCCAAGATTTTATATGTACATGTGTATGTGTCAAGAATTTACTAGTAGCAGAGATAGGTCATAATGTCTTTAGTGAATGTTAGCAGGGAGGACAAAAATCTAAATATCCACTCATTAAGCTTTGTAGTGTAAATGCAGTGCATTGTGTAATGTGTGCTGTCGTGTGTGTGAAGGAGTTCAAAGGTGATGCGTACCAGCTACAGATCGAGATGGAAAGGCTGAACCATCAGACCGGGCTCCTGCTGAAGAAGGTGGTAGAGGAAGCCGACCGCACTTCCATCCTGGAGCCAATGAATGAGCTGAAAATGCTCTGGGACAACCTGGATAAAAAGATCATCAACAGACAGGTCAGACACTGAGAAGGATCTAAACTTTAAAATCAGTGTGAAACGCTGTTCATGACCCATTTAGTGTCTGTAATGTGATCTATCCCAGGGTGCAACAGGATATTCAAAAGAGTAGCAGATTTTATCCACTGGGAATTGATTGGATTGTTAAAAATGAGTAACCAGAAAGACTATAAATGTGTACAAATATGATCAATTTTGATTTCATGTCTAGGCCTGTTGCATTTATTGATTAATTATAAGTCGTTTTTTAGATAACTGCAATAACTGTGCAGTTTAATTGTGCCTCTAATTGTGCACTTTTTGCCATCCTAATAAGGGAAATTAAAGCATTTATAGAAATGCTATCTAATGCACAATTAGTAAAGAATAAAGAATACAAAAAACAACACTAGTGTAAATTACACAAAGATAGTCAAAGGTCTTCCTTCATAGGAAATGAAGGATTTTGGGTAGGGATGTCCCAATCAAGTTTTTTGTGCCCCTGATCTAATCCAAGTCATTGAATATTCAGTATCTGCCGATACAGAGTCCCAATCTGATACTTGTAATTTCCTAGTGCTTGGTACACACTTCAAGTACATTATAGTTATTAAAATCAATCCAGTGTATACAGGGCCATGCAAAGAGTTTCTCAGGGGCAGGGGCTCAAATATAAAAAGGGGCATCTATCACAATGGAGTAATTCCAATATAACAATTTCTACAGTAATTATATTTACAGGCCTATACATATTATAAATATGGGACTACTGATATAATACTTCTTGAATTTTATATGTACGATAAGCTATATAATTGCAACAAAATGAAAAAAAATGGAAATAAGGATAGAAAGCATGACGCTCGCGAATGCCAGTCTGTCTGTGACAGAATTATTTCAAGACATTGCAACATTGAAACGCATTTCAAATATGGGTAACACTTTACAATAAGGTTCATTAATTAACATTAGTTAACTGCTTTAGTTAACATGAACTAAGAATGAACAATACTTCTACAGCATTTATTAACCATAGTTAATGTTAATTTCAACATTTACTAATACATTATTAAAATCAAAAGTTGTGCTTGTTAACATGTATGCACAATGAACAATTGTATTCTCATTAACTAACATTAACAAAGATTAATAAATACTGTAATAAATGTATTGTTAATTGTTCATTAATGTCAGTTAATACATTAACTAATGTTACCTTATTGTAAAGTGCTACCCCATTATGTGACATATTTTCAGCAATGCTGACTGTTTAAAAAAAAATTTAGACTACTGAAAAGGAAGTCCAGCCCCAAACTCACACCCCTGATAAAGCTGATTTCACTACACTATGCAAATGATAACATTATTGTGATGACTGTTGTGTGGTCTGGTCTCTTGTAGCACAAGCTGGAGGGAGCGCTGTTGGCTCTAGGGCAGTTCCAGCATGCTTTAGATGAACTTTTGGCTTGGCTCACTCATACTGAAGAGCTGCTTAATGAACAGAGGAAGGCCTGCGGCGACCCCAAAGCCATCGAGATCGAGCTCGCAAAGCACCACGTACGTCACAGTCGTTGAGCCACAGAACCACTCAGATGTCAACAAGCATTGTTCAGCTCATGTATCGTCATTTCCTTCCATTGGGTAGGTGTTGCAGAACGATGTGCTGGCCCATAAGACCACGGTGGAGGCGGTGAACAAGGCCGGCAGTGACCTCATTGATTCCAGTGCTGGAGAGGAGGCGCGAGGTCTGCAGAACAAGCTGGAGAACCTCAACCAGCGCTGGAGGACTATCCTGGAGAAGACGGAGCAGAGAAGACAGCTTCTGGACAGTGCCCTGCTGCAGGTCAGGAGCCAACATGAGCCAGCCAGAGACCTGGCAACCCTCTGGAATCTCAGAGGCTGAGCGTTTCCTAAAATGGAGATATGATTGATGATGTTCTCAACATGAGGCCAAAAATGTCCTCTCTTAATCTTAAAGAATGTGAAAGAGAAGCAGTAAAGCGATAGATGTCCATACACGCACATGCTCTCACTCAAAGAGTTTACTTTGATGTGAACACCGAATGCTGATGTTGAATATATTGACCATACAAATTAAGAAGTAGAAACAATCACAAAAAATAACATTCCCAATTGATTTAAATGTCAAAAAATAATTTTTTATATGTGACCCTGGACCACAAAACCAGTCATAAGGGCAATTTTTTTTGAATAAATAAGCTTTCCATTTATGTATGGCTTGTTATGATAGGACAAAATTTTTGGCCGAGATACAACTATTTGAAAATCTGGAATCTGAGGGAGCAAAAAAAATCAAAATATTGAGAAAATTGCCTTTAAAGTTGTCCAAATGAAGTTCTTAGCAATGCATATTACTAATCAAAAATTAAGTTTTGATATATTTACAGGACATTTACAAAATATCTTTATGGAACATGATCTTTACCTAATGTCCTAATGATTTTTGGCATAAAAGAAAAATCTATAATTTTGACCCACACAATGTATTTTTGGCTATTGCTACAAATATACCCCAGCGACTTGAGACTGGTTTTGTGCTCCAGGGCCACATATATGTATAATTAATAATGAGTTGACTGAAGAGCAACGTTATATGTATCAAATATAATTAATATAAAATGATACCTATGTCAACATTTTTAAAGTGTTTTTTAATAAATAAAAATAAAAAAGCACAATTGCTCTATAGACTGGAATCAAGATTTTAAGTTTTATTTTTTTTCTCACATAAAACAGGGAGCAAGGAAATACTGTATATTGTTGTTTATTGACTATGCTAACTCTTTTTGAATCCAGACACCATTGTTCTTGTTTCAGAATTGAGAGATTTCCTACAAACTTGCCATTTCTAAGACTAATAATCTGTGCTCATTAATCAAGCCTCTCCCTTGAATCTCACCCCTCCGGCTGGCTTTGTTGTTGTGACGCTGGCCGATCTGTTTTCAGGCTCAAGGTTTCCATGGTGAGATTGAAGACATGCAGCGGTGGCTGAAAGACACAGAGCGTCAGCTGTTAGCATCAAAGGCCCTCGGAGGCTTACCAGACACGTCCCGAGAGCAGCTTAACACCCATCTGGTATGTGTTTAATACTACAACAGATCTGCCACGTATGGCGAGTTTGTAACAACTAACCAACACCATCTTTATTTTACATCTCAACGACTGTGATCAATAGATTTATGCATTAGTTATTGAGAACAGTTTTGCTTGGTTTGGTTTAAGCATTTTATTAGAGAATGTTTAGGGGAATAATGCACCCAAAATTGAACAATGTGTCATCATGCACTCATTGTCATGACAATACAAACATATATGACTTACTTTCCTCCTTAAAGGGATAGTTCAGCCAAAAATGAAAAGTTGCTGTTAATTTTTTTAAATATTAATTAATTTTCTTCAGTAGAACAGTACAGAAGATTTTTAGCTGAAACCCTGTTCCCTGCTGATTCATTAAATGCAAGTCAGCGGCTGCCTGTGTTTGAGAATAAAAAAGCATATCAAGAAACACAAAATTATTACGGTCTGGAGTGATGTCCGGTTCACGAACAAATCATTCTTTAATGCAACATGAAAAATCTCCAAGCTGATCTTTTCATGCAAAATAGAAGCATACAGTGATCAGAATCAAGCTCCGAAAATGTCCAAAGCAAAGAAGTGTGTGTTTTAGTGTTTTTTTATTTATTTATTTATTTTTTATTTATGAACTACATTCACAGTTCTTATTGGAGCCTGACAGACCCTGGTCTGTACTTTCTTTGCATGATTTCCAAAATCTCATTTTGTGTTGCATAGAAGGAAAATTCTTAGGGGGATTAAATCTTGACAATTTTCATTTTTGGCTGAACTAGTCCTTTAAAACTAACATAAGGATGAAAAACGCAAACGGCTTTATCTAATTCTATGAAAGTGCAATAAAAAAAAATCTGTCCCAGTTTTCATTAAACATTTTGGTTACACTTTACTTGAAGGGGTGTGCATAAGACTGACATGACACCTTCATATTCATGACATGACACCTACATAATCAAGACATGACACATGTCATGAATATGAAGGGTTTTTATGCATGTTTATGACAACTGTCATTAAGTGTCATTCGCTCAGTTATGTAATTTTTAATGCAAAGATGACATTGTTTGAGATGTATTTGTTATGGGCTATGGTTAGGGGTAAGGGTAGGGGTAGGGTTAGGTTAGGGTAAGGTCAAATAATGTCATATTTGCATTAAAAATGACATAACTGAGCGAATGACACTTAATGACAGTTGTCATAAACATGCAAAAAACCTCCTTCATATTCATGACATGTGTCATGTCATGATTATGAAGGTGTCATGTTAGTCTTATGCACACCCCTTCAAGTAAAGTGTTACCAACATTTTATAGACTTAGAAAAAAATATTTACGCTCACATATCAGAAATAACTTTTTGAATAGTCAACATATGTCAGGTTGTCAGTAAACACGATGTCTCTCTGTGTGTTTGTAGGAGCTCTGCAGTACACTGGAAGCCAAGGAGGAAATATATAAGCAGCTTCTTGACCGAGGGCAGCAGATTTTGGCCTTGACCCCTGAGGGTCAAGACAGCACCACTGAACTGGACCTTCGCAACCTGCAGGAGAAGTGGGAATGTGTTCAGGCCAAAGTGACAGAGAGGAAGGTGAGAGTCTGATTTACTCACTCTTCTCTGTTAGGGCTCTCTGTGTTCTTCCTGTCAGTCTGGCTCATTCTCATCATCATCACTGGGCTGTCGGCTGATTATGTTCATGTAGCTGTGATATCAGATCTGTGAGCTGTTATGCTTTGATGTAGTCAGATAAATGATTCTTTTTCACTCCAGCACAAGCCCAAAGTGAGTTATAAATCACTACAGAACAAAGTAGAGTTGTCTGCGGTCTCTACAAAGTTACTGAAGTGGAATAAACCACTAGTTCAGCCAAAAACAAAACTTCTGTCATCATCATTCCACATCTATATGATTTGTTTTTTCTTCTGTGCCGCTCAAAAGGAGACCATTTTAATGATGAACACGCTTCTCTTTTACATACAATGAATGCATATGGTATAAAATGGACCAAAACTCCATGAAAACAGCTTGAAAAGTAAGGTACAGTAAAAATAAGACTTGAGTGCTCTATTCTTAAAATATACAGTATATAGGTGAGTAAATGATAGCTACACATTCAGTTCTGGTTGAACTTATTATCAAAGTTCAAAATTAGCACATATTCATAAAAAAAAAGTCCAAATCAGATCTGGCTGTCAGATTAATGTCATTTTTGATTAAGGTCGCTTTGCTGTGTTGAATCTGGACTTGGCAAAGACGTTCGTTTACAACAGGAATTTGACCGCACACGCTCTTGTCAGAACCTCGTCTGTGATAGTCAAGCCATCCTTGAATGTTTGCAGCTTTTGCAAATATACCTCCTCACATGTGATGCTAACCAGACATCACATGACATGTGCTGAGTCACATGCTGCTGGATGAGATCACTGAGTGACTGTGATCCAGCGGTGCAAGGGAAGATCCTGTGTCTCATATCCTCCTCAGTGACATGAGCAAAATGCTCCAAAATAACCGAGATATCATCATGTTTCACAAAATATCAAGAAGTGTCTTGCCATGTCTTGTTACTAACTTGCTGTAGTAAGCAGCGCTAAGGATTGATTTCAAACGTGTTTCCCAAACATTTCTCCATCCTCATCTTCCTTTGTCAAACTAGTTTATTCTCTACAATAAAGCCAAACAGCTTATTTCACACTTCGGGAAAGCAAATGACTCCCAGTTGAATCTGAGATGAAAGGATGTGTTTGTGTTTGATCGACCATAGGTGAAACTGGAGGAGGCGATGGCGATGGCCACAGACTTCCATAACTCACTACAGGATTTCATAAATTGGCTGACGCAGGCCGAACAGACCCTTACTATGGTCTCCCCTGCCTCCCTCATCCTGGAGACCGTCATGTTCCAGATAGATGAGCATAAGGTCAGTGCTCTTTGACATGATATGCAACATGACATACAAGTCTAACAAAAACTTTCATGCAGCTTACTGCTAAATCTCAGCATGAAATGAAAACTCACCCCATCTATTTTTTAAATGCATGTGAACAATTCATCTGTGCATGTTTTGCATAAAACGTTTTGCATCATGTAATAACAAAGAGTAATGTGACAACTACACATAAGTATTATAATAATAATGTAATAAAATGTTCATAATGTAGTACTTTTCTAAAACTTAATAAAATCCCAAGCTAATGTAATATTTTTTATACTTCTTATAAATACATAAGCATGTGAAATATATAAAATATTTTTTTAAATTGACAACAAAACGTATACAGACAAACTGTACAATACCAACACTGTATACAATGTATAGCCTAAAAAAGCCCTCTTCAGTAACTGCAACAAGGACTCTGTAAAACAAAGTGTTACTGATTATTATTATAATTTAAACATGGTTTCACAGTACTTTATGTACTTGTTTATCAAGCTGTGATTGTAGTAAATGTAATACATTTCTCATAAAATAATTAAATTACGTTATGAGAACATTTTTTATTATCTGTTGCTACTTGCATTTCATTGTGACTTTAAATGAGCCATATTCTTGCACTTGAAAGAAACAGTCCTTTTCCAAAATTACGTTTTTTTCCCCCTTCTTTCTTAAAATGGATCTGCTGGAATTGCAGGTGTTTGTGACTGAGGTGAACTCACATCGGGATCAGATCATCGAGCTGGATAAGACAGGAACACACCTCAAGTACTTCAGTCAGAAACAGGACGTGGTGTTGATCAAGAACCTCCTGCTGAGCGTTCAAGGCCGCTGGGAGAAGGTCGTGCAGAGATCAGTGGAGAGAGGACGCCTGCTGGACGATGCCAGGAAACGTGCCAAACAGGTGGGAGAGGACCCCTGGGATAGAACTTATTTAAAAGCCATGCTTTTTGTAATCACACATCCTTGCTAGATATAGTCACTATAGGAATGATTGAATCACAGAGAACTTAATTTGGCTTCTTTTGCGACTGATCAATGTAATGAGACTCTTTTATGTCAAAGTGATTTTACACTCTTTAATATAACACACCTAAATCGTCAATGCGGTAGATTTTTTTTTTTAAACTCATAACATAAGAGGATATGAAGATCACTCATGGGCAGCAACATACTGTGGGGATTTTTCTTGACTGTGAAAGGGTCTGCATAAAGGGTATAGGATAAAATAAATATAGGACAGTACCGGGAAATCCCTGTATTTTCCCTGCAAGACAAGACACAAGATTTGTAATTCCCAATGCATAAAGCCAGAGCTTCACAGGAATGGCTTAAAACAACAATGTTGATGTCCTGGTCAAAGTCCAATTGAGAATTTATGAGGGGACTTGAAAACGGCTGTGCACTCACAAGCTCCATGCAGCCAGACTGAGCTGGAGCTACAAAGAAGAATGAGAAACATTGCAGTGGCCAGAAGTGCAGAGCTGATAATAAAGACCTACAGTATCAACACAGATTACTTGGGAATCGCTGCCAAAGGCGCATCTGATAAATAGTGACCTGAGGGGTTGACTTTGTATGCAAACGATTATTTAGTAACTGTAATCGATTTTTGAGCAAACTTGTTGGACATGACGGAATATTTTTTGTTCAGTGTGAAAAAGGCAAAATAAATTCTCTGTGGTTCAATCATGGAAATAAGAAAATGCTGTAATAATACTGCGTACTACGCTGATGGATTCTCACGCTCTCGTCTTCTGCAGTTCCATGAGACCTGGAACAAACTGATGGAGTGGCTGGAAGAGTCCGAGAGAGCGCTGGACTCTGAGCTGGAGATCGCTAATGATCCGGACAAGATCAAGATGCAGTTATCCCAGCACAAGGTGACCGACACCAGTCCATTTCCCTGTCCAATACACGTCTGGTATTAAGATGTGTTCGCAGTTCACAAGCGGTCAGCCGAGACACCATTTCCACATGCTGATAGTTATATAAACACAGCCACTATGCTAAAACTAGGCAAAGAACTAGTCTGGCTAACTAGCAGTTGACCTGTCTTAAAAAAATGAGATTACTAACTTGTAAAACTAGTCTTAAACCATTTATGCAACCGGCCACTGGTATTAACATGCGTTCCTAATGCCTCTCCTGTGAGCACTTGTGTTCAGTTTTCGTCGAGACGCTCCCTTCTTATTTTGACACACTCTACATCGCTTTCATGGGGATGAAAATTGAACAAACAAACCCATGTTACACAGCTTATGAGCGAGAGGGAATGGAAGCAAATAAAAAGGGTTAAGAGTGCAGCTGTAATTAGCGATTGTAATCCATGTGGACAACACACCAAAGTTTAAATCGCTTGTTTTGCTGTGAGAGATCACGTGAATCTGCTACGTTTAGGCTATGTTTCACCATGGTCACATTCAGGACAGATGAGCATTTCAACTACACAATGCACTGAACAATTTACTCATTCGCACCTATATTTAGCGCTGACCACTTGTGCTCCGATCACAAAAAATGTATGTAAATTGCAGGTTTAAATGGGGTCATATAGACTTCCTGTTCACACCATGTTTTTATCCCCCATCTGTGAATGTGGAACAACTGACGGACAGTGTGAATCACAATACCAGGTGCTTTTTCACTCACGGCTATTGTGTTTTTCAGTGACTGTGGGTCATAAGAAGTAGCATCCTGTTATACTTCTGTCTAATGAATTCCCCCACTTTTTGGGAGGTGATCTTTATATTTTAAAGAGGTGTACATGATTTTTTTTTCCAGAAGTTTAAAGAGTTCACCATTTCAGGCCACACAATGCCTAAAAAATGGAAGTAAACAGTCTGAGCATGTTAGATGTTTTTCAATTGCAAGCAGGATACAGGTAGGATTGTGTGATCCTGATCTTAGTGCTGCATGTTGGTATGTAATTAACAGCTCAGCAGTGCTTCAGATGTTCTGATGAGTCAGTCACAAATACAAATGGCAGGATCTGATGACATCAGGCTTCCTGGAAGACCTCACAGGATGGCTTGCGGGACGCGTGCCCTTGAGCTACATTCGAATGACCCTTCGCCTCTGTTTGTCTTGTGTGGGGGGGGATTGTAGGAGTTCCAGAAAACTCTGGGCAGCAAGCATTCGGTGTGTGACACCACCAGTCGCACGGGCCGAGCTTTGAAGGACAAGACCTCCTTGCAAGATGACAACCAGAAACTGGATGACATGCTCAGTGAGCTCAGGGACAAATGGGACACAGTCTGCGGGAAATCTGTGGAGAGGTATATGTGCATTTGGGTGGATTTCAGAAAAACACATATCCATCTCCCCTATTAAAAATTGATGTATACATTTTGCATAAACAAAATTAAGCCTATTTCGGGCTTTATTCAAATTAGGCTTGTTTGATTTTTCAGAACACCTAAAATATATATTTTCCAGTAAGGTCCTATTAGTAAATGTTAGTTAATGCATTAACTAACAATGAGCAGTACGTTTGTTGTACGTTTGTTACAACTGTTCATTGTTAGTTCATGTTAGCTCAGATCCATTAAATAATAACAGATACAACTTGTGCTTTTATTGTATTAGTAAACATCAAAATGAACTAAAACTACAATAAAATACCAAGTTCTGTCATGAAACTAGATGGCGCAGGCTGATGGGTCCTTAACGTAACTGATGACATTCTTTGCATTAAATGACTTGTCACAAGCTGATTGGTTCATGTTGCATACGCAGCCAATGAGCTTGCTGCTTTACATTTAAATGGCTGATTAGCATTCGCTTGAGCATTGCAGCGCGCTTTCAGAGTTCCTCTGAAACCCTCCACCTTCCCCAACTCCACCTGTATAGATCTGCTACGGGGTTATTTTATATGCTATTTGTGCAGCAGCAGTATGTCTTAAATACTCACAGCACCATATCAGCTTATGTATTGGCAGTAGCAAGTTCCTGTACTTGCTTGCAGCAGCAATAATCTACAAATACAGCAATAACCAGCAGCAGCAGCAGCGTAGCAGATCTTTTGTGCCTAGACCAAATAAATTAACATTGGCATCCATTACCATGCTAAAATCTTCAGAGAGTTCTCATGATAGAACTAAAATTAACCATGCTTTAGATGTATTTTTCATTGTTAGTTGATGTTAACTAATGTAATTAACTAATGCTAACAAATGAAACCTTATTTTAAAGTGTTACTCATTTTTCCTTTATGCATTCATATGAATTCAGACCTCAAATATTAATGTTGAGTAAACAATATTTAATATCTGTGTTATTTGTCAACTAACTGTCCATGATTCATGGTGAGACAAAAGGATATGTTGTCACAACTGTGTATTTGACATCATATGGGCTATTTTTTTCTACAGGCAGAATAAGCTGGAGGAGGCTCTGCTGTTCTCAGGTCAGTTCACAGACGCACTGCAGGCTCTCATCGACTGGCTCTATAAAGTGGAACCACAGCTTGCTGAAGATCAGCCCGTGCATGGAGACATAGACCTCGTCCTGAACCTCATCGACAGCCATAAGGTACCCACATGAGTTTGACTGATTTACACAACCTGCTTCTTCAATACTGAACTGTAGGACATGATATGAGTGAGTGAATGAATGAATGAAATTGATATAAAAAGATACAGATATCTAAAGTAATGATACAATATCATGAAAAACTACCACAATATATTATATGATTGTTTTGGCACAGCCCTAGATATTTTTTAATATTCTCTCATCATTTTCAGGATTTTAAAAACTTCGTAAGCACATTGTAAAAGAAATCCATGTAAATTGAACGGTGTATTCCAATTCTTCTGAAGAGACATGATTTGCTTTACTGGACGGATTTAATTTAGGCTTTTATTCACATATGTGACCCTGCAGCACAAAAGCAGTCTTAAGTCGCTGGGGTATATTTGTAGCAATAGCCAACAATACATTGTATGGGTCAAAATGATCGATTTTTCTTTTATGGCAAAAATCATTAGGACATTAAGTAAAGATCATGTTCCATTAAGCTATTTTGTAAATTTCCTACTGTTTTTTAAAGGTAATTTTTGATTAGTAATATGCATTGCTAAGAACTTAATTTGGACAACTTTAAAGGCGATTTTCTCAATATTTTGATTTTTTTGCACCCTCAGATTCCAGATTTTCAAATAGTTGTATCTCGGCCAAATTTGTCTTATCTTAACAAACCATACATCAATGGAAAGCTTATTTATTCAGCTTTCAGATGGTGTATAAATCTCAATTTTTGTAGTTTTGTGGTCCAGGGTCCCATATGAATGTTGATCAATCCGCATACATAGAGCACATCAAATAACTTTAAAGGCGATTTTCTCAATATTTTGATTTTTTTGCACCCTCAGATTCCAGATTTTCAAATAGTTGTATCTCGGCCAAATTTGTCTTATCATAACAAACCATACATCAATGGAAAGCTTATTTATTCAGTTTTGAGATGGTGTATAAATCTCAATTTTTGTAGTTTTGTGGTCCAGGGTCCCATATGAATGTTGATCAATCCGCATACATAGAGCACATCAAATACTGTAATCAACAGAAGCTTAAACTCAACCGTGCCCGAACAAATCTCACCTAAAATACTGTACAAATCTAGTTAAAAATAACAATAATTATATATGTTGATGACACAGGATATAACTTGTTGGGTACCGCACATGCTCATGACTCAAAAGAGCAGTTGTACATGACGGGACGTCCAGTCTGACCCATGCCATGCTCTGATCTCAGTACTGCTGCTGTGTGCATGTGCATGTTTCAAGCCTTGAGCAGCTTTCTTAAAATATCCGTCTGCGTGTTTTTAACTTCTTGGTTCTGTGGCAAGAATAAAATATAATTACACTATAGTATCATCAGAGGGAGAGTGATATGACCGATCCCACTGGTTTCAGTTAGAGGTGACAGGAGCGCTGGCAAGACGGACTCAAACACATCGCTAGAGTAGACATCAGAACACACTTGAGCTGATGAGCCTAGAGGTGACCTCATTCACGCTCGTAATTGAGGCCTTAGCCTGAGCAAATGGTCACCAGCAGTCTTCTGACTATGTTTGGTGCTGTTTACGCATGATTTCTATGGATGCAATCAAGAACTGGGTGATCTAGCTAAAATAAATTCCAGCTTTTAGACAAGATTCTATAAATATCTCAGCATTTATGTAGTCGCAAGATAAAGAAGGATCACCTAATTTGATTCATATTTCATACACCACATCATCAAAGTCACAGAGCCAACATCCTTTTTTTTTGTTGTAATGACCAATGCTGATGCAAAGTCATAGGCTACATAATTAAAACCTGGTGGTGTGCAAATGTCGTAAAACCTGGCTGTTGATAACGTTATGAGCGTGATTGATAGCAATGAACAAGTACCTCTTAACTGGTCCCTAATGTGATGACATCAGAGGTGGACATGGGCTTTGGCGTGACATACTGTAGACAGCATTACACAGGCACACAAAATGTGATTGATTATAAAAATAATTCACTAAATACTGGAAATAGTTCGTAAAAAACTGGTGTCTTGAAATCGAATTACAGCTTAACTGTTTAACCCAACATCTATCCATGCTATATACATTTTATGATTATTAGTGCATCACATTAGCATTAGGAGTTTTAGAAAATGCATATATATGATAATATTGCTGCCTATGTAGAGCTTTCCAAATCACTCATTTATGAGGTTCCATTTCAGTTCACAATATAGGTCAGTCTATATAGGCAGCTAAAAGTGGATGGGTTGAATGTTGAATGTATTTCTCCATGTGTACTGCAGGTGTTCCAGAAAGAGTTGGGCAAAAGGACTGGCAGTGTGCAGGCTTTGAAGCGCTCGGCCCGTGAGCTTATTGAGAGCAGCCACGATGACTCGTCCTGGGTCAAAGTTCAGATGCAAGAGCTGAGCACGCGCTGGGAGACGGTGTGCAGCCTCTCTGTGTCCAAACAGACACGGCTCGAGCAGGCACTGTGTCAGGTAAGACATGTCGTCTGTCAGCAGCAATCACGCTGCCAGATGTTACACTCATGACCGCTTTTAATAACAATTTTGACCGTTAGAATAAAACAAGCTACTGTAAAAACATCTATGTTAATTACCACGGTTATGATTGGCTAACCTTGCATGTCAAATTATTATCAAAACTAACTTACAAGTGTCAGAATTGCTGTCAGATCCAATAGAGTGTGTGTGCTGCTCCAGCCTTCAAAGGAAGTTTTTGTTTATGAAAGTAACAGTATGTTTGATTTCAAGGGTTTCAAGAGTGACGGAAAACGTACAAATATTAAAAAAAGAGAGAAAAAAAATTGTTCTTTGCGAATGCACATTTTTAACACATTTGTGCATCGTTCCTCAGGCTGAGGAGTTCCACTCCACTGTTCATATCTTACTGGAGTGGCTTGCAGAGGCCGAGCAGAGCCTTCGCTTCCACGGTGCCTTGCCTGACGATGAAGAAGCCCTCCGCGCTCTCATTGAACAGCACAAGGCAAGTTTCCTACAACAATGGCAAAGAATCCACATGAGAAAAATTTATCAGTGTGACATTTACCTTGTAAAACCTTTTAGTGGCCATAGCATATCAGTATTTACTGGCAAAAATGATGAGCCACAGTAAACACAAAAAATGAAATAGTATCTGTTCTACATTACAGCATTGAGTTCAAATGCAAGTGTGTGCCAGAGGGATCGTAATCTTTCCAAGACAGAACGTGTGTCTGTGTTTTCCACAACTCTTGACATTTTTTATTAGCTCCACTCATAATGTGAGGTAGTGATCCATAGCCCGGTCTCTCTCCACGTCCAACTGAGTAACAAAAGCCATACATGGCTTCAAATCTTTATTAACTACTGCTTGCCAGGAAAGAGTTCAACCCATATAGTGTGATCTCATATTCAATATCCAAAATAGTCTGTTCCCCGAGACATTATTCACGTCCACAGTTTGAGGAAGCAAACATCCTGGGAGATGATGGGGTTTCTCCTTAGGTTTAAACACCAGTTATTAATGATAGGTAGTAATACATAATCTCTGCATACTGGGAATAGGATGCCATCGATGGCATACATACTCTACATAATCATGTTTTTGAAGTAACATTTTTGAAATAAGTAATTTAACAAATTACATTTTAAATGTACACCATAATACTCAAGTAAATTTTTTTTCAGTTATGTATGTGGTCTAATATTTTTGTATTTTTGCTTTTTTTTTTGGTATTTATTTTTACATTATTTTAAAATGATCTCACCTTGCTATTTCACAGCCATTTATTTATTTGGTAAGTAGCCATGTAATAATGTATTCTTTGCATCAGGATCCTGATCACCCTGTCTGAGTATAGTTTATAATAGCTGACTGTACATTAGCCCTTAGATATTTATTTATTTATGCATTTATGTATTTATTTTACTGACAAACACGATTGAAAACCTTTCCTTTCCCCATAACTTATTCTTAGAGGCACCACTTTCAGTGTAGACCATTTAGTTGAATTATGTTATTAAATTATAGTGGAAGCAGTCTAGTTTGGCACATTGAGTCACAGCGCTTATTTGCATTGTGCACAGTGTCTGAGCTTTCTCTTGTAATTATCGAGCCAAATGCATTTCACACATCTAACTTTGCCCAACACTCGTCCTGAGGCATTATTCATGGCCTCGGATCATGCAGCAGTATTGCTGGAGATGGGCTGCTCTTTGTGTAACCATGACCATTTGCTAATGGAAGAATACATGCAGGAGTTTATGAAGAAGCTGGAGGAGAAGCGACTGGCCCTGAATAAAGCCACAAGCATGGGAGAGGCAGTCCTGTCCATCTGCCACCCAGACTCCATCACCACCATCAAACACTGGAACACCATCATCAAAGCACGGTTTGAGGAGGTTTGTCTATTTCTATAAGTTTTCTGTTATTTTCGAAAGCTGTGTGAAGGCAGCCAGATCAAGAAAATTTTGTGTGCTACCTCAAATATCTGGGCTGGTAACCAAAAGGTTGTAGGTCGGATCCCTCAATGGGTGATTCATAACTGTTAAAGGGGACATCGGATGAAATTTTCACTTTTATCTTTTTTGCATCTAGTTAGGTTTCTGGCGTGTCTGCCAGCTCAGAAAAACTGAAAAGGAAACACACAGCCAGTTCGTTATGGGCTGTCTGAGTCTGAAACTGTGTCATCCAGTGAGCTGTTTCAATTTGCAGCAAGTTTCTATGTAGCTAGCTAACTGTTTGAATAAGACCAACTCTTAGCCGGAGTCCAAGGCAGCAATTCACGCGTCTTGTGTCGACATGCCCCGCAGAAGAGAGGGGCGGGGTGAGCAGAGCTCATTATCATTTAAAGAGACATGCACCGAAACGGCTCGCTGTGAACAGAGCTGTTTTTGACAGGGTAAAAAGGGTGTTGTTTTACACAGGAACGTTAACCAAAGTATGTTGCAGACATTTCATGAAGACCCTAAAGAATCATACCAACTTGTGGAAAGTGGGCATCCGATGTCCCTTTTAACAGTCGACGCTGTCTACAATATGATCTGATTTCTGCATCTGTGTCAGGTAACAGCCTGGGCGCGTCAGCACCAGCAGAGACTCTCCAGTGCTCTGGCTGAACTGCTGGCCACGCAAGAACTGCTGGAGAACCTGCTGAACTGGCTAAAGTGGGCTGAAACCACACTCGGCGAGAAAGACAAGGAACCTCTTCCTCAAGAGTTAGAGGAAGTCAAATCGCTCATCGCTGAGCACCAGGTAGCATCAAGAGCTGTATGAAGGGCTCACTTTAACACCTTTACACAGTTAGTCAAAGTCTAGTATTATGAATTATAGAAACAGCTGTTTGTGTTTTTTGTGTACCAGACATTCATGGAAGAGATGACCAGAAATCAACCAGACGTGGATAAAATCACCAAAACTCATAAGAGAAAAGCCCCAGTGGATCCTCCGGTTCAGTCTCAAATCCCTATTCTAGGGAAAGGACGAACAGCCAGTGAGTACCAGCATCCAAGCTGAGTCCAGTTTCTCAATTCAGTTTGGCAAAGACTTCACATGGTCTTCACGACAGTCCTTGTTGTAGACTGTGCATGCACCATAGCTGGACCTCAGTGAACAATAGCAAGCTTTAGCATGATTTGAGCAAAATAAAAACTGAGCAGGATTTGATATTTAGGTTTAGGGTTCATTGCTAATTCTAGGGACTGGGGTAAGAGTTTGAGAAGAGGCTTGAAAGTTAGGGGTTGTGGTTAGGAGTAGGAATCAGTTTAGGGTTAGAGCATGGGATAGGGTTTGTTAATACCTTGGCAGTGTCTGAAATCGGATACTGTCTGAATAAGGTACCGGTGCCATATTGTTACCGGGTTTCGGTACCCAACCCTACTCTGACAGCAGGAGATGCTCATGGAACAGCAGATACAGCGTTTCCTTAGTTACTGCTGTAAACAAAGCAGTGCTGCGCTGAAACACTGCTTTAATGTGAATTATACAGAGACGAGATGAAAAGAAAATACTATCTAAACTTTTCTGGACAGTCAGTTCCCCTCATAAACACATTCATATAAACAATATTAATAATTCATCATATAAATCAATATTAAGGATTTTCTTCCAATAGTTCGTGTGTCATGAACAATGAATGAGCTGCCTGCTACAGTATTTTTCTCTTTGCGTCCATCTTCAGCGTCTCTAGTCTCTGTTAACGAGCGTTTACAGACTTATATTCTCATATAAATTACATTTTGGAAAATTATTGCATTGCAACGCAGTTTGTGTAAGTCCGTTACACAAGTTGTGTAAACAGCCAAAAAAAAAAAACGTCCAGTTGCTGATTGCGTAAGTTCCTGGGGCCGGTTGCACCAGCTCTACGTAAGTTACAACGTAGCCTAGTTTTGACGTAAATGGGCACTAAGTTACAACTTACGCACTACTAAATATTTTTTCGTTGCACCATTACACATAGTCGAAGTGCAACTTTAAAAATATTTACGGTAGCTCCTTCGGCCGTCATACACACACGTGACTGACTGCTCGCACCAACATGAGGGGGAGGGGTCGTGCTACTACCACTGATCTATAATAGAGATCTGGATTGCTCATGACGTCATAAAAGTGAAGCCGCAGCGCCACCATATTGGTATTCCCTAGAATTCCCATACATTCTATTGAATTAATAGGAATACGTGTCCTATACATTACCGCAGCGAATATCAAATGAACATGACATCCACAACATATGCTTTTCAAATGACTGTGCTCATGAAATCTGAATAAATATTTATGCTTTGTATTTATGCGTTAATTTACCTTACGTTCATTGTTACATTCATATGTAATATGTTGTTTTTTTATTCATACAGTAGGGTAACTGCAAATGTTTTTCTAATAATGGTTTCATTAACAGCAATAATTTTTTTTAGCAGTTAATGATTTAAACATCAGTTAAATTAATAATTAATTAAACATACACATTACTCCTGGAAACTGTAATGCTAAATGCCATAGAATTTGCGCCATCTTGAGGAGTCTGAAATAGATATTGCTCCCTCAGGACATAAAATAATACACGCATCATAACTTATTCAGAGAAAAAACATGGACTGCGTATGCTACGGACTTAAATACATGAAGCGTTATTTCCAAGATGATGTGTGGTAAGCTTTGAATTTCAATACAATATAGAACAATACAGTAACAGGCTTGTATTGTAATTTCTGTCATGACATTTCTTGGAGGGATTGGCATGGTAATGTACATGACAATGGTAATGTATTTGGTCTTGGCGGAATAGATCTGCTACGCTGCTGCTGCGACACAGTACAAAGACTTGCTACTGCCAATACATTCACAACATGCTGCTGTGAGAATGTAAGAAATATTGCTGCTGCAAATATAACTTACATGAAATAACCCTCATATAGTATACATGAATCACCTTGTAGCAGATCTATACAGGTGGAGCTGGGGAAGGTAGAGGGCTTCTGAAGTGCGCTGCAAACTGCTACAGCAAACAAAAGCCAGGTATTTGAATATTGAGCAAGCACATTGGCTACCGATACAGGAGAGAACCAATCAGCTGCCATGTGACAATGATGTCGCCAGGTCAGATTGAGCTAGACCTGTCGGACTGCGCCATCTAGAGTTTCATGCCAGAACTCTGTATATGTATTGTATATCCGAATCAATTTCAGATACTAATACCAGATATATATTAATGTTTAATATTTCCTGCATAATTACGTACATAAAGAAATATATTTTATGCATTTCAAGTGTGTAGCTCACACACCCACCTTAACAATTGCAATATAGCACTTATCCTGCCCGAAATGACCATAAATATTGCAGATAACATCTGAAGTAAAAATTAATTTACATACACATATCTTAAAAACTAATCCTGTGTGACTGATACGCTTCAAATCAGGTGATTTTAGGTCAGTGTTTTGGCTGTCAGTCAATGAAGCTCTCAGCCGGTAGGGAATAGTAAGATGGCGGCTCGAACATTTCCGGTGGCTTCCCCGTTGAATGGCAGTTTAGAACGCGATGAGCGATCCAGTCATATATATAGATCAGTGGTTACTACTCGTATTCCTACACTTTCAGTCTTTGCGGAGACATGAAAAACAGCGCATACCGCAGGAACGGTATAACGGAAAATGTTAGTGGTTTTGAAACCATGAAATTTTCAAACCGCGGTATACCTTGAAACCGGTAATCGGCCCATGCCTACTTATGACCCTTGATTTACTGTGTCTCATTTTCATCTCTGTCCTAGCTTGTACTTTTCTTAACAATGTTGTAACATTGCATAATGACACTTTCCTCGTTATTCTCTCCTTAGGATGAGCCACTTATGGCGTAGCTTAGGCCGTTTAGATAAAAGTACGAATGTAAATGTGTGCCCTTGAGCTAGATACTAAATGATTAAATAATGCTAATAATGTTGTAGACAAAAACATCTCCAGGTTTTGTAATACAGTCCACCAAACAGAAGTGCACTCACTGGCTGTTTAGGTTTGGCTGATTAAGCCCTTTGTTTGTTTGGTCATCAGGAAAGAGATCCCCTACGCAATCCATGTACACCGCAGCATCACAGGCACAAATCGAGACTAAGAACCCCCGAGTGAACCTGCTGGTCAGTAAGTGGCAGCAGGTGTGGCTGCTGGCGCTGGACAGGAGGAGGAAGCTCAACGATGCTCTGGACAGACTAGAGGAGGTCAGTCATACATACACACCTGACCTCACACCTGTCTCAGACTCCTGTCAGGTGCCTTCACACTCATTTGCTTCTTATCTGCCCTCAGCTGAAAGAGTTTGCCAACTTTGACTTTGACGTATGGAGGAAACGCTACATGCGCTGGATGAACCACAAGAAATCGCGCGTCATGGATTTCTTCCGTCGTATTGATAAAGACCAGGATGGCAAAGTCACAAGGCAGGAATTCATCGATGGCATCCTATCCTCAAGTAAGAAAAGATTTCAAACCGTGTGTTGTTTAGGTCTAAAGTCTTTCAGGCTGTACCCTCAATGCCTCTCTGGTGTATGAAATGTGCTATATAAATAAACTTGCCTTGCCTTGCCTTGGTCCTGTAGAGTTCCCCACCAGTCGTCTGGAGATGAGCGCTGTGGCAGACATCTTTGATCGTGACGGCGACGGCTACATCGACTACTATGAGTTTGTGGCTGCTTTACATCCCAACAAAGATGCTTATAAACCATTAACCGATGCTGACAAAATTGAAGATGAGGTAAATGTTATCAACTTACTTTCTGGAAAGTTTTACGCAATAACAAAGTATTAAGGAGAGTGATTCTTGTAGTTGTTTTTATGATTTATGACTTTGTGTTTAGGTGACTCGCCAAGTTGCAAAGTGCAAGTGTCCGAAACGGTTCCAAGTAGAGCAGATTGGCGCCAACAAATATCGGGTAAGTGACAGATTTTTCATGCTTTCTGGATGAGTCAAGAAAAAGATTCAGTATGGAACCCTAGGCTAATACAAGTGCAGAAGCCTGGTCATTGGTTTTTTCAAGTTTTTCAAAATAAAAATTCACAAGTCCCCCAAAACAATCCCAGTATTATTGGTTGTGAAGTTGATGAATGAAATATATTAATTGTTTGTCATTTTACAACAAAAGTATCTAATTTTCTCAAAACAGCATTCACCTCAGTGCTAGAAAAAAAATCCTGCTTTTATTACAAAATACGTTGTTTAAGTGGCAATAACATAATTGTATGTAACCAATCTAGCAAAGTTCATTTGGACATTGGCTGCATCCAAATCCTACTCAGGGAACCATGGTTACATAAGTAACCCGAGACGTTTTGAGGACAGGATGGAAACATGAAGTCTGGAAAGTTGGCAGAGTTCCACACACCCCTGTTAAACTGCTCCCCTACCCAAATCTCTCTGCCCCGACACTGCTGTTGCCAAAGAGAATGACTTCATTACATTTTTACGTGCCATTGCATTTTTCATTCTCTCAAGTTTGAGAGTTTCCCCCCCCGGTCCCCTTCTCTCCAATACTCCTGATAAACAGATCCCGTAACATTTGGTCACAGACAGCCATTCTGTTACTGCCCATAATCTGAGGGAATAGTACTGACTGGCTGGAGGCCTGTAACTGTGCCACTGGATGATAAGAACTAGAACTAGAACATCTTTTGTGATTTTTTTGTTGTTTTGTTTTCAAAAAATTTATTGAAATTTTATTGAAAATGTATTGAAATTACAGAATTTATTGTAAAAATGAAAAGGCCCTGATTCCTTGTATCAAAGCCGATATAAGGAATGTTTTGAGGACAGGATGGAAACATGAAGTCTGGAAAGTTGGCAGAGTTCCACACACCCCTGTTCCCCTACCCAAATCTCTCTGCCCCGACACTGCTGTTGCCAAAGAGAATGACTTCATTACATTTTTACGTGCCATTGCATTTTTCATTCTCTCAAGTTTGAGAGTTTCCCCCCCCCCGGTCCCCTTCTCTCCAATACTCCTGATAAACAGATCCCGTAACATTTGGTCACAGACAGCCATTCTGTTACTGCCCGTAATCTGAGGGAATAGTACTGACTGGCTGGAGGCCTGTAACTGTGCCACTGGATGATAAGAACTAGAACTAGAACATCTTTTGTGATTTTGTTGTTGTTTTGTTTTCAAAAAATTTATTGAAATTTTATTGAAAATGTATTGAAATTACAGAATTTATTGTAAAACAACAAAAAGAGTGAACTGATATTTATTAATGTTTGTCTTTTTGCTTTTCCCCTCCACATCAGTTCTACCTTGGAAATCAGGTATGCATGCACAGTGCTTTTTAAAGATTTGCTGTGCTGCCCTTTATGTTTTATCTGACTCACTGTCACTGTGTCTTTGAATTTCCAATATTTAAGGCTGTCTTTAACTCACAAGCGGATAAGCATATTTAAAGAACTTTTTAACTCTCTTCCCAAAGCTAGCCATTTCGTTTGTGGCATGGCTGTGTGCAAGTCTCCACTGGCATTGAAGCACAGTGGCTTGGGAAATGTATAAATACAGATGAACATTTCTACTTCCTTAATACTAAATGACACACAAAAAAAAGGTGTTTAGTGCTGATATTTCCTTAATATCTCTTATGTTGTGCCCTGAGTAATTTTAAGGCAGATTAATTTAGGCCTGAGTTAAACAAGCGCAGATATTTGGGAAATAGATTCTAGTCGACATGAAATCAACATTGAGCATTACTCAATCAATCAATTAAACTTTTTACAAAGTGTTATAACTTTTCTTAAACAACAGCCAAAGGCATATTAATAACATTTATTAATAATAAACAATTCTACTGTTTGTAGCTATTTATAGTTTACAACATAATGTAAACTTGGTGCAAACTTGTTGATGCAGTTTTTCTAAAATCTTGCCAGTAGTTAATACACTAATTTCATGACTGTAAATATATGCAGTGATAGGAATCAATTGGAATCTGTTCTACAGTTCGAGCATCAATTGTTCTACAGAAAAACAGCTTTTTTAGGGCATTTTAGGATGTTTTTATTTTTTAGAAACCATTTTTAGATTCAACTATCTGCTTTTGAGTTCAAATGCATTTCTCTCCGCAGCGTTGCATTCTGCTTTTTTATTATAATTTGCGACAGCTTTTGCAGCATAACACAGTATGCTTGCCTTCTGCTACCTGCTTAATTTACTTAAACTTATTTGAGTTCTTTTAACCACAGTTTGTGGCTGATGTTCAAACAAGCCAGAGCTTCAGGAGAAATTTTGAGCTGAAAGATGCATGATTCTCCCTACATAAAATCATGAGCTACATGCTTTCTCAGGGTGGTGTTTTGGGAAGATACGTGACTCTTAGCAGGTGGAGGGCTTTTATCGGGCAGGCCATGCAAACCTCATGTTTTTCTTCCTTTGTATTGAGAACTTTGTATCACATCAACTGAAACCATTCTTTTGACAGTTTGGTCTCGTTCACTGCTTACATGACCCCTTAATCGCCGATGAGACTTTAACAAACAGGGACAATCAAAATCTAACCCCCCATCTACACGTTGCCGTTTTGGAAAGCTGTATCCTGGTAAATGGTCATTCTTAAAGCCGTTTGTTGTGATTCTCTTGACTATTTCTCTTGATCATGCTTCAAAATTCATCTTCTCCTCCCCCCAATCACCAAATTCACCAATGGTATCGATTCATTCTGGGTATCACTTCGAGAATAAAGGGCTTGCAGGCCAGAGAGATGCTCAGCGGGTCACCATCAGTGTGTCGGTCATGTTGAGTTTCAGCGAGTCGATCTCAGCCATTCTTCCATATTGTTCCTATTGTGTGTGGTTGGAGTCGAGCATCAGTGTCAACACACGCATCCTCTATGAGAATGGTAGTTTGTAGTTTTAGACGGTGCAACTTCTGTATGCATATTTGGTTTGTGGAAAGACTTTCTCATATGATATGATTTATCTTTTGTTTTGTTTTTTGAACAGAAAGCATGAGGCCATAATTTTCTGTGCTGTGAAATCCGTATGCCTTGGCCATATCCAACTGGCAACAATCATTTGGATGCAACTCATTTGGCTTGTTGTTTTCTTTAGCTCCTATCTTTGGCATGGAGGGTGTAGGGGAATGCCGTAGAGTTATGCCCAAGTGTTCCCCTACGCAGGAAAACAGAGCCTCAGCAAGTGTAGAATGCACTTATAGCACACCCTAGTGGACACACTGATCACAGTCCTGTCCACCTTGTCTTAAAAGTGCACTAAGCAACTTTTTCTATTGTAATAAAGTTTCACGCATAAAGAAATTGATACAATTGTCAAATGTTTAACATGAGGTTTACTCCCTTGAGATGAAGACTTGTGTAATATCAGTTTTATTTAAATACATGTCAATACTGTTTGTTTGATTGTCATGAAGAGTAAAATAATTGCCTGTGCATATATAGGGCGACAAATATGCCAGCAAATTGGATATTTCTGTAATGGTGTTTACATAGTGCTTCATCCAGGCCCACAGGTGGCAGCATAAGTTCTAGAACCACTGTCGAATCAGCCAGTGATACAAACTCTGAAATGACTTTGTGCACCTTTAATGACATGCAGTGTACCACACCACCACACATGATCAGTCAATCATTAGCACAAAGCCACAAATGAAACCAGTTGGATTGACCACTCATTTCACGTCTTCTGGAATGAAACCAATGTTGTGTCTCAATCAAAATTCGTTTTGATCAAATGGCTCGGCAGGGCAACAAGAGGAAGCCAGAGATAAACACAACAGAAATAGCATCTAATTGGGAATAATAATGTTGTGATTTGACTCACTGCTTTTTCACCACACGTTTGATGGCTAGTTTTTTTTATTATTTTGAAAAGGGTGTTACAGGGCTGAGGTTTCTGATGTTGCTCTGCTGCATGCCTGTCACTGGCAAACACGACTGTATTTCAGAGGAATGACTGTGTTCTCTGTTCGTGTCCAGTTTGGAGATTCCCAGCAGCTGCGGCTGGTGCGGATCCTGCGCAGTACGGTGATGGTGCGGGTGGGTGGTGGTTGGATGGCCCTGGATGAGTTCCTGGTGAAAAATGACCCATGCAGAGGTAATGTCCACTTGATGTTGAACTCAACTTCAGCTTGTGGTGTTCAGACAGGTCTATTAAATGCATTGATATTGTGCATAAGAGAATTGTTCAACTTATTTATACACTGTATTTTACTCCCTCCAAGACAATATGTTGCAGACACAAAGGTTCTGTTCCAAAACCTAGTCGAGTTGCCTACGTAGGCAGCATTTTAACTCATCACAGACAAGTTCCCAATGCGAAGGCAGTTTCATTATTGTGCTGCTTTCTACGATGCCTTGTAATTCCAAAAGCAGTATGAGTGTTTCATGGAGAAGGCAATCGCATATTGCATTGACACAAGCTTCGTTCAGCACTGAAAAGAATAAAACAAAACAGTGTGGACCACTGGGTCACTTGTGAGGATCCATTTCAGTTAAGATGCTGCTTTAGGAGGAAAATGCCAGTGTAGACAACAGAAAGCAATGCAGCTCATTAGGTTTTGGAACCGAATTCTAAGTTTCCAATAATTAAAGCAATTTCATATTTAGAAAGAGAATGTTACTGATGGATATTCTTATTTCTTATGTAGGCAGTAATCATTTGTTGGGGCTTAATCTTTTCTTCCTGCACACTGTTTATGGGATTCTTAAAGCTTGCCGGTCTCTTCCCACGAAGGCTTTTCTTTCAGAATTTCCCTTTTCCTGCTGCTTTTTTAGTGAACCCAATTATCGTTTCTTCTAGTTCACCACCACGGGAGTAAAATGTTGCGCTCGGAATCCAATTCTTCAATTACTCAGTCTCCTATAGGTTGGCAACTCTCACACTTTCTCTCCTTGCTCCATCCCAGTGGTATGTGTGCATCCCAGTGTGTGTGTGTGTGTGTGTGTGTGTGCTGCGGTGATCCCTGAATGGTATTCTCATTAACATTAATCTCATGCTTCCCTTTCCATCGTGCTGTCTGGGACTGTTTAGCATGCGGTTTCGTGTTGCGTCATCTGTCCTCTCTGGCTTTCTCTGCATGTGCTTATTGTAGCTCTCGCATAAAGAAATTGATACAATTGTCAAATGTTTAACATGAGGTTTACTCCCTTGAGATGAAGACTTGTGTAATATCAGTTTTATTTAAATACATGTCAATACTGTTTGTTTGATTGTCATGAAGAGTAAAATAATTGCCTGTGCATATATAGGGCGACAAATATGCCAGCAAATTGGATATTTCTGTAATGGTGTTTACATAGTGCTTCATCCAGGCCCACAGGTGGCAGCATAAGTTCTAGAACCACTGTCGAATCAGCCAGTGATACAAACTCTGAAATGACTTTGTGCACCTTTAATGACATGCAGTGTACCACACCACCACACATGATCAGTCAATCATTAGCACAAAGCCACAAATGAAACCAGTTGGATTGACCACTCATTTCACGTCTTCTGGAATGAAACCAATGTTGTGTCTCAATCAAAATTCGTTTTGATCAAATGGCTCGGCAGGGCAACAAGAGGAAGCCAGAGATAAACACAACAGAAATAGCATCTAATTGGGAATAATAATGTTGTGATTTGACTCACTGCTTTTTCACCACACGTTTGATGGCTAGTTTTTTTTATTATTTTGAAAAGGGTGTTACAGGGCTGAGGTTTCTGATGTTGCTCTGCTGCATGCCTGTCACTGGCAAACACGACTGTATTTCAGAGGAATGACTGTGTTCTCTGTTCGTGTCCAGTTTGGAGATTCCCAGCAGCTGCGGCTGGTGCGGATCCTGCGCAGTACGGTGATGGTGCGGGTGGGTGGTGGTTGGATGGCCCTGGATGAGTTCCTGGTGAAAAATGACCCATGCAGAGGTAATGTCCACTTGATGTTGAACTCAACTTCAGCTTGTGGTGTTCAGACAGGTCTATTAAATGCATTGATATTGTGCATAAGAGAATTGTTCAACTTATTTATACACTGTATTTTACTCCCTCCAAGACAATATGTTGCAGACACAAAGGTTCTGTTCCAAAACCTAGTCGAGTTGCCTACGTAGGCAGCATTTTAACTCATCACAGACAAGTTCCCAATGCGAAGGCAGTTTCATTATTGTGCTGCTTTCTACGATGCCTTGTAATTCCAAAAGCAGTATGAGTGTTTCATGGAGAAGGCAATCGCATATTGCATTGACACAAGCTTCGTTCAGCACTGAAAAGAATAAAACAAAACAGTGTGGACCACTGGGTCACTTGTGAGGATCCATTTCAGTTAAGATGCTGCTTTAGGAGGAAAATGCCAGTGTAGACAACAGAAAGCAATGCAGCTCATTAGGTTTTGGAACCGAATTCTAAGTTTCCAATAATTAAAGCAATTTCATATTTAGAAAGAGAATGTTACTGATGGATATTCTTATTTCTTATGTAGGCAGTAATCATTTGTTGGGGCTTAATCTTTTCTTCCTGCACACTGTTTATGGGATTCTTAAAGCTTGCCGGTCTCTTCCCACGAAGGCTTTTCTTTCAGAATTTCCCTTTTCCTGCTGCTTTTTTAGTGAACCCAATTATCGTTTCTTCTAGTTCACCACCACGGGAGTAAAATGTTGCGCTCGGAATCCAATTCTTCAATTACTCAGTCTCCTATAGGTTGGCAACTCTCACACTTTCTCTCCTTGCTCCATCCCAGTGGTATGTGTGCATCCCAGTGTGTGTGTGTGTGTGTGTGTGTGTGCTGCGGTGATCCCTGAATGGTATTCTCATTAACATTAATCTCATGCTTCCCTTTCCATCGTGCTGTCTGGGACTGTTTAGCATGCGGTTTCGTGTTGCGTCATCTGTCCTCTCTGGCTTTCTCTGCATGTGCTTATTGTAGCTCTGTTGCAGTGCAGTGAAACTTGCTCAACAATCTCATCAATGCAGGATATGAATAATTCATCACATTAAACTGAACTATGCACGATAAATTAAATATGCGAAATTGTTTTTCTAAACGGCAGTCTCTGAAGGTTAATCCCGTTTAAGCAGCATCAATGTTTTTCTTTTTCTTTTTCTTTTTCTTATTAGATATTTTTGACAGTGATGTGCAGTGCATGCAAGTCATTCCCTACATCAAACCAAAGCGCAAAACTCTGAACCGTGTTTTGCTCATTTGAATGGGTGGCCATTATTCCCCAGCCTGGTTAAAGATACTTTCATAAAAATCAACCTTTCTGGTTGATTCTGGCTTTCTGAAAAAAAGTCCTTGAAACTTGCTTTGAAGGAATGTTTTGGGGTCGAAACAAGTTGAGCTCTGTGAACAGCATATGTGGCTTTTCCTTGCCCCTCCATTTGTTTACAGTAATTAGGGTGGGGGGATTCAATTGATATAGACAACTTTACAGATCAAATAATAAAAAAATGTACTCAATCGACTTACTGTGGTACCACAGATGTTGGCCATAGACCTCAAGTTGAACTAAAGCCATAATATTCCTTTGAATTTCAGAGGCTTATTTTCTAAACCCATGTGAAAGGTTTTGCTGTGGTCTTGCCTCCCGGCTCATTGCACTGTATGATCTTCCTCCAGCTAAGGGCAGAACCAACTTGGAGCTGCGCGAGAAGTTTATTCTCCCAGAAGGCACCACCCAGGTGATGGCCAGTTTCCGCTACAGAGGTCGAAGGTCACGACCGTCCTCAAGAGGCGCCTCCCCTAACAGATCCAATTCTAGTTACAGCTGTCCCGCACAACCCAACCCAACCGGCTCCAACACACCCAAGGTATGGATATTGTTGAATAAGGTTGTAGAGAAATATGTAACTTCTCCATGTTTTTGTCACATTTTCCTGTCGCCAATCATGAAGCTTGGTTCCAAAACCTAGTGAGCTTCTTTGCTGTCCGCTGACTACATAGGCAGTTGTTTTGTAAGGCAACAACCTGACTGAAATGAAACCAGAAGCACAGGTCAACAACTCAAGCATAGTACAAATAGCACATGGGAGACTCGAGTCAAGGTTGTTTTTAAGAGAGTTTGGTCACAGACTGTATATATACCAAGATGGTTCAGATATTAATTTGAATAGGAGAGAGTGCAATCCGCAATATGGAGGAATAAGTCCCGCCTTCTTTATAAAAGAGCCAAATTGGCATTTGGTAAAGTCCTCATGTCACTACAGCTGCTGTTAGGAGCCAGTCAGTCTCCTGAGACACTTACCAATCAGAAATATACACTTTTTCATGCTGTTTGAGCAAAAGAAACAACATTTATGGGGCACTTAATTTCAGATTGTATTGCTGATTTAATATATGGCACTTAAATGTGACTTTGGCAAGCAGTTTTTGAGATTTCAATATTTTCCCATTTAAGTATCTAAATAAAAAGTGCCAAAATGTGGGTTATGCACAATAACCACTCAATATGACTTCAAAGTAGATACTAAAGATGAGCATAACCCATGGCCATCACATATCCAGGTTTTTTTTTTCTTCTTCTCACTAACATTTGGATAATAAAATCAAAGAATAAAAAGGACTTGTGCATAAAAAGACATAGCACACTTGAAAATTATGTAAAAAAAATAAATTTGTATAAGTATTTAACTATTTTTTTTATCAATATTTAGAAGTATTCATTCAGCATTAAATGAATTATGTTTAACTTTTGAATTTCTCATGTCATTTTTCATATCAAATGGCAAAAATAAGTTATTTTGGAAGGCAGCGTAGAGCGCAGAGTGTATCTATAACATCTTAGAATGCTGTCTTATGTGGGGAGCTCACTAAGATTTGGAACAGAGCCATGCATAGCCCCATCACTGATATATATAATTATTTCCTGTATTGTCTGTCTTTTTTTTCTATTGCTACCCTTCGTATGTGGTTTATCCACAATTGTTTCTCACAGACTCCCCAACATTTAACCCGCAATTATGATAAACCCTGGCTGACAAACAGCAAATCAGCTACTCCTCTTAAATCATCTGACTCCTTTGACAGCCAAGGGTCATCCAATGAGGTATAGTGCTTAAGAAACGAGTGACAAATCCCCATCTAATCTCCGTCTCCTGCTCCTGACCTCTGTCTCTGCCTTGTTACTGATCTAATTGCTTCCTGTGTGGATTTGGGATTGAGTTAAATCTCTTTCTCTGGCTTTGCAGTGATGCATGGAAGTGGTCCGTTATTAAGGCGGATCTGTTTGCTTCAGTCCTCTAATTCATGATCTTTTTAGACCTCTCTTGCGCAAAGAGGGTGGTGTGATTGTCTTAAATCAAATCAGCTTGATACACAAAGGCCTTTTCTAAACATCACCTTCAAGCACTAACTGCAAAATGAATATTTTTCTGTCCTCTTGCCACTAAAACGTGATGCTTGTGAGATCTTTTCTACATCCTGAACTCTAAAATGATTTCTTCTCTTTCTCCTGATGTGTATGACTGGTTTTGATTCAGCGTAGGCAGTATACTGCAATTTTCTTGTCTGGCGTGCATTTATTCAGTCATTCTGGCCATGAACTGCACACACTGCAACGTTTTGGGATGAACAAACGCATTTAGATGTGGGAGTGATATGAAATACAGAAGTCACTCCTAAACCAACCTCTGTCGAGCTAAATGTTTCAGTCAGGGTTTCTTTGTGCTTGCTTTCGTCAAATGTGTTTCAGTGCAGTTTCATTGCCAGCATGTTAGAGCAGAAACCCACTGAGTGTATCTGCATCTTAGAAAGCTCCTCTTGGCCAAAGGTTGCTGTTTTTATTTGTGTCAGTGAACAGTCTGTTACATGCCTCCTCATTGTCCTGATCTAATCGTTTCTAAATCATGACATCTTACAGAGCACCCCTATTCAGGGAAGCAAGCTTCGTCTTCCAGGCTATTTGTCAGGAAAAGGCTTTCAGTCGGGAGAGGATGGGACCTTGATAAACGTTGCAGTCATGAAGGCCAGAGGTCAAGCCATGGGTGAGTCCGACACACCTTCTGCTCTTCATCAAGTCTTGCTGCTGCTACTGTGCGATATATTGAACATTCACAAAAAACGACACTGATTTTATTGGACTCCGGCTTTGCTGCACTTCATGTCTCTTGTTATTATGAGACTATAAAGATCAGTTTCTGTTTTCAGATCCGTCAAGTACTCAACTATGCATCACCCAAAAAAGAACACAGAGCAATATTTTTAAATGTTATGTTAAAGAAATATTGAGTTAAATATTGCTGTCTAATATGAATAATAATATTTGAATATAATAGAGCTGCCCCCACCTAAAGAGATTTCTAGTCGACTAGTAGTTTAAGCCATTAATCGCACATTTAAATTAATTTAATTACTTGCGTTTAAACGCACGTATATAGCTTGCCACAAAGCACCCACAAAAGTAATGACTATGAATGTGTTGGGGAACATAGCCAGGATATATAATTATTTATTAATAAACTAGTGTTTTCCCAGTCAGTGTGTTGGCTGCAAAGATGAAGTTGACGTTGCAGTTTAGTGAACGCACAGAAATGCACCTTCCATACGGATTACGGATTTGTTTTCGTTCAGAAGTACACATTTCAAGCTTTCTATAGATATATTTCTCATTTCTGTGAGGCAAGTAGCCTATAAGCTGAGTTTCAGTTCGCTCCAGTGCACAGAGACCGAGACGGCACAAAGCGCATCCTGTTTGTTTTCTCTATTTTACAATAGCACAACGTCTTGTTGATGTTGTGAGGGAAAATAAAGTTGACAGTTTCGAATTATGTATTTCTTGTATCTGTATAAGCAAAAATGACTGCATATTTTAAGTTGTTTTCGTGGTTATCAAGAAAACAATTGTGCCGGTGTCATGCAGAACGCATGCTAATAGCTTCCGCATTCCACACAAACACTTAGCGGCCATGTAAATTTGCTACTTCTTACATGTTTCAGTTTCAAATGATAAGTCATATTTGAGGTCGATGAATGACAGGCGAACGTTTGGATTTCCTGCCCGATATACTGTAATTATCACAAGGACCTGCCGTTAACCATCTGTCCCTCACAAATTATGTGACTTTGATCGTTTTTTTTTCTGTGACCAACCATCTAATACAATTTTGGTTGAATAAGCCTCTTCTCATCGACTAAAGTTTATTCACCTTTATTTATACAGTGCTTTTAACAGTACAGATTGTGTCAAAGCAACTGTACAGCATTAATTAGGAAAATAGTGTGTCAATAATGCAAAGTGACAATAGTAAACACTCATTTTTCAGTTAAAGGCAGTTCATCATTGAATTCAGTGATGTCATCATCCAGCTCAGTTCAGTTTAAATAGTATTTGTACAATCAACGATATCGCTGGAAATGAAGTGTCCCCAACTAAGCAAGCCAGAGGCGACAGCGGCAAGGAACCAAAACTCCATCGATGACAGAATGGAGAAAAAGCCTTGGGAGAAACCAGGCTCAGTCGGGGGGCCAGTTCTCCTCTGACCAGACGAACCAGCAGTTCAATTCCAGACTGCAGCAAAGTCACATTGTGCAGAGGACTCTCTATTAACTATTATAACTATTAAGGGGGCAGCCCTAGAATATAATCTACTGTATGTCTATATATATGAATAACAATTTCTTATTAAAAAAATTATATATATATATATATATATATTTATTTTTATTTATGTATTTTACTCATTTATTTAGTGAACAGCAGTGTATAAAACATGATTTTTCTGTATTTTACTTTTAAATTAAAGATTTTTAATCTACATTTGTCAACAGTGGTTGTTTGGATGATATGATTCTAGTTCTTTTGGGAAACAAAATCTAAATGCATATCAAACATCATTAAAAAGCTGAAAAACTATCAATAAATACTTTTTTTTTAATCTTAGTGATGAGCCATTATGTGGATGTCAGTATCATAGCTCTGAGATGTAACTGGCTGTGAATTCTCTTCTCAGGGTTGAGTAAGATCCCAAGCAGGCCTGGCAGCAAAGCAGGAAGCCGCGGGAGCAGCCGCCGTGGCAGCGATGCCTCAGATTTGGGAAACAAAATCTAAATGCATATCAAACATCATTAAAAAGCTGAAAAACTATCAATAAATACTTTTTTTTTATCTTAGTGATGAGCCATTATGTGGATGTCAGTATCATAGCTCTGAGATGTAACTGGCTGTGAATTCTCTTCTCAGGGTTGAGTAAGATCCCAAGCAGGCCTGGCAGCAAAGCAGGAAGCCGCGGGAGCAGCCGCCGTGGCAGCGATGCCTCAGACTTTGATATTTCAGACATCCAGTCGGTTTGCTCGGACGTGTCGGAGACAGTGACAGACTCAGGACGCCCGACGCCACGCTCAGCCTCACGCCAACACGGAGGCAAACACTCCAAAATCCCAACTCCCCAAAGGAGGAGCACTCCTACTAGCAAACTGGCTAAGAATACCAAGAGATAGTCAACAGTCCAGTCCACAGAAGCGGCCAGGATCCGGGCCTCTGTTCTGACAGCACTGGGTTAGCGCACACTAAACCGAGACTGGACAGATGTAGATTCACACTACAGACTGCAAAGTGTTATTGATTTAAAAAAGCGTAGCAAGATGTAAATTATTCTGTTGTGGAAAAGGAGGTTCATGTGGAGTGTATGTGTGCGAGTGTGTGGAATGCAGTGGCTTTGTGCATTTGTCCTGTACTTTATGTGACTGTTGCGTCATTAATATTTTGTTTATTGCTGGGAAAGGCCAGCGAACACAAGAAGACTATGTTGTTAGGTAAACTAACACTTTTCCACATGTTTGTGTTGAGGGAGAAGCTGAATGTACAGTCATTTCTTCCAGCGGACATGCTTGTTGGTGATAATATGCCTTTGTATTCTGCCAGGACACAACAATTATTTATTCATCTATTTAAAGTGCAATGACAAGCTGTTATGCATTTAAAGGGCAATACAATACCACTGCTACACTACAACTGTAATCCCTGCTATCATACACTACAGTTAATCCAGATCATGGCCTTTAAACTTGCATATAAAACCCCCGTCTGTAGCACCCGCAGTAATGTTCGTTTCGATCAAATCACAGATTGCGTGCCACTTTACTGTGACTAGAACTTTCTGACTAAAAACATTCATAAGTGCAATCATGCCTGTGTACTCTATGGTTCCTTTTTGCCTGATTGATCCAAATTACTCAACTTTTTGTAATAAATATGCTTGCAGAAAGCTCGACAATATATACAACCTTCAAAGTCTCACTTGTTTCCATCTGTCCAATGTATCTGACTAACATCTGAACAAAGACGCATTTTGACTGAGTTGCATTTACGCAAAAATGTCTCAGGCCTGCGATTAACAAGTCTTAAAGGGATAGTTCACCCAAAATGAAAATTCTGTCATAAATTACTCACTGATGCCACATGGACTATTTTAACGATGTTCTTACTACCTTTCTGGGCCATGAAACGTTTCAGTTGCATTGCTATCTATGCAGTGTCAGAAAGCTCTCGGATTTCATCAAAAATATCTTAATTTGTGTTCCAAAGATGAACGAAGGTATTACGGGTTTGGAACGACATGAGGGTGAGTAATTAATGACAGAATTTAAATTTTTGGGTGAACTAACCCTTTAAGAAGAAAATAAAACATTTTATGAGACTAAAGTGCATTGTCAGCCTCGTAGCCTGTGGCAGTCCCTTTGCCAGTAAATAGGACCAAAAAAGAAAAATCTTGCGTAAAGATGCCAGATGGTCTTTAATGTTGTTTGGATTAATGTTAGTATGTGGGAGTATAATCAGATGAGGTGATGTGAGGTCAGTGATGCCGTGGAGTTAATCCTCAACATCCTTCTATAGGATACGGAAACCTAGCCCTGCACCACAGCAGACAGCAGGGAGAAGAAAAAAAAACTTCTGGGTAGTAACCCAACCGCTGGGTCAAAACAACCCAATTGCTGGGTTTGTACAGAGGTGATTCGGGCTCATAACAGTTTGATGACTGAAAAATTATTTGAAAAATATGTTCACAGTGAGCACACTTCATATAGGGGTTTACTGTAATTTTGACCAGTTTGTATATGTCATTTTTAAGATTTAATTAAAAAAAATAGATTAAAAATTGTTAAATAACTGTAAGGGGGTTCTGTTGCTGTTATAATTGCTCTAATAGATACTATCTTATATACAATCATTCCCACTGAGGCCTGGTCAGTTTGTGGCCTGCAGAATGTTTGCAGAGCTCTGCTAGTGCCTATCTGCGACATACTACATCTGTCTCCTAGTGCACTATCTAGACAGTGATCCACTCTCTGCTGTAAACTTAACAGAGATAGTTTGACTTTGCTTGCCACTAGTGCCCATCCTATCTGAAGGTTCAGCAATTTCAGCATTTTATTGGTCTGCCCAAAATGTAAACAATAATATACAGTCTACATGTTACGAATGCGATTCGTATAAAAATCTAACTGTCATTTTTGGGGCAGCAACCATAGAATATGCACAAATCTGCATGATGCATCTATCACTGTAAAAAATGATCGTGAATTTAATGGTAAAAGACTGTAAAAATGCTACAGTAAAAACCTGTTAAATGGTTAACGGTAAATTCCCCTACTGTATACGGTGAAAAACTGTACTGGACATTACATGTATTGGACATTAATTTTACGGTAGTATACCGTTTTTGGAAGTGGAAAAAGACCGTATAATTTACAGTGAATAACTGTAAATTGATATTGCCAGAATTCCCTGCGTTACATTTCAAATGTGATGTTTTTTTGTTGAAATAACTATGTTTCTTATTTTTTTCTTATCAGTTTTGTATATTAGCGTTGTGTGTTACACTTAATGTTGTTAAATGAATGTTTATTGCATTATTTCAGTTTCATGTGTGTTACCGTGATGGTGTTTAGTGTTTGTGTGAATGACACTGTGCACCTTCTATATATGTTAGTATATAAAAGCTGCTTGTGATGGGCTTTGGTTCATCATGTGACTTTCTCATCACCTCCTGCATTTGGTGGTTATCAGTGTATTACAAAGGTACAAAACAGATTTCATTACTTCAATAGGTTGGTATATTAACATTATATCAGTTAATGAAATTACAGTATTTAACTGTAAATTTAAGTTAAAACCGTAAAACCTAAAACGCTGCTACCATATTTTTAAGGGTAAAATTCCGGCAACCACAGCTGGCGTTTTTTTTACTGTAAATTATACGGATTTTTCTTTACAGTGTATGATGCAGGTGCCTAAACCTGAAATGATCATAAACACACCAACATGCTTAAAAACGTCCCCAAATGGCAACATCTGACTGCAGAAGGATTGTGTGAAGAATGTGGAGGTCAGTGTTTGCATAGGATAATGTGCTGCAGGGATGAAGGCCTGTTGGGCCCGAGGGTGGAGTGGAGCTCATGGATCAGGTTTTCTTCTAAGCAGGTTTAGGCTGAAGTCAACGTTGGGACCAGAGATGCTTCTTTAAAATTGCCTTTATGATCACTGCTGGAACAGCCAAGGAACAATCTGCAGTGAGCTTGCGTCAGAAGAATATGTAAGTAAAGGACGTATGTTTATAGCAGATATAAAACTAAAAGTAACTGCTGTTTAGTTCATTTAAAATGTGAACTTCTGAAGGTGGCGTATCACACTCGGTGTTAAACCATTATTATTCAGCATTTGTTCTGTGCATGAACTTTTCATGGTTTATATTGAGAAGTTGAATACCAGTGTACTGTACTGTTTATTGCATCAATGTATATATTGGTGTTTTTTCAGCACTGATTGTCCGAGATGTTCAATCTCCTTATAAGAAAACGGAAATATTTACTTTAAAAGAGTGCTTACACAGAAATCATTGTGTGTGTTTAATCATAACAGAAATTCATGTAATTAGACACAAGTACGTTTTGGAGAAAATGTGAATTGCATCTTGCATTGTGTCATTTCACAGCAGTAATCTCATTTAAAATGCATTATATAATTTAATATCACATTTATGTTAATAGCAGAATTTTGCTCGTGCTGTATACTGTTGTATTCCATTTTGTGAAATTTGTATTTTCAGTGGGTGTTTACCTAATATATTATTTTGTAGTCCAATTAAACAGGGTCTACATGTCAGTGCTATAAAGTTTTCACAGTTGTTTGTTCAATCTTATTTGCAATCTTTCTCCCTTTGCAGGCACATTTAAATTCCAACCATCTTCATTTCTAAAGTTCCAGCTTTGAACAAAATGCTGGTTATCACAGTCCTGCTGGCTGTCTTTGGCCTTGTCAGATGTCAGGAGTTACCAAGTAAGAATCTAACTGACTGCAAAGTTCAGTATGTCAGTATATTTACGTAAATGAAACGGACCTCAAATTTGAAGAGAAAGTATGATTCTGAAGGTAATCAGACAGCAAGGTATCACAGTGAAATCAATATGGCTATGAAAGAGTATGTTTGCTCCTCTTATTGACCAGTAGAGGGAAGCACGGACCAGTTTAAATCATTCCTGTCCAGTACATCATTATCCATGCAGTAGGGCTACTTGATGAAGATTGAACTCTGTCTCTGTCAATTGTTTTTATTTTTATTTTTTTTGTGGAAACTGATCTGTCAGTTCAATTCCAAGTCTAGATTCCGTATAAATATCCAAACCCCCCCCCCCCCCCCCCCCTTTTTTTTTTCCTCTAGCACATATCACTAGAGAATAAATCATGACTTAGACTTAAATTAATTCATTGCATGTTTTTTTTTCCATTTATACTGTCAAACACCATCAAAGTTTTGTAGCTTAAGTAAATCCATAAACTCTGTCAGACCACTGTAAATAAAGAAAATCTTGGCCTCTTTTAAAATTCAGTTTGGAATATTACAGAGTGAAATCGGCCTTGAATTTCCCTCCTTTTATTTTTAGCATATGACCTGTTGGAAGAGTTTGGCTTGTCCGAGTCTAGAGGGGTGAGAAGGGTCAATGGGTCTGAAGCTGACGCGGTGGCGTACCGTGTTAACCCGTCCCTCCACCTCAAGAAGAGCACAAGGTATTTATATCGTCCTTCTGACATAATACTTTTCCACTCTTTCTGCTTTTCCACTGAGCGTAATCATGCTCGCCTCCAAACAATATTTCTCATTTCCTGCTCCTGCTTCCCAGAATCTTCCACTACTATAATCTGGGGTTTGATTTGAATTTGATCAGATATATGCTCACGTTATATAGCATGGATACAAAGAGCTGTCTGTTCCTAAACAGCACAGTCATTGCCCTGAAATGTTGGCATTATATGCTCGTGTCTTTCTCAAGCATCAGCAGCTGTTCCTGCGTGTCAGCTGTGGGTACGGCATGTACTGGGTCTTTCCTTTTGTGCGTGTGGGCCAACAGTGCTGTCCGCAACTACCTCCCACTAACATCCCCTACTTGACCAAATAATCATGAGAAGTACATGGCTGTAAAACAACCACCAAATGTCGATGCAAAATGTGATCAACAACATCTAAAGAGAAAACGAGAGAGCTGTAGAACCACAATGAACACTGTTCTTGAAAACATTAACTACTAATTTCAACAAATTGGTTCTCTTTAAAAACAAACAGGAGCAGAAAACTGAATTGGAAACAATTGGAGACCATTTGGTTTAGATTAATGCAAAACTTCACATAAGGTCACTGCGAGAGACCACTGTTAAACAGAAAACACACCAAAATTTATCAAGCTATTACCATGTTTATTAGCATGGTAACCATCCAGTACTGTACCTAAATATATATCAAAGTACCATGGTGTTTTACTGTGCATTAGTGTTGGGGATTTTTCAGTGACTCTTACAGTGGGTAGGCAGGTCTTAATGAGTGTCTTAGTGAATTATTCACACCACTACTTTGTTTTGTTTGGAGATGTTCACTAGTTGATTGTTCTTTGGCTTTGTTTGCACTGAAATATCCCTTTTATTCATTTCTCTTTTCCCTGTGAACTGCACATATGCTCTCACCCATCTCTCCATCCAGCAACATCTACCCGGGCGGTCTGCCATCTGACTATTCTGTCATCGCCACCTTTAAAGTGCCCAAGGACACAGCTAAAACATCCTGGAATCTGTGGCAAGTCAGTGATCCTGAAGGCCGGGACCAGGTGGGCCTTCGTTTTCAGGGCGACACTAGAACCCTGGACTTCTTCTACACCAGCCCGCAAGGCACACAGATGCTGCGGACCTTCCAGAGGGTGAAAAAACTCTTTGACGGTGAGTGGCACAAGCTGGCATTGAGTGTAAAAGGAGAGCAGGTGAAGCTGCTGGTGGACTGTGAGGAGGTCAGCGTGGAGCCGCTGGATGAGCCGCGGCCTGTGATCCGTCAAGGTTTTACCTCCATCGTCAAGAGGGCAGTAGGTGACCGCTCGGTTTCGGTGAGTACCAGGGACAAGCACGAGTATTGGTTTACCAGAATCAGGTTGAGGGGAAATCCTGTCATTATTTACCCACCATTCATCCAATCAATTCAGGGGTACGCAAAAGGACTTTTTATATTTAGATTTATTTGTGGCATTTTTGCCTTTATTATGAAAGGATACTATGTTGACAGGAAGTGAAGTTGGAGAGAGAAAGAGAGAGAGAGAGAGAGAGAGAGAGGGAGAGGATGGGATCGGAAAAGCCAGGATTCGAACTCGGGACACCTGAAGTGCAACAGCGCTATGTATAAAAGGACTTACTTTGGAGGAAAAAATAACTAATTTTAGTTCAATTTTATTTAATCGATGGGCGATTTAAGTCAAGTCAAGTCACCTTTATTTATATAGCGCTTTTAACAATACAGATTGTGTCAAAGCAACTGAACAGCATTAATTAGGAAAATAGTGTGTCAATAATGCAAAGTGACAATAGTAAACACTCATTTTTCAGTTTAGACAGTTCATCATTGAATTCAGTGATGTCATCATCCAGCTCAGTTCAGTTTAAATAGTATCTTTGCAATCATTTGCAATCAAGTCAACGATAATCGCTGGAAATGAAGTGTCCCCAACTAAGCAAGCTAGAGCCGACAGCGGCAAGGAACCAAAACTCCATCGGTGACAGAATGGAGAAAAACCTTGGGAGAAAACAGGCTCAGTCGTGGGGCCAGTTCTCCTCTGACCAGACGAAACCAGCAGTTCAATTCCAGACTGCAGCAAAGTCAGATTGTGCAGAGGACTCGTCTGGTTCCTGTGGTCTTGTCCCGGTGGCCGTCTGAGACAAGGTCTTTACAGGGGATCTGTATCTGGGGCTCATCTAGTTGTCCTGGTCTCCGCTGTCTTTCAGATTTACTGGTCTTCTGACCTATTGCTAAGTTTGCAAATGAGTAGCAAATGAGATTTGTGAAAGTCTTTCAGAGTTGCTTTTATAGATGACCTGCTTTTTCATTAAATTAAGTGTAGTAAATACTATTAATGAAATCACAGATAAATATATAAATCATTCAATTTAAATAAACTTTAGTTCAAGTATATTTTCCAAGTATGCTGTATGTTCAAAGTACACTAGTAGTATACGTAAGTGTACTATTTTAATATTTATTGAGATTAATTGGCTAACTTTTTAGTTTATAAACATATTAGTGCTGTCAGATGATTAATTGCATCCAAAATCAAAGTTTTTGTTTACATAATATATATGTGTGTGTACTGTGTGTATGTATTATGTATGTTTAAGAAAAATATGGTGTGTTTATATATCAAATATATACATATATTTAAATATATTTCAAATATATACATGTATGTCTGTTTATTTATATACACATAATAAATATACACAGTACACACACATATTTTATGTAAACAAAAAATGTCTTTTATTTTGGATGCGATTAATCGCGATTAATCGTTTGGCAGCACTAAAACATATAAATTTAAATGTAACAGGAGTAGACTTTGAGTACACAACTAGTTTACGTCAAAACATTTTATTTCCTATTGCAACTATACAAGTGAAGTATACTGTTCATACTGTAATTGCAGTTTACTCGTAAATAATCGTAAATAAAATCAACCAAATGTACACTATAAAAATAGTAAACACAAGCCAAGTATACTTAAAATACTTAATTATACTTAGTATATCTTGATCATAAAAGGCTGAGTACAGGTATAGGTCAAATATACTTTGACCTTTTTGTATACTAGTGTGAAGCCAAGTCGATATAAGCCAAGCACACTTAAGTATAAATTTAAATATATATCTGAAAGTAGACAATGTATACTCTCTTATTTTTAGTTTAAAAGAAGTATACTAATAGCACACTTGAATAAGCTTCTTTTTTTGCAAAGGCATTCTAAGTAAACGAACATTGATAGGCTATACATTGAACCTCTGTGCTTGTGCAGCTGGATCTGCAAAAGATGGAGGTCTCCTGCGATGCTGATCAAGCTTACTCTGAAGGCTGCTGTGAACTCTCCAGTGTGGTGAGTCAGCTGCCCCGTGTGTGTGGGCTCTTGCCCCCTTCTGCATGTGCTTTCAGCTGATCGTCGATCTGTTCTGATTAGCTTGTTCCTCAACAGTGCGGAGGATATGCTGAGATTGGTTTAACTGCAGGAAGAGGAAGAGCCACTTGTAAATGCGTACACGGACAGCCGGGTGTCCAGGGACACCCAGGACCCAAGGTGGCCAAAGTCAAAGTTCACTCTTCCTAAACAACAACCCTTTGTTATGCAATCTCTACAAGTGTATCCTTCTTCCGTAGGGTCACATAGGCCTGCCAGGAAATCCGGGAGATCCAGGCAGAGTGGGAAACTGGGTAAGAGTTCTGTCTGAAATCTCTCACCATAATGTGGGACACTGCAGTGTTTGAGTTGGACAAACAACAAGCACTAGTCAATGGTCATTAGGGTTTAATAAGAGGGTTTTAATGGACAAACATGCATAGTCAGGAATGAAAGCAAGCAGAGAGGATTGAAAGGAGAGAGGGAATTAACCTGGAATAGATCCTGCCTGTGAAGTGAAGCTGTGGAAAATGGAAGTAGAAGCATTACTGAAGTACAGCATGATGGAAACAAGAGTCAGGACTCGCTTGAGAAAATGGTAAACACTGTGGCTTGTCTCATTCGGCAGAGCATCCTGTGGTAGATTTTTATTTACTGACAGCAGCAGTAATTACTGTCAGTGATAGGCTGTTGCTGCAGTATGCTAGCTAAAGCCCATCATAAATGTTATGTATGTACTTGCGTAATAATTATGTGGTATTTGAAAGAATTAAGAATGTATAAAGAACACCTGTGCACAGCAGTAGCACTTAAAATTGCCACTTCCAGACACTTTTGTAAGGACAAACCGAGGAGGTCTATAATACCTGGTGAAAACTATGTAAGCTTGTTAACTATGTTAGTAAGACTACATTTAATGGCTGACTATAGAAAAACTGACCTGAAGCCCTGATGAGGGTTAACAGTAGCATGCTATCCAGCCAAAACCTCAACACTTTGGGATAAACACAAAGGTTTCTTGTCACTTATCTGAGACATGTCTAAATTCTAAATTTCTTGCATACACTGGAAAGGTTCAACCATCTCTAGTTTTCTGGGAGGGTTTCTAAGTGCTTGTCTTGGCTTTTTTTCAGACAAGTAACAAACAAGCATTTTTTGGCATATATTGTATGACTCAAATCCCTTTAGCTGTTTTTAGTCTGAACAGCAAAATACCACATAATATCCCAATTTTACAAACCCGATCCACACCACATCCATATGTGGTTTGAAATCTGATTAAAATCAGGCTTTTATATATATATTATATTTATATATATTTATATATATAAAATTTCAGCATTTCAGATACGTCTGATACATCTCATGAGTTCAGAAACATTGTGAGATGTCATGATGGACATAAGCAGAAGCAAAGTTTACAGAGGCAAAAATGTCAACTTTGACAGTGTCCCCAAAAAACATTTGGCTTAAAAACTGGAAATAGGAGCAGGAAGAGCAATGCTAAGGACTTCATCTTTCTTAATTTACTGTAAGCACATTGTGGGCCAAGTGCCAGCTGTATCACCACAAACACAAACACCATTGCTCAATTGGTTAACTCACCTAAACTGTAAATAACACAGGAAGGATAGCGAATTTCAATTTAGATACACTCTAAAAAATGCTGGGTTGTTTCAACCCAACTTTGGGTCAAATATGGACTAACCCAACTGTTGGGTTAAATTTTTACATTCAATTTTTAACCCAAAAGTTGGGTTGAAACAACCCAGCATTTTTTAGAGTGTAGATATTTGATTAAGACAGGCTCTATTTCTCCTCCATTACTCCTCTATTACATCTATTACTCCTCTCTGCTGGCCTGGAAAAGAAAGATAGCTCTAAGTAATGTGACAGTAGCATGGTACAGTACATGGTGATGGTGTCAGATAAAATATTGTAAATACTACTCATCCCATGCATTTGAACGAACAGTGGTTTGTGGCTTCTAAAACACATATTTCACAACTTAAGAGCTCATGGCAGTTCTTGAAAGGTTTGCATATTATCATAATAAAACAAATTCTACGTGGAAAAAAATAACAACAGTATTTTACTTCAAGAACCCTACTGTTGCACTCTGACTTAAAAGTTCAGACACACCAAGCGTAACGTGAGTAAATTATTTAAAAAGCTTCCAGAATCATTATATTTATGGTACACCCCGCTTGCTTTTGAGTTGCAGTGGTATAAATAAATAAATGGAAAAATCAGTTGTGGCGTCAGTCTCTGACTCTCTGAGACAAATTCAAAGGGAGCAAAGCCTTTAGAGTCTAAACTGGCCCTGCAAATATACAGGACAATGTCTGCCGATCAGCTCAATTAAAGGACATGGCATTGCGCATCAGGATCCAATTACTTGTATGCATTTGGGCTATGTAAGCAAAGTTCACGTTCGTGAGCGACCTTGGGTGGTAAACTTGAGTCTTTCCACCCCAGAGTTATGACTAATTTACCTCTTTGATCTGAGTCCAGTTCTCTGTGGTGTGCTGGAATAATATATTTAAAAGTCAGCCCAACATGCGACGGAGCTCTTTTTCAAGTATTAACGTTGAAGATACTTCTGTAAATCAGTCATATAATCTATTCTATCTTTCCAAAAAAGCACATGCTCGTTCCTTCTTCTCTTCCTACATTCTTCCACCCAGATACATGCCCACAACTTTGACAATCTGGTACAGTCGGGCCACTGTAGGAGTGCATATGTCTGATGGCATATGCAGCTGAAAAGCCAACATTGTGTTTACTGCCTTCCTGCTGGGGGTTACTGAGTGCATTTCCCCCTGCAAATACACTGTACATCTGCTGCCGTGTGTGGTCTCTTATGTACCAGGAAGAGTTTGTAAAAGTCTTTACTGGGTTTTGTGAGCCTCTGTTCCCAGAGGTTACTCCACCAATTGCACAATGTGGCTGTAGCATAGAACGTAATGAACTGAGGGAGCTGCTTGCTTATTGAGTTAAGTGACTCAGCATTTGATAATGGCCAGTCATTTCACTGAAAGTGACGAATGAGGTGACATGAGCAAAGCAACTTCAATGCGACAAAGTTGAGCAGAGTTCAGCCTTTTGCAAAAGAGCAGTGATGGAAAGTGGAGACTAATGGGAAGTGTGTGAACGAGACTCACTCCCGAGTCACACTGGAAGCGTAACCAGAGCAGAGCTTTCACACTGGCAGTGTTTGTAGCGCACATCTGAACTGCAGCTGATGGTGTAGCTAGTCCTCCGATTTTCATCAGCTTATCTAGTGCATTTGTTCACAATCGCAATGATTAGGGATGCACCGAATGTTCGGCAACCGAAATTATTAGAATAAGCGAAAAGACCGAATAAATGGTACCAAACAATGATGACGCGATCAAATAGTCACATTTTTATGAATTTTGAAAAGGCATGTGACAATGGGATTCGTGCTACACATTCATACTGAGACTCATTTATAAATCTGCTGTCAACAAAAAGAAGCATTGAGGCCTTCCTGTGTGTTTCTGCCAAAATAAAAGTTGAGAAAAAGCAAGAACTCCATCAACATTCATAAATGTTAATATCGTAATTTTACTGTTGTTCTATAAAATAAAATAAAATGTAAGACAATAATAATGATAATAATCATTTCAACAGCTCTGTTAATACATTTATTATAACATTCACACACATAGTGTTCAAATTAGGATCTGTAATATTTTCTAATGTTTTAAAAGAAGTCTCTTCTGCTCAGCAAGGCTGCTTTTAATTGTACAGTAAAAAATACATGCCTGATTCAAGAAGGGGGTCTGATGGGCTATAAATAGGCCTAGTTTTAAAGGGGTCATATGATGCGATTTCATTTTTTCCTTTCTCTTTGGAGTGTTACAAGCTCTTGGTGCATAAAGAAGATCTGTAAATTTGCAAAGACTAAAGTCTCAAATCCAAAGAGATATTCTTTATAAAAGTTAAGAGTCAGCCACACCCCCCTAAAACGGCTCGTTCGAACACGCCCCCACATATCTAGCTCACTATGTGGGAAGATTTGCATAACACCGCCCAAATGTTCACGCAAAGAAAGAAGGCGTAACTTTTATTCTCGCTGTAGTATTTTTGTTGCCGCTGCCGCCATGTTCTGAAGACGCTGTGTGTTTCGTTGTGAAAGCGAAACTACTTTGTTTGCTCTTCCAAAAGAGGACGATATCCGCTTCGTCATGCCTAGAGCTGATCTGTGCTGGTCGCTGAGGAAATACAACAACTTAGTGCTGTGGATCGCAGGCACATTTTATGGAGGACTGTTTACTGATCCTGGGAGAGTAACGTTAGACTAAAATGCCGGCAGTTCTGACTCACGTAAGCACGTTTTCTTTTATCATTTGCCACTGATGATTCAAACGCAAGTTTTGGGCAGTGTGGAGTAGCGCTTGTTGTTTGTCATTTCTCCGATCACAAATGTAGACAGGGTTTTATGTTTACGCGGCGCGATGCAATGCAACGCGTAAAAAGACAGTATAAGTCATTATAATCAGTAATTATGTCCCCACTGGATGCAACAAATGCCTCATTTGTAATGGGTTTGAATGTTTTTGTGTCGTCGCTCCGACCGGACAAGGCATCACACTATGGCAAGGGGTGTAACAGTTCCGTCACACGCTTGAGGTATTCGGCCAATCACAACGCACTGGATAGCTGGCCAATCAGAGCACACCTCGCTTTTTCAGACCGATGAGTTTTGTAAAAATCGACGCATTTCAAAAAGGCGTAGAGGAGAAACAATAATGTACAGTATGTGGAAAATAATGTGTTTTTTTACTTTAAACTGCATAAACACATTTCATTACACCAAATACACCAAATAATGTTCTTTTTAGGAGCATCATATGACCCCTTTAACTTGCCTTTTTGTGTTGTGCTGACAGTAGTGTGTTTTATGAAAACACAAAAACTTAAATGCTTTTATGGTTAAACTATTAGCAGTGCAACAAAACTAGACTCAGCAGAAATACAGTGCAATACTGTTTGTGCTGCTTACACTTACATGTCTAGTGTGAAATGGGCTTTAAGAGTGTCTCGGCTACATTTAACACATTTCATTGTTTAAATTAATTCCAGAGATTTACCCCCCATGATCGGTGCAGAAAAAGCAGCACTTGATAATGGCTTAGTAAAGAAGGGAATTAAGTTATATTACATGATTAGACCACATCAAATTTCACCTCTGTGGTGCAACAGCAACTGTTCTGAAGCATAAAACATGTTGATAATACATTGTTGCAATTTGTGTTATTTACATTTTAAGAAGTAAATTAGCAAGGAAACAAACTGTGCACAGGGCTTATGAAGTTTAGACTTCCACTGTTTGCCTTTTAAATGTAGTTTTTTTCCCATTATAACCCTGGAAGCTACTGGCAGTTGTTCGCTTGTGTAACTAAGGATCCTGTTTGGTCAAGTGCATTTTATACCAACATGGAGGGAACCATTTCCGTTCTGCCCTTCTGTAGCTCCAGGCTGTCATATAGTGGAATACATGCTGCCTTTTTCCAGCACCGTAAACCAAGTTCTTTACGTCTTGGGCTAACATTATTGGCCAATTAAAGTCTACATCTGTTGCCGTTGTTACATATTATTTACAATTACAAGCAATCCTGCAAGCATTCATCTCAAACCTTCTTGCTGCAGGGGATACGTGGGAACACTGGAGATTATGGACATATAGGAGAACCTGGGCCTAAGGTGAGTGGCTTCGTTGTACAGTCCCTTGGTTTGCATTGTTGTACAGACCCACTCAACGGTCAACTCGCATCCCACAGGGTGAAGGCGGCATCAAAGGAGAAAAGGGCATGAGAGCACCTCGTGGTCGGGAGGTAATACATCATACAACTGCAGAGCACCATTTTGATGGCCTTGTAGCTTTGCATCCAAAGATTTGCAATAACAAATCTTCTTCTCTCTCACAGGGTGACAGAGGACCCAAAGGTCTGAAAGGGCTAATAGGAGCTTCAGGTCATAAGGTAAAAACAGCATTATTGTAGTCTACTAAATCACAAGCTGGTTGCACAAGCTTGCAGATTGTGGTTTGTTATTTTTGCAGATTTTTTTTTATGTAATACATGTGTTGTGCTGTATCATAGCTTGAGCATATCAAGGTAACCAATGCAATGTATGTTGTGCATCGTATCAAAGGGAGTGCGAGGGTCACCTGGAGAGAGGGGTGAAACTGGCCAGCAGGGGGAAGTTGTAAGTTCTGTTGGAAAACACTTTGCTTCGATAAAATATATGTGAGATGGATTGTGTAATTGGGGATATGAATGACTCATTCGCTCCCCACCACATCTCCCAGGGTGCAGCAGGAGAATGGGGATACGAAGGGATTGTGGGCTATCAGGGCGTGAAGGTATTTTTGCTCCCCCACTCTGGTTTGTTATTGTCTCTAAAACATTTGTTGCTGTGTTTAGTTGAAAATCTCACAATTCCCATTCATTCTTGGAACAGGGAAACGAAGGCTTACCCGGAGTTGAAGGATCTCGAGGGCCACGGGGTCGCCAGGTATAAAAACAGGCTGGAGACCTTCTGCATTGTGCTGCATGACATTTAAAATCCATGGGCTTATCTTAAATTTAATGTGCACATTTCTGTTTTCATGGAAGTCAAGGTGTAAAGGACTCTGCGGGTGAATCTCACTAAAAACAAATGTTTGGGTCGTATTTGATCCCAAAATCAAAAATGAAAAAAGGGGTGAAATAACTTTGTAAATAAACAAAATAAAGACTTTTAGGATATTAGGACTATTATTAGGATTGTTATTATTATTATTATTAAAATGTTACAGGCTGGTAAAAGGAATGCAGAGCTTCAGGGAAACACCACACGTTTGAAATTCCTGATCTTTTGGGGTTTGAAGAGGAATGAAACTGGCTGCAGGGACACAATTTAAACATCAACAAAATTGTTTACAAATGCCAGCTTTGAAAAATATGGTGGTCTGAGGAAAATTAAAGCTCAATTCAATGTTTCTATGGTCACATACATACATATTGTAATGTTTTTTTTTTTAATCATACAAACGTCATGGGAATTTGACTGCATGTTTATATTCTTTCTCTGCTCTGTGACAGGGGATTGTGGGAGATCCCGGTGAACGAGGAACAGCTGGAGAAAAGGGAAAGCTAGTAAGTATTCTAGTTGTCACCAAATCATGTTGCTTTAAACAATCCGTTGGAAGATGGAAACATATTGATGGCACATACAGTACATATCTTTTTTTACTCTTCACAGGGTATTCAAGGCCCAAAAGGAAATGTTGGTGGGATTGGGGAAAAGGTTGGTTACTTGTCAACCAGTCATCATGACAAATACTTTGTTGACCAATAAATTGAAAGTCTAGTGCTGATTCTTTTGAATATTTCAGGGTATAGTTGGTGATCCAGGCTTGCTAGGGCGAGATGGAGATACTGGGATTGAGGTACAGATTGTCCTTTCAGCTGAACTTTGTCAGGACTTCAGAAATAACTTTTTAATCTCATGGTATTACCATGTGCAGGCTTATCAAGGACCACAGGGACCTGAGGGAAGACATGGACAAGTTGGTGAAAGGGTAACCTAACACTTCTTGACATGTATTCATCCCCTGATACACACAATTGCATTTTTACACTACTATTTAGCTACTAAATGTACAGCACCACAGCAAAGTTATGTTTTAGTTATAAATTGTAAGCCCGAATTTGATGAACAAAAGACTGAGCAACACAGAACTCAAACTACCAAAGAGTTCTCTCCAGTGAATCAGTTAGAACAGCTCTTCACTTACTGTATTGTAAATCTTTATTTTGTTGTTAATTGTTAATATATATAATTATATTAAATACATTTAAAAAGCTGAAAGAATCATCTAAGGAAATCAGCAATGGAAAAACTACTGCTAAATTCCTTTAAGACTCCCATCTCTATAGAAGCATCTGTCTGATTAGGTGTAGTTGTGTGTGCTTATGTAACATGCTTGAATGTTTTACACAGGGTGAAAAAGGCGAACAAGGGCCTTCGGGGGAAATGGGCCCTCCTGGACTAACAGTAAGTGCTCGTGTGAAGAAATGACCACTGCACTGAGCTATATGTGACTTCTGTAAATACCACCTTAATATTTTACCTTGGACTTTTATGACATAAAAATACACCCTGCCTTCTGGTAGATTTATAAAGTGCTATAATCTCCAGGGGCCGCAAGGTTACAAGGGCTCTGCTGCAAAGCCAGGAAGACCAGGATTTATTGGGCCCCCTGGAAGAACGGTGAGCTATATTCCAAATATTCCAAAGTTTTTGAAATAAAAGTTCATACCCTCCAAAATGCTAAAACATGCCATGTCTTCATAGGGGCACATGGGAATACCCGGCAGACCAGGCCCCAAGGTAATGATCTCCACTAAATTATGAAACTCAAATTTAACACAATTTTGCCTCATTAAAAGGGCATTTTGAATCTTGCAAGAGCCTGCAAACATATTATATGTAGGCTTATTATATATAAGTTCATCAAAGTTCTGTCATGCAGAAAACTCACTGCGGATGTATAAGATCACGTGTCAGTATTGGCTTAGTGTAGCCAGATATCCCAGGATCCAGAGTCTAAAATAAATTGGGGAAAAAATGAGGCCCACATTTTCTTTTTCAGAGTCCT